ACATTATGTTAATGTATTGAGCATGCGTAAATGTGTTCCCGCCAAAGAAAAAGAAGAAACTTGGCCATTCTCGACCCAGTGCAACCTGAACATATTGCAGCACATATTACTCCGTTGTCAGCCTTCTCCCTCTCGTTCCATTGGCGCACAATTTGTAGCAAAATTAAAGTCCTTCGTCGCTCAGTATTTTCGTCCGCCATATTGAATACTCTACGTTTAAAACATTTTCCGCTGGCCGACATACCCGACAGTATAAATTCTGAATTAAGTGCGACACAAGTGCGACGTATGAATCCACAGTCGCATTTCTGCCGCACTTAATTGTATTGAATTCGACATGGCAGAAATGCGACGTATAAACTGGGCCTGGGCCTGAAGTTTCTGTTTTCTCAACAGACACTAATCCTTGGTAATGCTTTGTTTAAATAGGTGGTTGTGTTAATTGTTCTGTGCGGGTTTCTGGCGCCTATCACAAGCAATGATTTAATTTCCTGTCTTTACAGTAACTATCGAATGGTCCGAAAATTTAAAAATCTCTCTTTATCATCTTTGATGTGTTTTTGCAGAATTTGGAAATCCTTCCTTCATGGTGGAAAAATTCAGTTCGTTTTGAGAATAGATCTTCGCTGTGATCGGCTATAGAACGCTGCCAGCTCTCCTAATGAGCGGAATAATATAGCAAACGGTAAGCGATTTTAAATCGTTTAGATACATTTAAGTCAAGGTACATGTATCTATAGATATCTACAAGATAACGGAGATATGAACCTCCTCGAGGCATAAAGAAGGATAGACTTAAGTTTTACGCGATAATCAGGGACATATGAAGTTTATTCCATCGTATATATACATAAAATATCTTTCGTCTTGTTGGCAATGCAATAAGGCAATACTGATCAATTTTTAGTTGAATACGTTTTCCATCTGAGTAGAGAATTTACTCAAACGAAATCAATAATTATTGTTACGTCCTTTCGGTCTTAAAATGTTAACCAAATGAAATTTTCTTCGGTAAATGGGAAGAGGTAATCAACGACAAAAGTTTGCGTAGCGTGTTGTGCAACTGAACGAATTTAGCAACACGGAAACAGAGAGTTGCAATTCTCACTGCAGTTTCTGCGAACAGCCGAAATCGCACTGGCAAATGGATGCGAGTCAGTTTTTGCCCCGTTAGTTTATGAGGGTGATCGGACACGTTTTTCTCAACAATATCAACACGTTACTTAGAGACAGGTGGCGAGGAACGCAATAAGTGACCAATTATCTAATTCCCTGAAATAATTATATTTAAATTACATTTTGCTGCTTCTTGAATCGAGCAACAAAATTTCAAATTTTGTTCAAGCAACGAACATTTTGCCATAAATTGAATAAATATCGGAGCAGATTCATTCAAGTTGAATTAATTTAACATGACCTGATTATATATATCTAGCTGAACCTTTCTGATATATAGATTTCTTGTTATCATTTATGGTGCGTTAGCATTTTTCTGATGAAATAGAATTCGACAATTGTCAGGAAGAGAAAATAACTTTCTACTAGTTTCTGAACTGTTTGCTAACGGAAGATTAAATTAAGAAAATAATGTTTTCAAAACAAATTAGTTTTCAAGTAGTTAACGTATACAGAGAACACGCCAGAAACGTATGCTCGGTGGTTTCATCATTGAATTCAAGACTAAAATAACCCTGAAGGCTGGTTCGGTGATCACTATTTAGCATCTGTTCCTTTGAACCAGGTGTGGGGTAAGCATGTTTTACTTCTTACATAAATTTTAAGCACGCAGTCAAATGCCAAGTAATTATGACCCATTTCCAGGTGAAAATCAAACTTGGTTGAGTAAACAGCTGGAATAACTCCACTGAGCGGACGAATTCGACACGTATATCTGGTATGTATAGAACATATGGATCTAATTCGGTTTCAGAGAAAGATATATGTGGGATAACTCTCTCTAGAACATAGGACTCTCTGCAATCAGGGGGAGATCGTCGCTGTATCCAGGGCCTCTACAACTCCACTGAGATGCGAGGTGCGAGATGTTGACATAATGATCACGCCATCAAAGTTGAAATTGCATTATTCTGATAGTGGAAATAAACGTGCAATTTCCAGTTCGTTTTTGTAGCAGAGTTTTTTCAAAGAAGTAGGAAGTATTTTCTCCGTGGTTCTTTTGAGGTCTAGAAACATAAGTGAGAGTTTGGGAGAATTTGAAAAGCCTGTAGAAGAACAGAGATGTCACAGGCCAGTGTTTCAACAGCACTTCTTTCTCCCTCAAACTTATGCTCGCGTTTCAGCAATACGATGGAAACACCTAAAATGCTCTCACCTAAAGTGTTTTCTTGAATAAGTGACAGGAAATCGCACGGATGGTTGTTAATGATAAGGATAGGCCAACCGTGTTCAATTTCTTGGAATAAATCAAGAGTCTGACCACGAGAGCGATTTTAAAATCAAAATTCGCTACATTTGTCTTCTATTTCGACAACTTCAGCAGAAAAAAAGTAAAATACCTTGATTTTTTGGGAAACCAACAGGGTCGATTAAATTTATAGAATTCATATTGCCTTGCGAATGACAGGAATTGAGTGGGATGGCTGTGGGGGAGGACATAAATAAGGATATATTTTTATTGCGCTATGTTTTATAATTATTCTGTTGATAAGAATAAAGAAAGGCACAGAATTTTGAGCTGGGGCATTGAAGCTGCTAGTTGGATCAGCCTGGTCTAATTGATTTGTTCTTAGTGTACAGTGTAGGGAGACTAGTTTTAGTGCAGTGCACGCTCTTAGACCGAGAAGAGCTGGCCCTGAAGTGTCTGTGACCTAGAAAATGCAGTTGATCTTCTTCTCTTTGTACTTACAAGGGATGTTTATAGTGCCAAGCTGCTTGATTGCAGAGCCACCTTATGCTGAAAGGACGGCTTAATTCTTTTCCAGTGCTTCTGCGGTTAACTTGACATAACTGAGCAAACGCTTTTTTTTAGAAGCTTAAAAGCTCCATTTCCTCTCTTTGGCAACTATCGGCCACAATGCCACATGTCTTTGATAGGTTCTCTGTTTATGAGGTTTTGTTTCCTAGATATTTTTTATCAAGACTAGTCAGGCTACCAAGAATAAATTGCAAAATGACTGAATTAAGTATCTTAAGCACAAAGTCTTTCAATAACAAGGCCTCTCAATTTTCACTGAGTAATAAAATACAAATAATACAACAAAGGAAACTTTTCTTAGCAGGCATGCGGGGTTTTTGAATCAAGATCTGTTTGAGCAAAATACATGAACCTAATTGCTATTTGAGAGCCTTAATAAATTCTTACAATAATCCGTGGTTGTCTTGGAGACTTGAATGCTTAGTCATAGGCCTGGTCATAGGCCTAAATCTGTCGTTAGTCTTATATATATATAAAAAAATGTGACATACTATAGCTTGCGTCGTGATACTCCCAAGACTTGCGCATTAATCTGGATGCTAGAAATTTTTTTTTTTATTTCACGATCCGTTATTTACTGCTTGTTATGTCTACTTTATTGGCTCTACTCTTTTATGCAGAACAAAAGCACCGCTTCGTAGTACAAAAAATTATGACCTCAAGAAAGTTTAACCGGTACTGAATATTTGCAATGTTAATTTTCTTTTTCAGGAAGATAATCGAACAAAATCGCTCGGACAGCCATCTGTTCTAAAGCGGTGAAAAGGCTCTTGCAAGCTAAGTCACGTTAGCGATCTCACTATTTGAAGCCCTAACGTACGAATATCAACGGTAATCGACACCAGCTGATTTGACACCAAGTTTTATCAGCCTTAGGACACTGGACGAATGGTTGTATCACGAGACGATCCAAAGATAAGATCATGGTCAGGAGAATGAGGCTCCATGTGGCGCTAAGGCAAATTCTCGCCCTATTCCTCATTGTTGTACGTTCAGGAAATTCAAAATGTCCAGGTAAGGAAGCGGTTTATCTTGTTACGTCCGCGCCCATTGCGGTGCGTAGTCATATGCAACGTCACTGCTGCAAATGCCATCCCGCAGCCGTTTTATTCGCTTGTTTTGTTAATTGTGAATCCACTTTGAAGGTAGTGAAAATGAAGATAGTTTCTTAAGCTTCCTTTAGGAGTTGCTGTATGATCTTCACTGAGTTAAGGGCAACTGAACCTCGAAAACCATGCTAGACATTTGTTTATCCTGTGATAAGGGTAAACACAGTAATGTGTTGATATTTTGTCCTCTACAAAGCTGTTCAAATATACTTTAGGGGCTCGCTTGTAGGAAACTCAACAAAATTGATTTAACAATCGCAATTTACAAACTGAAAAGGGCCAAAAATTATAATATTTTCTGATCTTATGTTTTGAATATTTCACAAACTGAACGACATAATATTTTCCTGGAGCAATTGAATTTATGTCACACTGACTGCAGGCATGAAAAATTATAACAATTAAGTTCAAAAGAAATTTAAAAAGTCTCTTGATGACTACAAAAAATTGACAGAACGATGTTAAGAGTTCGGGAATAATAAATGTTATGAAATTTCTGGGTTATGGCAAGTGCGGACTGATTAAATTGAATTGCTGGTTTTCAGTGTCACGCAATTCAAAATAGATCAAAATAAAAAACAAAACCGGTCAATAGGTAAAGTCCAGAATCTGGGAAATGAAAGAAGGTAAGTATGCGAAGACGCTCGCCAAAATTCTGGTCACAGCAATTTTTCTTATGCGAGATATGCGGGGAAATTTTTTACCGAAATTTACAGAGATTTGTATGGAGACGTCATGCTGGTGCCCATCCGTATGGGCACCAACATGGCGGCCGGAAACCAACAGAAACATCTGTCACTGAGTTTTGCTACAAAAGCGTGAATTTATCCCTCGAGAAACTCTAAAACACTAAAATAATACTTTTTCTAAGAAATGAACTGTTCAGATAACCAAGTTCCCCGAAATAAGTCACTTTTTAACCATCATGACAGCCCTCTTGGCTGTCAAGTAAATGCCGCGTCACGCAAAAGCTTAGAAATTCAAGCGTGGTGTATTACAAAACCAAGAACCCATTCGGAGCGAAAATTTGTATGAATATTAGTTTTCAGCTACTCTTATACATCATTAAAGTAAAATCTCAGGAAGATCAATAGGTTTGTAGTTTGAATTTTAGTGACGTCATGTGAAAACCAGCTATACAAATTACTGCCGAAAACAGATAGAAGTTGTCATTATGTTGATTAGACTTTCGGCAATGCTCAACACTATTCACGCACAAAATTTTAATCTGTTGATTCGTTAGAGAGTGGTGTTGTGTATACTGAGGTAATAGACTAAAAGAAGATGCTTGCGAAATTTGCAGTTATATTAAATATGCAAAACGTTTAGAGGGACATTTAGAGGGAGCTTAAATAATTATTGATAACTGAATTGTGTTTCTAAAAACAGCGCCCATGATGGAAAAATTATAAAAACGCGATCACTACGCGCGCACTTGACATTCATTAGATGCAGAGGTAAAGAAAACTGAGCAGTTTGGTTTGTCTGACTTGGCAGCAAAATAAACATTAATTAAAACGCTACGTAGGAAAACCTAGCGAAGAAAAATAATTCTCCTGACTTCCTTTCCATCGTTCAAACACATCATTGCGTGACTGACAGAAATTAAGGGAAACATGCCTTCCGGCAGGGGTAAGACGTTATTGTTTACAAACCAATAAGTGTACACATGAAAACTTCGAGAGCAAAACAATACTTCAGAATTTCACTGACAGTGAAATTCAAAATAATTTCGTTTCAAATTATGGACAAATTTTGTTCCAAGTCAAAAAATTAAGGAAAATGATTGTTGCTAAAGCAACTAAATTATTTCAGTAAACATGCATGAATAACGTGCACCTTTAAACTGAAAGAAGATAACAAAAAATTAAATTAATAATCATATTACTAATTTTAAAGATAATCATTCTCGAAGTTACAAGAATTAGTGGGACGTCATGAGGGTGATATTCTTTTCGTATTTGCCACAACGAACATAATGTTGTGGTCTTTTATTAATACCTTATTTCTCGAAACGTGTATTAGCAATACAGAAATAATGTGTTTCTTCATGCTGAAAATAAGTCAAGAAAAAAATAAGTATTAATTTAATCACCATATTACCTATTTAAGGACTTTCATTCTCGAATTTATAAGAACTAACAGAAGTCTTAAGTCCGAATACTCGACGCATTCTTCCCAGTTGGGGCGTAGTTTATAGTTTCTAGAAACTGAATGGCTTCAAAATGTATCAAAATACTTGTCTACAATACGATACTGCATTAAAACAAAAGCGTTCAAACGCACATTATTATCATTATTTATTATTATTATTATTATTATTATTATTATTATTGTTAGTCATGAACTGACTGAAATGATGAAACCTAAATCCTTTTACGAATGGAAGAAACATATCAATAAAGGTTTATCATTATGATAGCTTGGCTACGCCGTTAACGCATGGGGCGAATCAATCGCTACGTCAATAGTTAAGTTCCAAGGCATACATTTTCGCTTACTTCCTCTTCATAGTCGAACTTTTGACTTAAAATACTTTGCCTTAAAATGTCTACTGTTCCGTTATACTTAAGGGGGAGTACGTAGAGCCCATCTGTATGTATCTATACCTTAGGAAGAGTAAAAGAGCCCAACTGTTAACTATTTTGTAAAATGTTTTAGGATGTTTTGTTTTTGGAATAAGTGTTTGCTTGTGTCCCTAGAGATCATATGGAAAACTTGAACAATACAAACGTGAATAAACAGCCAAAACAGACAACCGATTGCTTAAAAAAAGACTGGGAAATAAATTTTTATTGAAACTTTTCGCGATATCTGTGGTTATGTGTTTATCTCAAAATTTCAGAAATTAGATGAATTTTACTGAAATCCTTTCAGAGCAGAGATCTCTAGTCGAGCGATCAACGTGTTGGTGTCTCCATTGCCGTCTGCTTAGACTTCCATTAATGTTTCTCACGAAGACTTAGCTTTCATTTTCAGCGGAGAATTAATTATTGCAAGCAGAAGACGATCACAGCTCGTCGCCTCGTCTCGAAACTACCTCTTTTATCTTCTTCCTCTTTGACTAGATGCATGCAACAAACCCCTGGGAATCTCTGACTACAGAATCCGTGACGACCAAATGTCTGCTTCCAGCGCATACGATGAACGCTTCGCCACATTCGGAGCACACCGAGCTAGACTAAACCTAACAAGCTGGCCAGCTGGGTACAGAGCTAACAAAGAAACGATTGGTTACTTTCCTTGGCTAAAGATAAATCTAAACCAGGATATGGTGATAACAGGCATTGCTACTCAAGGGTTCGGTAATGCCTCTTTGAACGAGTGGGTGACAAGTTACATGGTGTTTTATGATAAGAGAAATGCAGATGAAGCGGTTTATTGTACAACGGAAGATGGTGAAACCTTAAAGGTGAGTGTGTTTGCCATTTGGGTCCTTCGCTCCTTATAGTAACTCTGATCATTTACTTATTTTACATGGACAGTACCATCATTTTTCTCCGGTATGCCCAAATTGAACGATAAATAACCTCGATTATTATATTTTAGACGACATTTTCGGAAGGCTTGTTGAGAGAAGTGAAACTTCGGTCATACATGTCTTCGAATCCCACTCTTTTCTCTAATACTTTTTGGCGCCGGTGTTTCCCTCGCGGTTTCAATTTTTCTCATCCCAACTAACTTGACAAAGTCCATCAGGATGCTTTTCCTGGCAGAAGTTTTGTAAGTTTTTTGCACTGGTGAAAAAATGGCATTTCAATGGCAACTATAATGGATTAGCAATCTGATTTTGTTCTAGGCCTTAACCGATTCATTTACCATAAAATCATAATGAAGGGTCTTGATGTTACACACGTTTGACAACACTTTTCATTACAATTATTTTCTTACCTTACGTTCTTGTCAGCTGTTCTAACAGTATTTTTCCCTATTTAACGCATAATATCACTCTTTTACTGCTGCAGACCTTCAACGGAAATATCGACTCGAACTCTATACAATACGAAAATCTGGCTTTTCCTGTGGTGACGCGAAGCGTGACAATCAATCCAACGCTATGGAATAATAACATTGGTTTTCGGATGGAGCTCTATGGCTGTGAGCCAGGTTTGTCCGAACTGATATGTCCATCCATGTAGCTATGATTTCGTCTAAACACTCTGAGCACTTACTGACTATATACACTACTGAATAGTGAAAGTTAAGTGGTAAGACCTTACCTCATGTTCTTGGTTAGCTTAGCTATTTGAACTTAATGAAAAATTTCATAAACTCTTTGGTTAAGTTTTTTTTATAAATTATAAATTATAGATGTTTTTGTACTTAGAAATTTTTAGAGGGGCGCATGTTTATTACTTTTATAACTAGTAAGTAACACCCTCTTTAAATAAAATTTAACAGATTGATTGATTGATTGATACCGCAAAGGCTATCGTGGAAGACGAGGCGGCTTAATGCTTAGCGCGCTGAATTGTGGATCGAGAGTATTGGTCCATTTCATTGTGTTATAGCATAATATGTTCTTGGAAAAGGCACTGTAATCTCACAGTTTTTTTCTGTCCACCTGGTAGAATAAATGATTACGGTAAATTTTTTTGGGAAGCCAAACAAAAATACAAAGGGAAAACCTACAATATCAGTAGTCACTTTATGCAACAGAAACCGGAATAGACGGAATACGTTCCGGCGATAGGAGTCTCTCTGATTCCATGCAGACCGCTTTCTGAAGTCTATACATTTTTTCTGTAAGAACCTTCGAAGGGTTTAATTGAGATAACGCAGATAAAATGATATGCACAAGGCTATTTCACTTGTTTCTGTTGTATGGTTTGCTCCTAACATGCTTGTGGAACTCAAAGGAATGGGTTATTTTGCTGTATTAAGTGGTGTGGCGATTAGAACCCGGTGGAAGCAATTAAGCCGCGGAAACAGGATCGTAATAGGAAATAGGTGCAATACAAAGATTTACAAAATTAAATTCTAACCTCCGCATTGAAAAGTGTGAAAGGGAGAAGGAAGATCACATTGGGAATGTTTAGACGAGGATGTTTGATTTGTTGAGATCAGAGAAGCTACTTTTCGTAATTTCATGTGGCATACTTTGCCTTTTTTCCACAGAACGCGCCTTTTCAAACTTTTTTTAAGAACCTTTTTTTCATTTTTCAGAATTCTATTTTGTGGCGGTGATCACTGTATCAAACTCGCGTTTTACACTGCATTACGCCAACCCGAAGAGTGACGCTTACTTGACTTTAAAACAAGATATAATAACAGAGGTACTGTAATACGCTGTGTTCACACTTGGCGTCCGAGCACTGGTGCCTGGACGCTGGCACAAAATAGCGTTGCGTTCAGTTTAGTGCCAGAGTGCAAGGTCGAGACCTTGTGCCTGGGCACGGGCTCTGTGTCCGAATTCTGGTGTGGGTACTTGGAAAAATGATCTGTTCATACTTGTGCCCAGCGAGAATTGAACTCGAACACCGTGCTAGGGCTTCAATTGTGAACATTTTTAGAACTGTTCTGAACGTGACTTTAGTCAGTGCCATCAGACCATCACACCTACGATTCTATTCTTTAAAGTAGGGATTGCTTAGTTCTTAATGGTACTTTAAATGTGATTTGGTTGATGATTCTTTAAATACGTTTGTGTTTTCATTGGTTTTTCAGAAGACGGCAGAGAAGAGTAACTATTTTGTGCTTTGCAAGATAGAAATAATTCAAACTCCTTCAATTGAATTTGCTCAGGTGCATGCCCTTTGCGAGTGTTTAGGAAGGGTCAGTGGTAAAAACAATAATTAAAAAAACTAGAAAATCCCAACCTAAGAACAGAGAAGATTCTTAGGGATGGAATTGGGAAAAAAGGGATTCTAACTCATTCATTTTTCAGGTGACGGAATTCCTCGAAAGAGTTCCTGGATTTCTCTTTGCCGACATACGACAACTGAGGTAATATAGATTCGTGGCTTTATTTAACGCTCCTTAAGCAATGTCACTTACCTATCTAACTGTCAATTAATGATTGTCAAAAAGATATCGTGTGGTACGTTTTCCAAAGAATGGATCTGACTAATTGAGTTTTATTGTCCAAACGTCAACTGTTATTTAAATTGGAAATTACAAATGGCAGTTTGTTAATTTACTATCTGATTTCACCTTTTTAGGTGGTCACTTTGTTTAGGTCACATGAATTTTCTCGTGCAATTTTGAAAGAATAAGCTCGAATAAATGTTTCAACGACTTACAAAATTGTTCGAGCCTGTAATTGCTTGCTAATAACACACATGGATAAAAAGATAACTTACCGCCTTTGATATACATTGATTACTTTTAAAAGCAGTACGTAGAAGCCTTGATCGTCCGAATATCTTCAATATCGCAAACCTTCCGATAATGTCGGAAAAGCCTCGAAATGTTCGGGTGATCTTCGACAAACTTCCGTAGTCTTCCGAACTTGTACTCTTAAGAAATCTTCGGAATGTTGGGTCAATATTCAGAAATCTCAGATAAGGTTTGGTGATACTCGGAAATCTTCGGAAGTGCGCGGTTAATCTTCGCAAGTGTTCGAAATCCTCGTTGTAAATTGCACTGGTGTTAAACTTTTTGCATTGCTCTTAGCCATTCAAAATCGACTGTTTTTTTTCTATTGTATCATTGGGTAACGATAAGTTATTATCCCGATGTAGCGAAATGTAGGTCTTAGGTTTGTCCAGTCGAACTACTTCTAAGCGGCCAACCTGGGGAAAATGGGAGGTGGCGGTTAGTCAAGAATTGGTCTGAGACTTAGTAGAAACATCAATTTAACTTGCGTTAAGGCAACATGGAATATCTTAAATGTTTTCATCAGTGGTCACTCCCCATTGTGGCGTGTTATCTGTCATCGACTTTTCCAAAACAAAGCCAAATTACATGTATTAAATTTGGGTGGCCTTTTAATAGGATTACGGACAGTAGAAAACCTTCTTCAGGACGACCAATAGGTGGCCGCGTCCCCTTAATAGAAGTAACCGATTAACAGGGTTCTATTTACAGTATCGTATTGATGGCAACTCGGGACTTATATAATGTTCATGGAAATGAATTACATCTAGAGTTTCTTGTCTCATATCTCTGCTCAGTCCGCAGTCTTACATGAGAAGACCTATCATGGCTGCTGAGATCGAAATTTATTGCGCTCAGTCAAGGAGGGATGCTGTGCTCCAAGAGCTGGAAAACAGCATAAAGAATGGAGATTCTTCGATACTCAGCGATTATCTTCACACAGAGAACCGTTGTAAGTAAAAAGCTCTCTATTACTTCATTGCAAGGGCTTTCACCCATTAAGGTACAATATACTAGTTGGTACGGTGACACGAGTAGCTTTGAACCCTATCTTAGACGTGCTTTAAAATGCGTTTTGTCATACGTTATAGTAAAAGCAAATACCATGGTGCATTCCTTTCCATGGGAACATAATACTCAGTGAGTTCACTGTACCAAGACCAATATAAGCTTTAGCTGCGTGGGCCACTTTCAGCGGGGTAAAGCCTTCATTTACTAAGTGTATTTCACTATTTGAATCTTCTTCAGTTGATTGTGAGTGCGACGTTCCTAAAATCACTGTAAATCTGCAAAAATCTTTGGAGAATGCTACAGTTATTTACACCAACGATCCATTTCCTCTTGGAGCAACCTTTCAAGACGACTGCCATTCGTCGAATGGCTATGCACTTTATTGGGAGGTGTGTGAATGCGAAGAGCAAACTGGATTGTGTAATCAAATTATTCCATACGGGAAGAGACCTGGGATGACGAAGACACTTTACCCGAGGTTGTTCGGTGCTGGTTACCTGTATATCCGGTGCCTCGTCACAGACCCTAACGACCCTAACAACCCTAACGACCCTAAAGACCCTAAAGTACCCATAGTCTACGACTATGGGTACGTCAAGATCATTTTGCCTCCGATCGTTGCGAAACTCGAAGGACCCCCTAATGTCATCAGAGGTAATGAAAGTGTTGTCGTACTTAGTGCTTCTGAGAGTTTTGATCCCGAAAAAATTCACAAAAAGACAGAAGGCTTTGCATTGACTTGGTACTGTGGAGGAGGTATCATATCACATGATAACCGGGATGGGTTTTCCACAGTCTCCCCAAGCGACGCCGGTCGTTGTCAAGGTGATGGCATATTGAAAATAAACAGCACATTGCCCGTGCTTCAACTTAACGTGAGCAATTTAAGAGGAAACCATACCTACTTCTTTGAAGTTGTGGTTCAGAAGGGAGATAGGTCAGCAAAGGCTACACACAGGCTAAGAGTAGACGAGCCGTTTGTAATTTCCATCAGGTGAGAACAAAATATTAATTTTATGGTATCCAGTTTTTTTTTAATTTTAGGTTCTAGACCGTTCCTTCTGATATGAAGAGTATCCTCCAGCGAAGCTTGAGGGTCTGGATGGGTTTGACAAATATATATGTAGGCAGAAGTAGTTTTCACTATCGCAAATGTATATTAAGTGTCTAGAGTGCTGTTGTTGTTGCACAAATTGAGATCACATTCTGGAAGACATATTTGCAACTTGCCTCGCATCATATGAAAATACAGATGTCTTGGCCATGGCTATGAGGGGACAACACCTAACACATTAACAGGCTCAAACGTAGGTGGAGCTCGTGTAAACGATGGAAAATTAAGAAGATTGGAATTAACAATTTTCATTCCAACTTGACACCTGATGGAATACATTATTTGCCTTGAAAGGAAAATGCGATTTAAAGCACATGTCCGTTTGAGAGGTTTTGAACAAGAATTGTTTTTGAAACAGATATAAAACACAAGTTTAGCCGGTAATCGACTGGTTTGATGAAAGTCGAAATTTACCTTCGCAGTTTGGACTGATTAGAACGTACAATATTTTTTATACATGTATTTACTTGCAGATGCACCACAAACTGCGGGGCCAAGGTGAGCGTCAATCAGCGGTTAACTTTAAAGTCTTCGTGTTCAGGGCCACTCTGCGACAGAATCATCAAATACGACTGGCTATTGCTCAGACGTGAATTGTCTAGCAAGAAGGACTGGATAATCGTGCCAAACCTTGAAGACAGAATACTTACAGACATCAACAGTCCCAATCTGGTTATTCCGGGCGATAAGCAAATTTTAGAAGAAAATACCAAGTATAGGATAAGGGTTGTTGTGACACTTGCAACTGGGTTCACGTTCGCAGAGGAAATGATGCTCATTACAAACTCTCCTCCGCGTATTTTAGATGGCCGTGGTGGATGCTCTGTGACTCCAAGGGAAGGCCTCGTGCTGACGACAGAGTTTAAAATCAACTGCTCGGGCTGGTCAGACGAGGAGCTGCCTTTAAACTATGAATTCAGGTAGGCCAATTAACTTGGTGGTGAGAATGTTAAACCTGTTATTGTCTGTTAAAGTCTGTGTCGGGCTAGTGGCCCATACAGCGGGAGCGTATCCCGGTTTCTGTAGCGTGAAGCGACTAAGAGAACGAGATGCTAGTCCATCGCAATTGATCTCTGTGATAGTGATAAATTCATATTTTTCTGGGGGAAGGAAGGAAATGGAGTTGTGGAAGGTGGACGTAATAATCACCATCCAGGGACCATTATGCGTACGTAGATGAACACAATGCAAATCAAACAGATATATGACAGAGGTAAATTGCTATGAACTGTTTCAGTTGAAAACGTATATTTGATTTAAGCAGGTGAACTAATTTTTTTTGCTGCTCCCAGATCTCTATTTGTTTACAGTTAATGAATTGGCTTTAGTGTGTAAATCGGAACGTAACCATGTTGAGTATTGTTTGAAAGAGGGCTTCTTCGATATTTAAACGTGTGGTTTCTGCTGAATATTTAGATACCAAACCAGTTCTGGGGTATTAGTAATTAACAGTGGACCTGCGTGCCATGCCGTCGCCCGATTGCCTCTTGGGAATGTAACTGTAGAAGTACTCGTATCAGACTCCCTGGGTGCCTCCACTGCTCAACGACTTCAAGTTCAGGTAGGTTGTAACAAAGTTGTTGGATAACCCTAGCCAGAGAGTTAAGTGAAATGCTCCTACCTCTGCAGGAGGCTTTATTTCACAAAAAACAACTCTTGTACGCCTGGCGTGCCTGTGTTTATACCCCGAGTCTGCATTCTCATCTCATTTGTGTCGTCCAGTTCACGAATACTCGATCGTGTTCGTCAAGTTTTGCTGTTGCTCATATGACCACTGACCTAGTTGAGATATACTCATAATTGCCCAATAGTCAATGCTTTTGTCAATCTAAACACAAGTGCTGCCTTTCAGGTCAACCCGATACCTACAGACGACTTTTCTAAAGTTCTGAAATCCTCCGCAACCGGTGGAGACAGCCAGCTTAAAGGTCTTGTAAATGATGGGAATGTCGATGAGGCTGCGCAGATGGCCTACTCTATTCTTACAGCTGTGGAGGATGCCGATGTAGGCAACGATGACAAGCAAGCAGTACGTGACCCGCTGTAATGTCTACTTTATATGGGTAGATCTTAAAATAGTGAATGAAGAAGAAGATAAATATGTCATCTACCTCCCCTTCAAGGGGACTATTCAGAGCCAATGCAAACAAACATTGAAAAAAGATATTGTGAATGAAAATATCATGGTTAAAAATCCTAAGTTGCAGGAGGCAGACCAGTTGGATATTTGCTAGCACAGCTGAGGAATTGAACGCGGAACCTCCGAGAGCAACTTTCCAGCTAGTGGTAGAACGGTACTTATACACACGACTAGTGGATTTAAAGTCGAGTGCGCATACCTTTTTGGCACGCTGTCTCGTCAGTAAATCAATTAATCTTTGGAAAGTTTGAATAAGCCTGGGTTTGACTTGCTAAAGTTTCGATAAATCAAGTAATGCAAGCTCGTGAAATCATTGGTTAAGGCGTCAAAGGTGTTCATTAAATAGAAACCGCATGAAAAACGTTTGCAAAATCAGTGAGTTTATGTGAAGTTGGGGACTTCCACACAAATCAACAAAGCTAAAAATTTGTAACTAAACAAACTTAGAGATGCTATCGCTTCTGCGATCCGTTGGGTGGCGTACTCAACAAACATCAAAACGGGGGAAAACGGCAAATTGCTCATCCTTTGGATCCTAGAAATCATCTCTTGACGCATGAAAGGAAAACCTCACACGTCTGCCGGTTAATAGTCTATTTTAATCGACTATCATCTTGTATTTTACCAAAGGTAAAGGAAACCATACTGGAACAGATATCCACTGTGGAAGTGAACAGTATGCAGCAAGTCACTCAACTATCAGCAGTTGTTGTCATGGCAACCGAAGGAGAAAAGGATATAGCCGTTACAGCTCAGGTATAACGATACCTTTTCCCCTTGCTTCCCTTCCTTACTGCCGCCCTCCTTTCTTCCCTCGCCTTGCTTGCTTCGTTGACTCGTTGCTTTCTTCCTTTCTTCTTGCCTTCTATCGTATAAGAGTCTTCTCTCATCTTAACTGTGTATTTTTTTACTTAACAAAGGAAAATGCAGTCGGCCTGTTAGAAAATATGACGGATTTCATAACTTCCCAAGCCAGCGCTGAGGGACAAGATGTTGACTTGGTTCAAAACATTGGAGGTAATCTCTTACAGGGAATGTCCAATTCCCTTAGTACCTCTGCCAAGAAGGCGGTTGTATACGAGGAACCAAAGGTTGGGCAGGATACTATAGAAGATGAGGATGATGTTGTCACCGAGAGGAAACAGGTAACACAACACATTTCCGCGGCGAAACAAGAAGGGTTGTCAACGGAATATAGTGACATTTGATGATTCTCTTGTATGATTCTCGTTTAGCTCAGTTGCGATAAATAATTGCCCACATTCAGAACCGAAAAAAGCACCAATTATAAAATTAACTCTCTTTATTCTAACGCTTAAAATTCATGACTCTAGCTCGAAAGAGGAACAATTTCATTCTTGCGAATTTTCTCACAATTTTTATTACCTTCCCTAAAGAATTGGTCTTTTACCACTCAAAATGCTCAATCTGTTTTGCTCTTTACAGAGCAAAGATATCGCCAAGAAAACTCTTCATCTCATCGATAAACTAGGGGGTGGTCTCCTAGCAACTAAAGTACCTGGTGAGAAACCAAGCGTGTTCCACACTGACAAGTTGATGATGATATTGGATCGACAAACGCTCGCCAAAATGGCGGAAAAGACGTTAGGAGAGGGGGAAGAGAAAGTCTCCTTACCATCGGCTAAGACCCTGTTTGGTCCAGATGCCGCAAACTTGAAATCTGTCGATGCACAGGTAGGGGCCGACCTTGACATTTCTGACGTGTTTCGATTCCATTACGCGTCGACGGTAACTTATATATAGATCGAGATATCTTTGCTGACGCCATGGCTGTATGTATGTATACTTAATTGTATGTCTGTATGTCTGTATGTATGTATGATATATGAATATTTTAGAAACTTTTGGAACTTAGTAATTAGTGAAATTTGAAGTTCTTTGAGCAAAATTTTGAAGGGGAAATTGGCTTTTAAAAGCGCAAAGTTGGCACAAGCGCAAATGAGACCATACCTAAGTTGTAAATATTTTGAAAGCTAATTGTGTCTTGAGATTTTGGAGCTTGATCAGAGACTTAAGCGCGACCGCTAATTAGGAAAACATTATAGACAAAGAATCCTATATATCTGCTATAATACAAGAGAACTCCGTAAAATCTCAAGCTAAGCTGCGCGGTAAAAGAGACTTTGGATAGGCAATTGTCTTATTTCTAAATATAGCTGTAAATCTCAAAGGAAGCTTTCATCAAATTCAGTTTATGCCTTGTCTTTTGTTTTTGTCTTCCTGCACAAAGTTTCCAGGCTTGATTACTCGTTTTTTTAAATGCATACCAAACTCCCCAGGTCCCCCACTGAGTCAGCTATGACGAGACTCTTGCCATGGGTTTCTTCAAGCATTCTATACCAATGATTCTTTTTTCTGTCAGATGACTTCTTTCAGCGAAAACCCGTTCACGTGGGATAACAGTGCGAAAGGTATCCGGTCATCTGTGGTGGACTTTAGTTTAAAGAAGGGCGACGGAACTTCTCTTCAAATTACTGGCCTCAAAGATCCAGTTGAGCTGTTTATACCTGTTACCCGAAAGGTCCAAACCACAGGAAACAAATCTAATGACAAATATTTCGCAAAACCCAGTGATGGTTCTGGGAACTTGCAATATCATCGGATCGATATTCCATCAGTCAATTCTATTGTCTTCTTTGATATTCACCCTGAGCGCGGGGAGGTATTAGATATTTTTGTTACCGCAGGAAAGAAACCGACGCCGACTAATTACCAGTTCAAAACTCGCGTTCCAGATTTTTCATCTTGCACAGCGTCTTCCAAAATCTTTGGATACCGCAACTGCAGTAAAAATCCCTACGAGATCTCACTAGCTAGCAACGTCACTGGAAAAACAGGAACTCACTACATTGGCATCATGTTTGCCGCAAATAAAACCGAAAAAATTCAGAGCCGTGAATCACGGTCTTGCGGTGGCCAGGGCGGTCGTCAGAAGCGTTCTTGTATCGGCGTCAAAGATCCTCCAACCACACCTCCTCCATCACCAAAGATTATAATACCGGAATATAACAGCAGCACAGACGTGAACTACACGATGTCAGTGACTGTGACAAGCTGTTTGTATTGGTCTGAAAAGAAACAGGTCTGGACTAATGAGGGATGTTCGGTAAGCTGGGTTGATGCTATTATTATTCTCTTCTTCGCTGAAGGACAGTTTAACTAGATTTGCTCAGGGCCAGGTTGTTTAAAGAATTAAGCTAACCCACGATTAGCAAGAATTTTGATGTCAGTTTTGTAACTTTGTGATGAGGGTTTTTGTGCTCTTTGTTTGTCCTTCAGTTTTAAGTTTGAATAATCTCAAACGACACAAAACATAAGCAGTAAGGAGCAATTAAAATTAATACGTTTGTTAACTTTTAATCCTGGATTAGTGCTGACCGACTTTCGAACAACCCTGATCTGATGTTCAACGCAGCCTGCGTAATTTGCTATTCTGTTTGAGCAGCGTATTGTTAGTCTCACTCGTTTTCAACTGACAAATTGTAGAATGCCAAGCACTGTGCCACGTTAGACCCCTTTTATTTGATTTTATTTCTCTCATAACCTTTCCAAAATATCAACATGGATTTTCTCATTGCATTACCGGTGCGTTGTGAAGCACATAGGTGATAAAAATAACACAAATCATCAGCTCTGTGACTACGTCATGCATCACTTAGCTCTACAAAATTTGTCCAACTTCAACTCCTAAATGTAATGAGAATAATCGCAAAAAAATAATACCGAAATATAACTTTCATTATTTCTTTTGTACCTCGTGGTCTGAACTATACATGTATACCATAATGCATTTATAAGGCTCTTTCTTTATTTCTGAGGGGTGGACCACTTGAATTTTTATGGGGAGGCTTGATTTTGAAAAAAAAAAAAACATATCCTGCAGGCATACTTTTACCACAAAAAATTTCATGCACGTTTAGCGAAGCGAAAAAAGCAAGTTATAAAGAGAAAATAATACATGAAAATAATACGCGTATCATGCCTCAACAGTCAAAAGTCAAAATTCATATGGTCCACCGTACCCCTAATACATGTCTTTTCAAATTTAGATTGGACCAAAAACAAAGTCCGGTACTCTTCACTGCCTGTGTACTCACCTCTCAGCTTTTGGCGGAGACTTCTTCGTGGCTCCCAATCCTATCGATTTTGACAAAGTCTGGGAAAATTTTGGAAAACTTGCAGAGACTGGAAACTTTGTTGTCTTAGCCACCGTGTGCTCCATATTTGGTGTGTACTTCATGGGACTTGTTTTTGCCCGAAGGGCAGATAAGAACGATGAAATGAAGGTAAGATATTGCTTCTGTTGTCATCTCGTAGAGTAAAAAAAAAAATGGAAAAACAAATTTGCTTCAAATTCGTCTCTGAAATTCTTTAATTTGAATACTTTAATCTTTAATGATCGTGAGGTTGCTTTAAGAAATCGTTTCCGATGGTGTGTCAGTTGCCAGGGTTGTGTAGGTGTCCTCTTTAAAGACGCTGTCTTTCTGTAATTTTGGAGGCAAATACAAGTGTAGTATTTTTGTATGGCTGGGGCACGACAGAGTGTCTTCTTATTGTAAGTAGTGGACGTTTATTCTTCATTGTCCTGTGAGACCCGTACTAATTCTTTTTTTTTTTCTTCGACAGGTGGTAGGAAAAGTATACTTGAGTGACAATGTTTACTCTAGTGGCTGCGTCTATAATTTGTACGTGCGAACAGGAATGTGGAGAAACCAAGGAACAACAGCTCACGTGGGAATTGTGCTTTATGGAGAGGAAGGCTGCAGTGGCCCCATTTCACTCTCTAATTCAAATGCAAGGAAGACATTGTTTGCCCGCGGCAGCGTGAATAGCTTTACCCTGGGGCTGCCAAACTCACTGGGCCGGCTGTTCAAGATACTTATATGGCATGATAACAGCGGTGAGAATCCCGCTTGGTTTCTTCAACAAGTAGAAATAGAAGATTCCAGCACGGGAGACACGTGGCATTTTCTAGCGAATCGGTGGCTTGCGCTTGAGAAGGGATCTGGGGAGATCGAGTTTGAAATCAATGCAGCGGACAAGAGCGAACTCACGAAATTCAAAAATCTGTTTGTGTTTAGGACCGCAAGGAGTCTGGGCGATGGACATTTATGGTTGTCTGTGTTAACCAGGCCTCCGCATGTCGCGTTTACGCGTTGCCAACGATTATCTTGTTGCCTGTCAGTTTTGCTCACTGCCATGGTAACCAACGCTATGTTTTACAATTTCGGCGCCGCACCTAAAGATTCTTTCCAGTTGGGACCTGTGAAAATGAGTTGGACCCAAATCAAGATTGGAATCCAAAGTAGCTTGGTTGCGATTCCAGTTAACGTGTTGGTCGTTATGATCTTCAGAAACATCAAACAGAAGTCTGGGGAGAAGGTATTCGACATACGAGCTGAGGAAACGGAAGAAAAGGAGAAATTGCCAGGGTGTCTACCAAATTTCTTTGTTTACATCGGATGGACATTGTGTATTCTAACATCACTGACTGCAGCAGCCTTTATCGTGTTCTACAGCATGATATGGGGAAAAGACACATCTAACCAGTGGCTTACCTCAATCACGGTGTCGTTCGTCCAAGATGTCTTCGTTTCCCAGCCAATAAAAGTAATTCTGTTGGCTTCCCTGCTATCAGTCATACTCAGGAAGCCGCCGGAACGTGAGAAAGTTTTTGGAGTGACTTACCAGAAAGAGAATCGTGCCAACAAAACGGTGACAGGTCCACCTCAGGGTGATGAACTGAAGAAAGCTAAGGATTTCCGAACAAAAGTTCAAGGCATGTACAAAGTTCTCGCTGAAATCACTTTTTTCTTGATTTTTGTCCTACTTTTGATGATAGTCTGTTATGGAAATCGAAGTCCCGCGCGTTATTTACTGACCAACTCCACGGAGGAAGCATTTGTAAATTTCAAGGTAAGCTCAGGAATACGTTGCTGTTTACTTTTCCTTAAACGAAAATCGCGCACTGCCTGATAAGAACCCCAGGGGGGAGGTACTCCCTTATATGGGCTATATAGGTATGTGCGGCCCAAAAGAGTAAGGATTTCCGCCGTTTTGCTCATAATTAGGGTACCGATTTTGACCATTTTAGTCATAAATAGCGTATGATTTTTACACTCTGTTCTTAAACTGGGTATGTTTTTTAGAAGAAGCTACTTTTTCAGGTCATAAATAGGGTAGGGAAAACCGCAGATTTTGGTCACAAATAGGGTAAGGGTTTTGGAAAGCCGGCGGGCCACATACCCTCACCCAATTTTTCTAAGAGTACCCCTCGGGTTGATGACACAATAGCTGTCAATCGCCGGCATAAAGATTGCTATATCCTAGTCGTCTTGATGGGTGACTAAAATTACAGTCGTAGCAGCGACCACACTTGCGATTTTCGCCGATGGTTACGAAGGCTATAAATGAACATTGCCTTGTGTGCTTATAGCTTTACCCTAAAGGAGTTGTCATGACGAGATATAATTAAAACATGTTTGAAAGGAAACGGAAGCGAAGTGGATTATTCCCAGTCGCACTCGGGTCGAGTTGTTTGGTTTTGAACGAGTGTTAAGTTCTCTTTATTAAAGTGTTTCAGGTAAAGCTGAAATAAATAAATAAATAAATAAATAAATAAATAAATAAAAATAAATCACTTCATTTAAATGTCATGGTATTTAGCACTGCTGTGTCGATTGGGGACACTACAAATGAAGAAACACATATCGTTAATGGAACTGAAAATTTGTTAAAAATCCCAGCTGGTGGGAGCTGAGACTGACCAGTTGGCTACTTTCAAGACGTGGAGTAGTTGAAATCGGGACCACCCAACACTAATCCATCTAGTGGCAGGTGGGGGGATCTTAACCCAGTGCCCTAACTATCGAGCCACGCCGAATACTCAGGAAACTGAACTAAAAATTCAGGTTAATCTTGATTTGCTGAGCCATAATTTGAATAACTTGACCCTTACCCCTTCTTTATTTGATCTATTCAAGGGTAAGAACATTTCATCATTTTGGGCGTGGATGCGTGGTAAACTCTTTCCAGCTCTGTACGACACCAGATGGTACAATGGGTGGATGTTCGATTACGACGAAGGATTCATGGGCAACAGAGAGCTTTTTATGGTTGGAATGCCGCGTCTACGGCAAATAAGAATTAAGCCTGGTAGAGTATGATTTTCTATACATTATCAACGGTAATCCGGGGGGAATTGCTGTTTGAAATGTCGTTTGTCCTAATTAATTTGAAGCATTAGCATTTTAAACTACCACATTAAACGGCTGTAAAGTTTGCATACATCAACACCAAGTTAGTCATAAAATGTTTTAACCAGGTGAGTGCTACAAAAGACAGTTGTATCTAAGAGTTACTGGTAATGGAGAAATTTCTGCTCCATTCAGTTGTGAATTTGTAAAATTGTGATCATAAACGTACTTCCTCTTTTTTGATTATATGGTCGTTGTCCCGGCGACGTTGTGACATGTCGACGTCACTGGATTTTGTTGACTTTGATCTGATCCCCCAATCCATTGCTTACTTTGGCTGTTACCTACTCCCTAGAAAATTTGAGGAATTCAGAATATACTATATAGTGACTTTGTAAGCCATTTTTATGTTCAAGGGGAATTTTTAACCATTTAGATGAAAAGGCTCCTCTTTATCTCGAGCAACCATGAATATAGATGACCATGAAAACGTCGTTTACACGAGTATTGTCCGAAAAAGGTTGTTACTTATATAGCAGAATGTCGTTGAACATTTACTCTTTTTGAAACCTATTTGTAACCCTTAAGGTTTTATCCAGAGCCTTGGGTTTTTAAAAATATCGACGAAAATCATGCCGTGAAGCGTTTTTCTATGTTGTTAGAAAATGAAAGCGGTGATCATTTGGTTTGTCAGCAGTCGGTGAGGGTAGGAGGGGGCGGGGGGAGTAGAAAAGGGAATATTCCCTGATGACACAAAGGAAAGCCCTTCCTTAAATTTTAATTTGTTTGTCATATTTACAGCAAGCGTCTGTCCAGTGATAGAGAAAACGCCCCAATTGGGAGAATCGTTTACAAGATACATTCCTTCTTATTCATCGAAAAACGAATATAAGACACGGTACAATCTGCCCGAGTGGATTCCAGTGACAAACATGAGCCACAATCAGTCAGTGTTTGAATTGGAATGGATGTGTCCAAAGCCGTGGAGATACAGAACCCCGTGGGACTTAGACACGCTATCCTATGAAGGATATTACAGCACATACAATGGCGGTGGGTTCGTAGCTGACTTGGGATATAATATCAAGTCTGCGTTAAAAGTCGTAAACGAACTTCAGGCAAATAACTGGATTGACGAATTTTCAGTGGCGGTTTTTATAGAATTTACTATCTTCAATCCCTCTAGTTCGTTATTCAGTGTGACAAAATGTCTTTACGAGCGATCTCCTACAGGAGGAGTGGCTTTTTCGAGAAGCGTAAAAACACTAACGTTGTACCACACGTCGAACAACAACTTTCAAAAGTTTGTGGAAGTCTGCCAACTTCTCTTCATGGTAATCATTGTATTTTTCGCAATCGACGAAGCATACAAGATATACAGAAAGAAGAAAAAGTACTTCAGGGGTTTTTGGAACTGGGTCGAGCTGTTACAAATCCTGACCGCCTTCAGCTCTGTTGTTATTTACTTCTTAAAAGCTAAATACACGAGTTCGTTCGTGAAGAAAGTCCGGAACAATCCTTTCGAGACCTCAAGCGCGGATTACATTGTTCTTTGGTCGATGGTTGAAATTTATGTGCTATCATTTCTCATTTTTATCGTAACTATGAAGTTCCTTCGACTAATTCGCTTCAATCGCCACGTGTGCCAAATGATGGGAACTCTGGCTAGGGCGGCGCGCCCGCTCGTGTCGTACTCCGTGGTGTTTGTATCAGCAGTGCTGGCCTACACTCTGCTAGCATTTCTTCTACTCTCATCAACGATGAGACCATACTCATCGTTTTTCAACTCTCTGCGTGCCGTACTGCAAATGCTTTTGGGAGGAAAAATATTCTTTTACGAGATCAAATCGGTGAATAGCTTGCTAGGGCCGTTGTTTGTGTTTCTTTACATGTTTACGATGATGTTCATTCTTTTAAACATGTTTCTCGCCATCTTGAACGAGTCCTACTGGGAAGTTGTCGATAGCCCCGAAAATGACTTTAACAATGCGGATTTGGGACACTTTATGATCGTTTACCTGAGAAGAAATGCAAGGCTGCTGGGAAGACGATTCGTAAAGTCCCTGAAAAAGTGCTTTCAAGGGAGAATGTTCCCACGGAAACGCGGAAACAAGGAACTTGAGAAGTTGATCTCTAACGAAATCGAAAGAAAGGATAGCACTAAGAAACTCTGTCCCATTGCTTCGATGGAGTCACTTGCAGATGAAGAAGACGAAGACCCGCTGAAAAATACTGAGGAATGCGATGACCATGTATATCTAGATTCAGGAAACATTACTGTATCCCTCCTCTCAATAGACGAGTCGTACGAGTCAGAGGAAGACGAGTATCTCGAGAGGCTCCTGCAACATGTTAAGAGCGCGGCGCACAGCCCGGAATTTCGTCAGAATGTCCCACCTTTGCGTCCAATAGTAGAGACTAGAGTATGACATACATAAGGGAAAACGTGAAGTAATGCATGTCCGGGCAGGACGACCCATTAAAAAGGGGAGGTGTGCTCGTCGGGTCATTTAAATTCGGTAGCACTTAGGATGCTACAGCACGGAACTCCAGTGTTTTTACTGTCAAAGTATCTCAATGCTCTGGCAGGAAATCTTTAAAACTGCTCCATAGAACAAAGCACTCTATGACCAAGTTTTTAATCGGCATTGACGTCGCTGTAGCTGTTTTTTGTGTTTCTGTTTATAATCGTATAAATCTTCTGACTAGCATCTCCTCCCCTTTAACATGGAAGGTTAAGGTAGCCGTAATTTTTCAATAGTAGCTGACAATTACTTTGGTAAACCACATGACAGTTGTAGTACACATATTTGCGTGGCTTTTATACCTACATTTAATTGCACCTTTGTGATACGCTTCTACCAGATATCAGACGCGTTTGGTCGAACTCCGATAAGCCAAAATACCCATCGTGAGACGAAACAAGCCTGATACACTGTCGAGTCGATCGTATTTAGATGGCGCAATCAAATATTTTCCCTACACAGATTCGGTCAAAAATGTAGCGATTTCAGGTCAGTGACGTGATATCACAGGAAATTATGATTGTAAGCAAGACCTCTGATTGGATATTCCAAACCCTTTTGTGATTTTTCACAAGATGGCACTTTGACATTTTTCTACATTATCAGTTTTCAATTTTTATTTTGTTTTGAATTTTTATATCCATGTGAGTGTCATGCTTCACCGAGAAGAACAATTTATTTCGTTTTGCTCATCCTAAACATTTATTCCAAGCCCTTCTTGCATTCTTCCACCATTTTCTATTTACTTTGTGAAGTTTGCACAAGGCTGGCCTTGTTGTGGAATTTGTAATGTAGTAAGCTCACTTTAACATTACCTAAGTAAGGTTATGAAGCAATCTGTAACTGCTATCTCTACCTAACCCTGACACCAACACGTTTTGAGTTTATTTTTGACCGGGTAAAGCTGTTTTCTTTTTTATGAATGTGGTGTACCGTATACTAAAGATGATTTACAGTCCGTACTGCGCAGTCTCAGCACCCTAATGTTTATAAACATTATAAGATCTCACTCGATGGAATGCGAATCGATGTTATTCGTTACGAACCACATACCTTATCTTTGAGGCCTTTCAAATTCTTTTAAGTTCCAACAGCTTTATTGATTTTTACAGCTGCGAAGTTGTTTCATCAAGTGATAGGAGAAAGAACGAAGCATAAAGCTTCGACCGTTTCGCATCCACAATGGCGGTTGCTTTGAAACTTGAATTTGCTTCATGTAAGTAGCTGCGAAATGTTTACATTTTGTGATGTCTTACATGAAACAAAACAAAAAACGGAAACAAACTCTCGAGAGTGCGCAGTACGGATTGGAAATCATGTTTAAAAGAGTCACTTAATCATACTAAATCCTGTGGAATATCGTCTTATTTAGCCAATATAAACTGCTTACAACATACGCATCAAGAAATATCCTGCGTGACCTCTCTAAATTGGCATACCCAAGAACCACTTTGTTTTACAATGGGAACACGAGTAGTGTTTCTTATAGAGCTCTGTTTTGTAACGTTCTTTCATGAAAGTGTTTCATTCTATACAGTGGCGTATCTCAGTGGTAGAGGCGGTGGTTACGAGGATGGGTACTTAAACTTCATCTCCCTAAAAAAGGTTTGACGTATTTGGACCTGCCGTTATCCCCATCTTATCTGTTCTTCCTCTTCCCTTGATCGATGAAAGAGAGGGCCCAATTACATTTTGTTCTCATCCTTTCCGCTTTTGATAACTTCTGGTTTCGCCACTGATAGAAATTAGGAAAATTCTGTATTGGATTTTGATTTCTATTTAGTATATGCAAAGGCTGTATCAAGTGTTATCTTATATCTGCTTAGTTGTTGCAGTAGATGCCTTCAAGCTAGAATTTATGCCTAACAGTAGCGCCAGAGCTATGAGTATTAAATGAGGATAAAGTATAAAACGTTAATACGAGCTAAAGTAATAATCAGATCTTGATTAATTTAAGTTAAAGTACATAAACAATACATAAATAACAACATCTATTTGGGGTTATAAATCAGATATTTATTATGAAAAGTAGAATTATCCAATCTAGACTAACTAACTAATACATAAAAGACTGACAACCTCCATCCGGAGCGATTGTGTCCGCGGACGGTGTTTCCAGTGCCGAAAGCGGAAACAGACTTACTGGTAGAGAGCTCGAGGAAAACTCTGAGAGTCGACAGAAAAAGAGCTGGTTATTTAAACGAGGTTTGCAAAGCGTTTAAGAAATCGCTGGGCTACTTAGATTCAGTTGTAATAGTACAATTTCGCTGCTACCACAAGTGTCTTTCGTACACTCAATTTCAGCCGTAAGCAATATCTAGTTGACACACAATATATCCGCGGAGAAATGTAGGGCTATCATGCTTCTTATCCAGTTTGCCATAGCTCGACAAAGCTTTCAAACGGCTAAAAAATTATGTAGGGTTAAGAACCTTGATAATCTGTTCAAAGCATTTAACTCTACCCAATGAAACCGTTTATTTGAGACGTGGCCTGAACGGAAAAAACATAAATGAATTTCAGAAAAATAAGGATACGTCATAGATATCCCTCAACCGACGTCATGTGACTTTTGAGATCATCAAAACATTTGATGGATTTACATTAGAATAATTATGCATGACAGGGTGCTCTCTTGCTGGCAAGTAGTAAAGTATTTACCCATATAAAAATATATGAATAAAAAATATATTGCTATTTTTTATCAAGTGACCACCAGTGTTTATGGGATCAGGGTACTTACCATTTACATGGGAAAACCGGAAATTCTAGTTGGAAAATCAAATGGTTCGCGCCATTCCGTTAGGGAAGCTTCAGAAACTATGGGCCGTGATTTGAGGTGATGCTATTTTTCTGCTCTTTTAAGTCTCTCTAACTGATGTGGATATACTTTATAGCGATTCCTTCCCCCGTCGTCGCATTCAATTGTTTAATCTTTATGCCTGAAATTTCCAACCGGATGGTTTTTGTAAATGGTAAGCACCCTTGACAACGGAACCATTTTACACACAATGAGCTCAGTCCACACCGTTCACTCAAAAAACACAGGCTGATGGTTACCCGGGTGGCTCGACTCTGAGCAAGAGTATTAGAGAGCTTTACATTCATATTTCGGCTAGGGGGGAGGGGTTCTCCCAGAAACATTGGGCGGGGGAAAGGGGAGGGGAGTTGCAGCGAGCTTCTGGAAACTCTTACCGTATTTCTGTCCTAAATTTGCGATTTTGCCTACCTTGTTTCGGAACCCACCCAAAATCGGATGCCTCATTTCAAACTTTACACTTCAATCAATACGCTTTCACTAGACCTTCCTTATAATCAGTTCTCCAGTCCTAACGGCCAATAATGTTTATATGCTTTCATTAAGACAGCCTCTAAAACTGTACAATGTACGATTTTGTCGTATTAATCATAATGACTATAATAATTTTCAAGAAGTGGCTTCGTCTAAAACATACCTGAATCAGGGACAGAGTGCAAAAACCACACCGTATTGATGTCAAGTATATATTCAGTAAATTGGAAAATTTACTGCGATGATCATTCTTCACTTTCACCATACCGTATTCAGACCAAAATGGCTAAATTCTATATCCTATTTTAACCCAAAACAACTCAAACACCGTACCCTTTGGCGACACGTGTACAATTACCTAGACACGTGGCCCATATAAGGGAGTATTCCGTGGGGTATTTTTGAAGCATTAATGGTTGTATTACTCTTCTGGCCCTGGTTGTTTGAAAGGTGTATAAAGCTATTCACTGGATAAATCACTATCCAGCGGATGGCGTGGCTGCTGGATAGCGTGGTTTGTTTTGTGAACACTTATCCGCTGGATAGCGATTTATCCGGTGAAAAGTGTTATTCAACCTTCGAACAACCGGGGCCAGATGTTATTTTAGACCGCGGCTCATGATAATGTGCTATAGTTTCGTTTTTTTTTTTTTATTATCATAAGCAGCTCCAAAATTTGAATGATTTCAGTTGCAGAGAAAACATGCAAACTGTATTTCCTGGGTTATATATTTATAGTTGAACCCTGAAGCAAAAAGGACAGGAATCAGTTGCTATCATTTGCAGACAAAACATGTAACCTGTATTTCCTGGGTTATATATTAATAGTTGAGCCCTAAAGCCACAAGGACAGGAAACAGTTGCGTCTGACGTCATCGAAAACTGCGGCGCGTGCTCATTTGGCTTTTTGTGCTCTTTTGTGCTCTGCTTTCCCGTCGTCTTCCCGTTGCGAGCGTAAGTCGGTGCTGTTTCCCGTTGAGTCCACAACGTGAAACTTTTTTTGACAATTTCTTTCGTCGTAGTTCATCCGTCCTCAGAGGTAAGGGAAAATGTTTTTGGGATGTTCTCATCCTTATTTTGACGTTTACAATTTCTTGCGAGCGCCGTAAAGACTGGTTTTCACTAGAGCATACGCACAAGCACAAGCATAAGCATAAGCACAAGTGAAAACAGCCGCGACATAAGCATAAGCATAAGCATAAGCATAAGCATAAGAAGAACGAACCCATTTATTTGTCTTGTGCAGTTTTCACTAGTAACGCGCTCGACATGAGCATAAGCATAAGCCTAAGAAAAAACAGAACTGTTCGTTTTTCTTGTGCTTATGCTTATGCTTATGTCGAGCGGGTTAGTAGTGAAAACTGCACAAGAAAAATAAGTGGGTTCGTTCTTCTTATGTTTCTGCTTATGCTTATGATTATGTCGCGGCTGTTTTCACTTGTGCTTATACTTATGCTCATGCTTATGCTTGTGCTTATGCTCTAGCAAAAACCAGCCTCAAGGATCGTTTTTGTCGTGCAGCACTCTAGTCAGTATTTAGCTTACGCTTATATATGCTTACCAACAGCAGATCAAGTCGATAAAGGACTCAGACGAGGATCAAACAACAAAGAAAAAGTAAGTTTAACTTGAATTTGTGTCGTCTTACAACATCGAAATGGTTGCATGTGGAAACTTTATAGAAAAGCCTCCAACACCCATAAAAAGGACTTCCTAAAATTCAGAACTAACAAACCCGAGGGCTACATCTTGAAGAGACGAAGAAATCTGGGTTCTACTGCAGGTTTCATCGGCTGGATTTACTGTCCGTTCACATACAGAAAACCTGTATCTGTAAAAATATAAGCGTCTAGCGTGCATTAGTTACGTTTGGCTTTAAGCTTTATTTTCTCTTCATCGTCGACTATTGGATGTTGTTAAACTTTTGACTGTTTAGAAATGGAGTTATTTGGCTGATGAAGGCTATAATGTGACTCTACGAAAAATTTAGTTTTGTACCAAGTCATGAACATTATGCTAATTAAAAATGAATGCGTATATTCTTGGGTGACAAAAATCTATTCTGGGCACATTCACACCTTTGAGTTTATTTACACAGACCTTGTCTAAAATCTGCCTGGGTGTGCAGATGAAGAGCAAAAAATTGGCATTATTGGGAAATTTTCGCTCACTTCTAAGACTTTCACATGACTTGAACTTTCATTATTCTGCGTCAAGCCTTTCGTGCAAAAAGCGCATGGTTTTTGAGCTCGTTGACGACCAGCTCCAGCTCTATTGTTTATTAATTGGGTTGACGAGATCGTCGGACAGATAGCTCGCAGCGCGCAAATTAGCTTGCGTCAAGATGGTTATTCCACCAAAATAGTGACGTTTTGCACCGTTGAATAATAGTTTTTAATTGCGTATTTCTATGTGTACAGCTGACAATTCGGCAGGCCAAAACGAATTTGAAAATAGCCGTTACATATTTAGTGCTGGGGAAACTTGTTGGTGCCCCTTTTTTTTTCGTAAACGTTTTTTCTTAAACTTTCACGAGTTAGAAAACGCCAAATTATGAACTGTTAATGCCCATGTTTCTGCGCAGCGAAAAAGAGAAACGGCTGCTCTCGACTACTTTCAGTTAGGGCAAGCATCAATAAAAATTGCAACGAATACCACAGTGCAAAAATAATAGCGAGCCCGAAAAAAAAAAAAAAGTTCAAAACAAGTACATACATATAATATGCAGGCCGCAAACTTCAGTTATTGGACATTACGCTAAACATCTTTTCAAGGAAAAAATAATATTTTAAAACATAGATAAACGAGAAGAAACTAATGAGCAACTGAACAGCGAAAGCCCAAGCTGATAACATCTTGACACTATGAATATCGAAATGGTAATTAATGCAATTTCAATTCCCTTGGAGCAAGATTGCTATAAATAGCTTCGGGACTCACATGCTGCTACATCTATAGCAGGAATACGCGTCAAATTATGAATTTGATTTTAAGAGCTTTAACTTCTTATTCTGCTTATAACTGGAGACAATTATAACATTCTGACTATCCCGGCGAGTTATATTCACATATCTTTGGAAATGTTTATACAGCGTAACAACCAAATAATTATTTATACCAAAACCTACATCGATTAAGGAAAGAAAAAAAGAAAAAAAAAAAAAAGAAAAAAATGAGGCAGTGCTAAATTTCATACATCACTGAACATTAAATTGCTTGAACCACACTTATCAATTTTGGTTTGAAAACGGAGTCTTCGAATCAAAATGGCATCCAAATCAGCTTTCTTTGACACTATCAATTTGGAATCGTTTTTGCTCGCGCACTAAAGCGTTACATGAAAAACGATATAGAATAAGAAAGTGTCTGTACTCAACATGCGTAGAGTACTTAAGCCAGCGATATAAAGGCTCTCGTGACGCCAGCGTTTACGAAAAGCGACGCAGTGGATGATGTACTACAAAAGAGAAACAGCGTTTTCGAAACTATTGACCACCTATAGAAATTTTTATTTTTCGGATCCCCTTCACCGAATACGATGAATTGCCTTGCGGGAAAGGCGACTTGGAAACATCTTAAAATGATAACATTTTCAAGGAAAATTGACCCAGTAGCAATAAATTGTCCCCTTGATAACGAAGAAGGCATTTCCTTTTGGAAAACTAAGACCTTTTCCCTTCCAACATTACTGCGCAAGTCAGTTGAAATTAGTCGTCAGTAATTTCTTTGCTGCCGTTTTTGCGTAAACTAAATTAATAATTATGCAATGGAAATGAAAATTCTATATACCTTGGCTTTCTACCAGTTCAGTTTAGCGATCATACATGACGCACTCTACGATTTGCTCTTTTAACGTTTTTGCTGTTTGTTGTAGAAATTTCATCGATATAATACGGGTCTCCATGAAACTGGCAATTTTATGTGTTATTCCAAATGTTAGCCCCCATTAAAGATTAGAATAATTGTTATTTTAAAGGGACACTGCCACCATTTTTAGCATGATTTTGGAAATCTCAAAAACAATATTGATCATTGGAAGCTGAACAATAATGGTTTTATTTTGTAGAGTAGTACTCGACAATTGATTAGAATCCATTAGAAAGTGGGGATGGCTAACGATAGCGAGGATGGAAACGAATTGCGATATTGATGTTTTGAAAAAGCGTCAGGCTGTCAGTTTTTTCGAAAGTTCAAGTTTGGCTCAAAAATCGCTGAAATTTTGAAAAAATGATGCTGCAGAGTGGACGTTCTTCAAGAAATTGCTTTTAATCATTTAGTTAGAGCTATTTAAGTTCTTATTACATAAATTTAGGGATCGGACGATTTCGTCAATTTATAACAGTTTCAAGGAAATATATCGTGACTTTCTCTCTTTAAGATACCAATCGCGCTTTGTAGAGTCGAGAAATGAGTATTTGCCAAACTTTCCGTTTCATTTTGCAAATCTTTCTCGAACTATCGTAAAGAGGTATCAGAAAGTAAAAATAAGGTTACATTAAGGCATTTTATCACCATGTTTGAAGTATTCCTGACGTGTACAGGTCCCTTATCGCAGCACTTGCAATATTTCATGCTGATATAACTAGATTAGGAATATTTCCTTTGGCCAAAAGTGTATATAATATAGTTGGCTGGTTTGTGTTGCATGAGCAACGTATTCCATGCACCACACGGAGTTTATTTTCCTCCCAAAGACATATACATGTACTGCTTTTAGTTGTATAGTGTATAAGGAATTTGTCAACGAGTTCTTTCAACTAGTAATTCGTAAAAGGCTTTATCTGTTTCTCGCAGTGTATTTTCACTCTTCGTAGATTTGTCTTTCCCTCCGGCTATTTGGCAAAAAAAATGAAAACCTATCTAACAGGAACTTTTGCAGGTAAATTGACCGCGTGAAAACAAGAAAATTTAGTTTCAAAATCGAATCAATTCACGGTAGGAATTTTGTAAATATTTCAAGTCTTCAATTATTGCATTATATCCACGGGTATACATTGGAAATTTTAAGACAAGAAAATGAAGAGATGATCCCTACCGATGGTTATCTATTAAATCTACATTTGGTCCTGTTTGCGTCAGTCGTTTCGCCATCCACGAAGAAGACTTATCTTGTGCGTTTATTTGTCATAACACATACCATTGCCCTTTTGCTCCGTGCTACAACACTTAAAAAATTCAAATTTGTACTTCTGAGGTATCCAGGCAAAGTGAATATTCATGTTTCAATACTGAATATTGGTTTTTATTAACTGGTATCTTACTAGAAGGGTTTGGAAACAAGTTGCTGAACTGATATGCACTGATATACCTCTTTGTCACCGCACGCCTGGTGTGTAAGGTAACATATTTCTCCTCTTTCATACGATGACAACAACTTGAAAAACTATATCCGTGAAAGTAATCCGATTCTTGAAAGCGCGGAGCCAGTCCACCTGTAGCATTGGAATATTATAATAACTTGCTTTTCTTGTCAGGAACAAAAGCAAAACGGGGAAATGGGCCTCTTTGGAACTGGGTATTATGTAATCTGCTCTGCTTTAAATTTTACACTTGAATCAAAATTGTAGTCGCTGCCATAACATTCTACATTGAGCAATAGCAAAAGAAATAATGGCGATTTCGCAATTTGGCATTGTATCGGGAACACTATTGAGCCCTGTTTTAAAGTTTTCTCAAGCAGCCTGAAGAATACAGTCACCTTTTTCCCTGAAATCCGTGTCCACTTTGGTTCTTGGAATAACGTTTCGATATCCGTTTTACATTACGCAATTTTTTACTAGCGCCTCAAACGGTCACTAAAATGGCATTTTAGTGTATGCCTCTATGACTTTATTTCACCATTCGCTTACAGCTGAGTCTTGTCAAGTGTACTTCCTGTCGAGTCTATTAAAGGGCGAGAGGTCAGAGGAGGACTTAAGAAACTAGGGAGGCCTCCTGGCTTAGTCCGTCGTCGGAAAGGTTCTTTTCATTTTGCTTAAGAAAGGAAAAGAGCTATGTGTAGTAATTAAGTCAATTTTGTTTTTGCCTCTTAAGGACATCTTTCATTTGGTAAATAAGAAATGGTCAGTTCAGTTTATCTGTGTAAGATCAAGAAAGTATCCCTCTATAGAAGGCTGTTTTATTTAATTTTGACGATGTTTCTGCTGACCTGTACACAACATGTTCATCTACCGAGTAATATTACGGTTAGTCACTCATGGAGACAGCGAAAGGAGACATCATGCCATTATTATCACAGAGTAGGAAAATGCTTAACGTATTCATAAACGTATAGTTCTCACATACAACAATAGAAAGAATTCAGAAATGGCTTTGTCTTAGAAAGGGTGGTGGGTTTCACTTCCTTCTATGCAAAGTTCGTTGCCACTTGTAATTAGTCCTTGGATAATTAATTGCTTTTTCCTATACATGTTTGCTTTTAATACACAGGTAGAGAACGGAGAATACTTCTCTGTTTGCTAATAATCCTTGAAAGATGGGATTTGTTGCTGTTGCTGTTGAGATTTCACTGATATTGCTGTTAACAGTTTTCTGTGGAGTCAAATGTTACGACTTGCTAGGTTAGTCACTTTACATTTGTTTTTTGTCATCCCTTTAACCTTAATAGAAATTAAAATGCTAATGACGTAGACCTTAAAGAAGTGATTTATAGAAATTATTTTCGAATTCTTAGAAGTGAACGCATGGTTACATTAGATAGCGTTTTATAACATGGCTTAAAATGAAAGATTTTCCGCTCAAATGACTAAACAAATAATAAGAAATCAAAGGACACAAATATTACTGTGTTTTCTTAGTCTCATTGGAGTCGTTGTTTTGATCAAATAAGCTTAAAATATTGTTTACCTTTCATAGATCACACAAAGATAATTTCCGGAAATTTATGTAAACTGACTTAAATGATGTTTGCAAACATCCATTAACAGATTGTGATTGCTTGTCCTTGGGTATAAAAACAAATCATTAATAACGACCTCAGCCATTTGCGGTCAAGTGCTTTGAAATCGAAGCATTTCTTTTCCACTTGACTGTAAATTAGAACAGTCTAGAAATATGTTATCAGCACTTTTGTAAATCAATCTCAGCTTCAGATTGTGATCAAGACCTTAAAGTGTATGAACTCCATGTGGGCTTCGTTGCCCTTTTCCTAAGTTAAAGACTTCTCGACATAACGCATAAGATAACCAGAAATTAAATAGCATGCTAGTTTATAGACCCAGATTTTTCTCGTGCCGAACCGTCGGTTTGGACGCTCTATATGATGAAACGATATTTTTTCCCGTGTTCAAAAAACGCGTTTAACGATTTGTGTTTAATTAAGTGCGCAAGTTTTCATGCAACATAAATTGTAAAATCGAATACAACTGATTGTTTTTAAAAAGCTCTGGTATACACGTATAGAAAGATTTGATTTGAGAACGTCACATGTTTGCATGATAGTTTGGCTTCACAAGTAGGCAGTGCAGGGGTATAATTATGACATTAGACATCTGTTTCTCTGAGGAAATTGTTTTTTCTCTAGCTTTGTCAAAACCTACGATGCGATTTGCAGTATTCTGGCGTTTTCTTATTTAAATCTTATCAGTTTCTATAACTTAGAATTTTTTGTATTTACATGCAAAAACAGCGGAAAATCGATTCAAGGTCGTCGTTCGTTTAGTTGGGCATCGAAGATCATCATTGATATGATCACATTGCTTTGCCTGAGTATACATCAGACCTCCGTTTCTCAAGGATTTCATCGCGAGCTTTGCTTCCGGAAAACTGCTCTGAGCTGTTTTGTTTACTGTTTTCTTAACCCTGGGCAGCAGAAATTTTGCCCTTAAGAGTAATTTTTTCGAAATACTTCAAAATTGTGCTAGGATGAAATTGCATCCTATGCCGAAATAGTCAATTCAAATCAGTTAGCGGCTTAGAGCTGCAACTGCAGAAAAAGCACCTACGTACATTTACGGTGCATTCTATCAGTCTCTTTAACTTTTCTGTTATTCCTAGTAATTATTGTTCGTAAAGAGTCAATGTTGCAGTGAATTGTAATTATGGTTGCATTACAAATGTACATATTTTTATCATGACATTTTATGTAGCGGGGGAACATTGGTTAATATACGCTTTATTTGGATTAGGCGAACTGAAGAACGGATCTCACTAGCCTTACTGTGATGTAACTGATTTAAAGTAGATTGGTGGCTACTTCACTTGGGCTATAGGGCACGAGTAACGCGAACCAAAAGTTCACTTTAGCAAAAAAGGTATATCCCTTGGACGAGAAGTAGCTCGCAAGTACTAACCATACTGCTTTGGAAACGGCTGGAAATATGAGCTTTAAAGACTGTTTAGAGTAGTCATCTTAAGAATTTATGATTAAAATCATTTTATGAAGGACTATCTGTTATTGACATAATGAATGTATGAAATATATTTGCATATTTAATATTCGTTGTTAACGATCTCTGAGTATTATTTCCTTCCTGTTTTCGTGTCAGTGTTGCTTTTCAACCGTTTTGAAGTAAGACACATGTTCAGTTTTCGGAAATGTAAAGACAGCCGACGCAATGGATGAGCCATTCTCATATCAGTTTCATCAAATGTCCTATTGCGATGAATAATTTCAATATCCTCTTTCTTTTATAATTTTTGTACTGAAAATGTTGCTATTTTTGTCATGGTATCTACTCTTGTGAAATCAAGCACGTTTCAATAGAACATTTTACTACCTCCCTCCTCCCTAGTAATTGGAAAAACGCGTGACCTTGGGTAATCTTCGTCACAGCGGGTAATACACGGTTGTTTTTATAGTTGTAGACTGAATCCAATATTTACCTTCATAAGATAGTTTATATTTATTTATTTATTTATCTATTTAGTTCTTCATTTATTTATTTTTATTTATTTTCAAAATGAAGAAAGGTAAACCTTATCAGGAAAATTCATATTAGCAAAAAGTCAAGGTAGGTTCGATAGCGCATTTACTGAGAATCTCTCCTATTCCTTTTGATATTACTCCCCCTAACCTGATTAATATCTCAGCTTGAGAAAGACTCGTGTCAATTATTAAAGAGATCTATGTTGAAAGTGGAAAAAAATGAAAAGAAAAAAAAAAACCTAAAATAATGCAGGCGATATGTGTATTCATATACATTTACAAACGTCAGTCGTGGTGAGGAGTGCCAAATTTAAATTACCAAGTTATTAAGCTTTCTGTGTTAATCAAAAAATTAGTAGTAAACTTACAGCTTTTACGTTGGTCACATCATGGTCACATCTAACTTGCAACTTAATATGTTGGCGTCCAGGTTATTGAAACATCAGTCTTGCACTGGACCACCGCCAGGCTTTGAATTCATTCACACAGTGGCGCATTTCTGATTATGAAATATAATTATTTACACAGAACAGTTCGATTCCATTCAGTAGTCTAAAGAATATATCTTCATTTACAAAGTTGGTCTGATAAATTGTTTAAATTTTGGAACAAAGTTCTATAAGAGTCGCCCCGATATCCGCCCTTTTGCTCTGCTTCTTGACATTTCTAGATGGAAAATGGTTCAAAGTTGGGGTTGAAGTCTTAATATTAAACAGGTGTATATTTTTTCGAGTCAGACTTACTCGTCGTCAATCAATCAAAACGAAAACAAGATATGAAAGTTGCAATCTTTCATCGCATAATTTCAAATTTTCCTGATTTTGCCAAAATGTACTGTTTAAACTTTTTCCTTCGTGACTTTTCAGAGGTGGTTGTTTTAGAGCATTCTAAGCTCGTGCAGCTATTTAATAACATACCGTCGACAAACGCCAGCGAAGGACAATGGCCCCATCCTACCGTCAAACCTACAATCTATAGGAGTGAAAGAAACTTGGAAATTAAAATTGCGTCGTCTTATTGAATAACAGAAGCTCGTGCAAACAAAGTTTTTAGCTCAAAAAGAAGCGTGGTCAAAAAGCTATGAACTACTTTCGCGGCAGGTGTAAACGACCGTTCGACGCTTTCGAAACTGTGTGGCATTTGAAATCACCTCTGGCAACATTAAACCCACTTCTGCTGTTTTATACTAGGTTTGCAGTATCTTTTTCACATGACCGGCAAATGACGAAGTTTCCTCTACAGACAAGTTGCTATTGACAACGGGAAGTGATTTTCCACCAATTAAATATCTTCTATTATAATAAAGTTTTTTCCTTTCATGAAAATAGCAAGACATCTCACCAGGTTTCGGCAGACTATGTGCGTCTTCGAGATAGCGACTATAAACTTGAAAGTTGTAAGATGAGACTAGTTCTCCTTTGCAATTTGTTGGTGTCATTCGTATTAGCAAAAGTTCGACATAGGCCAATCGGGATACCAGAAATAATCGGTAAGATGGTGTTAGGTTGAGTTCTAAAGTGATTCTAAAAACCGTAAAGTTTCTGCCTCGAATTTCATAGAGTAGGTTTCGACCAAAGCCATATTAAAACTTGAGTCCTGTGCTTGTAATTTTCCTCCCTCCAGTTAATTGTAGATCTCCGCTTGGAATGGAATCCGGTGCTATACCAGACAGTGATCTAAGTGCTTCGCCATCTTTTGACGGGGATCTCAACACTTATGGACCTCAGAGAGCAAGGCTTAACCTGAAACGGCGGCCTTACTACGGATATCGCGCAGAACAAAGATCACGAAGCGATGGTTCTGCTGAGTCCAACGAGACTTGGATCATGGTCAAGTTACGAAACGAGACTGTGATAACGGGTGTTGCTACTCAAGGATATGGTGTCACAGAAGCCCAGGAGTGGGTCACTAAGTACACATTGATGTATTCAAATGGAAACGAGTTTTTTCCCTTCAGAGAGAGAAGCGGAAATATCAAGGTAAGCTAATACTTGTATTTTGTTGTTTTGTTTTTAGGTTCGTCCTAATTTATCCAACAAGTGTCCTGATTAAAGTAAAAAACCGAGCGAAAGGTCGTTGAATTTTTTAATTTAAGTCAGCAGTAAACCTAGGTAGTCTTAGTATTTTATTGATAAGCCAATATTTTCCTATTATCTCATCAGTGGCATTTTATCTAAGCATAAATGAGCTGTCTTTCATTGTTGCTTTTTTGCCATCCATCTTCCAGAATCTTCAAGCAATCAAAAATGTCTGCATTGCTCAGATTGAAGTGTTTATTTAAAAGATGTTTAGACTTCTTTGATCGTTAAATCAAGGATTTCTTCAAATTTTCATGAATTTTACGTTTTCATCTCACTGTTTTTAATGACATTTAAAATTTGTCGGTGGATTCAAAGTATGTTGAAGAGCAAGAGTTTCGAGCGAATGATAACTGGCAGACGTCAAAAACTGCAATTTCATGACAGCATACCTCCTTCATCTTTCCTTGTTTTCAAATGCAAATTTTAAGAATTGTGTTTTAATCAGCACCCCATGTCTTTTTTTCCTTTTCAAATACAAATTTCCACAATTATGCTTTGACTGCCAGTGCAAATAAAGAGATATATTAATGGAGAAAAAGAACATAAAAATAATTCATTCTGGTAGTTTTAGCAACGCGATATCAGGGCTTATTTGACATCACGATTAATCGCTAATAATGCACGATAATAAAAGTATTATCGCAAAATTTGGAATTCATTTATTTACGCAATTTTTCATTTCCACTTTAATCTAGCCAGTGAGTTTTGGCGTCAATAATTTGTGCCTTTTCCCATTATTAAGCAAGCTATAGCTAATAATGCCCAACAGGAGCCTGAAAACTTCTTTTTTAATTGTTATTGTTTCTTATGCCGATTTTTGTAAAAAATGGTTTTCCAAATGAAGCTTCATGAAATGATCGTCGTTTGTATTTAATTTATAGTCTGAGTCAGAAAGTTAATGATTACTGGTGTAACTGGCTTGGATTCATTGTAAGGCCGCAGATTCAGTGTGCATCTGAACACGATGGTTTATTAACTTCAACTGATGCTGACTCAAGGAGGAGATTCATCTACAAGAGGCTTAATTTCACAATTTCCGATATTCGAGAGCCCTAAAAATCAACTCGTGAATAAAGGAATAACTTGGGACATTAAGGGTAGGTTAGCCCAGCATAGCCATCATTTGACGCACCGTCAAAGATGCAGACGCATTTGCATTTGTCAAAGAGACTGATCTTTCTACTGAAAAAAAAAAAAAAACCCTTGGTAAATTTAGCTTGGGGTTAAATATCTTGACATCAACTGATGAGGAACAGTTTTATGTGCTGTTTTACGTTCGGTTCCCCGCCATAACCATCATCTGCATCTGCCAAGGATGCAGATGTATTTGTCATTGATGCTGATCTTAATAATGAAAAAACCTCTGTAATTCAGCTTCGGGTTTTTAATTTTGATGTCTACTGACGAGGAACAATTTTACGTTTAGTTTTAGTTCATGTTCCCCAACATTGTCATTATATGACTCATCGCCAAAGATGTAGATGCATTTGCATTTGTCATCGATGCTGATCTTTTTAATGAAAAAAACCTTTGTCAATTAATCCAGCTTCTGGTTAAATATAATCTTGACAAACAATAAAGAGAAAACGGTTTACATTCAGTTTCACTTTAGGTTCCCCAACCTATAATAGCCACCTACACCGCCAAAAATTAGAATGCATTTGCATTTGTCAAAGAGGCTGATCTTTATAAAGGATGAAGTAAATTCAGCTTGATGTTGATAATCGTGCTATCCACTGGTGAGAAACAGTTTTACATTCAGTTCTATGCTAGGTTCCCCAACATAGTCATCATTTGACGGATCGCCAACGATGCACTTGACGAAGTGGCTGATCTTTATAATGAAAAATAGAATAACTTTGGTAAATTTAGCTTCGGGTTAAATGTCTTGACATCAACTGATGAGGAACAGTTCAGTGCTACGTAGCCATCATCCTACTTGGTGCCAAAAGATGCAGTTGCATTTGAAATTGATGCTGATCTTTATAATGAAAAACAAACAAAAAAAAAACCTTTGCTAATTTAGCTTGAGGTTGATAATCTTGATATCAACTAGTAAGAAACAGTTTTACATTCAGTTTTACGTCTGCTGCACAGACATAGCCATTATTTGACACACTGCCGAAGATGAGGATGCATTTGCATTTGTCATTGACGCTTATCTTTATAATGGGAAGAAACCTTTGTTAACAACTGATGAGCAGCTTGAGGTTGATGATCTTGATTTTACGTCCAGCATTACTTATGGTTACTTTAGCTAGGTTCCCCATCATCTTGCACACCGCCAAAAGTGCGAATGCATTCGCACTTGTCATTGAGGCTTATCTTTATAACGAAAAAAGCCTTTTTTTTTATTCACCTTGTAGTTTATAATCTTGGCAGCAGCTGATGAAGAGCAGTTTCAATTTAAGCTTAGGGTTTCTTAAGGGGATTTAACCCCCTGCCGTTTGCTGAGAAAGCAAGAGTGCTGCACACCCAACGGAAAAACGTTTAATACCAGACGGTGTAATCATATAGTTGCTCCTCATCGTTTATCACTTTAGACATGGTTGCAATTGCATTGTTAGCCTAAACTCCGTAGAAGCGATTGCGTATATTTTTAGTTTGAATTACCTAGGGCTATAACTTTGGTAGTAAGTGCTGAGAAACGGTTAAAAGGTCAAGTGCTTCCATTCATTAGCCCTTGCTGATGAAAAAAGGTTTGCAGTTGAATTAAACCCAAGCGTTCCTTTGATTATGTTGCTATGTTTAAGACCGTTTACGGACTAAGATATATTGTCCTCCTGTGCCATCAAACCCCACTTTCTAATGTGACCGTTTCGAAGATACTGGATCAATGCGGAAGTCATGATTTTCATCATAAATGTCACACTACTCCTTCTGTGGGCGGTGGAGGCTTAGGGTGTCAACAAGTGTCTTGCTCCTTACGTGGGTCTCGCTCTGATAAATCAGTCAATGGGTCGAAATAATATCTACTAGGAATAATAGCAATATTGTTTAGAAAGTCCGGAAAGTACAATAAAACAATTCCAATTTAGCTCAAATATAACAAGCCTTTTTCTATAGAGCATGACTTCTCTCTAGCAAGTCGGCTATAAAGTATATGCTCTGCAAGTCCTAAAGATGCAAAGCCACAGTTGTCATTATTTTGCTCTCAGAAGACTGCTTTGCTTTATCCCACTTTAAATTAAAAAAAAACATTCGCCACTATTGTCATGCCGTTAAAATCGCTTTAAGAGGTGTGTAAGCCATGGAAGCTAAATGTTTCTCAAGTTCACGGTTGAAAATGAGTTTCGATTGTTGCTCTGATCTATCTTGAAAGCTATCATAAAATTACTGAAACAAATTAATGAAACTTTTTCCATTCTAAGAGGATGGCATTTAGAAGCATTTCCCTTACCTTAAAACAAACCAGAATGAATTTCTGAGCGTTCAGGCATTCTTTGAATACATTTGCAGGCAACTTTATTCCCGCCAGAAACTGACCTGTGACAGCAGACCGGCTTTTATCACGTCGTTTATAACGTTAAAATAACGGGCAAGAGTCAGTAGATGATGATGCAAGCTGAACAAAAATCACCGCGTTTTATATGCTATATTTTATTATGAAAATATTGAAGTAACAATAATAGAAAACAAGAAGTGAATCTCAATTTAATTTTAAAAGTTGATTTTTTGTGTTTAAAGGAATTCAGAGGAAATGTCGACAGTAATGGAGTTGAGCACCACAACGTTCCACTTCCTGTTCTAACATCAAGGGTTATGTTAGTGCCGCTGACCTGGAATAATAATGCGGGCTTGCGAATGGAACTTTATGGATGTGCACCTGGTAAGCACATGTATTTCTTTACTTAAAATAACTAATACTTTCATGCCAACTAGTTATAAGTCATACTACGACACTAAAAATGAAAAATACAATTTTTCCTGTTAAAAATATTAGTGTACGAAATTACCATAACTGTGAAATTAAAGCCGGGCAGTAAATTACTAAACTTAATCCTTAAAAACTAAGCCATAAAAGTCTTGTATCCCTCGGCCAGTTTTTTTATATATAGTTTCAGATTCCCGTGTTTTACATTGTTTACTTATCCATCCAAATCTACAGGTTACTACTTTCTGGCGAGGCTCAAAATAGCTGATCATGGTGCATTTTTCACTCTTGCGTTTGCGGATGAATTAAGTGAAGATTACCAAACCTGGTCAGCTGACATTACAGACGAGGTAAAGGGATTTTGATTTTGGGTTTATTGGTTGTAGCATAAAGTATTAGGCTCTCACCTGAGGGGATGGTATTCCATCACATGATACTCAGCATTATTTCCCAACAATTCTTCGATAGCCGTTCATTCATCTGAATGAAACTAGGAAGGACCATGTAAATGGTGCAGTGGGAAAACGGCACTACGGGGCCATTGGGCTGGAATACCGAATTCTGAAACTGTCAAAACTACAAAACGAAATTGGAATTGCAATGATCACGATAATGATATAACTTGGCATAAAAAGGGTACATGTTCCTTTTTTCGCTTGCCTGGTGATATTGTTTAATGCTCTTTAGGACGTCAGTCAAGACTGCCGGTGAAAACGGCTGATAAATTTTACCTTCCCATTAGGTTCAACGCCTCATCGGAAATGTTCCAGGATTCCTTCAAGTGAAATTGCGACGTTTTCGGTAAGTAAGCCTTGTATTGAATGGAGTTGTGTACTCGTGAAACTCGTACAATGTAAAAAACGCTCGGTACAATGTAAATAACATAGTGGCGTGGAAAAAAAGAACATCTTCCTATTTTACCTGTATTCAGTTCAAAAATACGTGGTTAAAGTTCCTTTACTGACAAAGATGTTTTAGGTGATCTTTCTTTTGCTACTTGAAATGTCTTCCACTTGCAGAAGCTTTGTAGTTCGCTCAGCCCCTTGAAATTGAAAACCAAAAGTTATATCCATATGTCCTTTCTCCAGGAAACTGAAATTAGATTTCCATTCCCTCTTGCCTTTGTAAAACGATCTGTTGCTTGCTACAAGTAATAAGATCAGTTTTTAAAGTATTGAAGATTTACTGTTTGCTGTATCAGATTGAGTAGGGATTCTGTCGGACCATTAGTGTTAGCTGAGGTTGAGATACATTGCATTAAAGAGGCCGCTCGCTTTGTTGCTGGTAAACTGGAGAATTCTGTCGTTTCGACGGACAGCATATTTAAACCAGAGGTCGACGTCTCCTTTCCAGGTAAGAAAAACAAAGCTTATGGTTTAATTTAACCAAATTAAAATAGAAAGTCTTGAAATTCGGCCCAAAGGGCCATCGAAGATGGATTCTTCGAGGAATTATCTTACAGTACTGGCCTCGTGTATGTATTACGCCGAAACGTAAGCTATGTTTGGAAATTAGGATAGTTTTGGCCATTTATAATTAGTGTCTACATTTCCCTTCATAAGAAAAATATTTCAGGCCGGTCGAAACGTTGGAAAGTATGGCGTTATTCCAAATAACAGTTCTCCCTTTTGTTTTCTTTAGGAAACTTCAGTTGTTTTTTCCCTGATGCTGATATCCATGTGGATGGAACTAAAGCGTTAGCAAAGGAAGTCTTAACGATATCACAGTTAACGCTCTCACCGGTTATAACCTTCTGCCATCCACAGCCTATGTCGATCCAAGCGTCACTTTGGGAGACGTCCATAATTGTGGGAGATTTTCCCTCGCCATTTCAAGAACTCGGCAAGGGGATAGAGCAGGTATTGAACCCTCGTATTAACTGCACGGATTGTTATCCTGTCTATTTATATGTGAGGTTTACTGCTCATGTCAAGGAACTACGGAGAAAAACATTAGAGAGCTTTATTCTTCTGAAAGTTGACCAACCAGAGCTAGTGGCGAAGATAGAAGGTCCAATGAAAGCTGCTAGAGGAATCGGCGAGATATTTTTGGACGCTTCTAAGTCACACGACCCCGACAGTTTCGCTGAAGGAGAGTTGAGCTTCACTTGGTTCTGCAAGAGTAAGAAGGATGAAGAGTTTCCTAAAGGAACATGCCCATATGCAAGGACAGTTTCAGACGGAAAAATTTTCCTCGTTAATGTTAACAGACTGAGATCAAATCACCTCTATGACTTTAAACTCGTTGTGTCAAAAGGAACACGGATAAGGAAGGCAATTCACACCTTGAAGGTCCTTCCGTCTGTAAACTTCACTTTCAGGTGAGAAATGATGTAGCGATTTGTTATGATTAGTTATGAATAGTTCCACAGTAATAACGGAGTGACTTCGTTTAGAGTAAAAAGTTCAGACAACAGAATGCAAAGTGATGTCGTGGGTATATTTTTACAACTCCGTTAACTCATCCAACATAACCATAATGAAAGGAACTTGCTATGCATGTACAATTTAGTCTGAGCAGGCGAGTTTTTCAGTGTTCTGTGGTCAGCTCATTATGTCTTTGGTGTTTTCTATGTTAGTAAACTACTGTTTTCAGGTTTCCCTCAAGTTAAAGACAATTTGTACGTGGCCAAAAAACCTTGTCTGGGCTCCTTTAAACACTTGTTCGTGGCGAACGTATCACATCGGATGACAACCTCTCTCATTAGCTGAGTGATTTGCACACCTGGGCCGGGTTGTTCAAAGCCCAATTAAGCTAACCCAAGATTAACAAGAATTTTGATTTCAGTTTTGTAACTTTTCGGTGAGGTTTTCTGTTTGTACTGTTGGTCCTTCAGTTTTGCGCTTGACTAAGCTCAAAATACACAAAACGTAAGCGGTAGAAAACATTTTTATACCAGAAAAATTAATACTTGGTTAACTTTTACTCTTGGGTTAGCGTTAACCGGTTTTCGAACAACCCGGCCCTGCCTGTTAATCTGATGGCTCAGTTTTAAATACGATTACACAGACGTTAATAAACACCCCCAAGATGGTTATTGATGTAGAGATAACCATATCTAAGTGAAAATGATATATAGTACCAGTTCAGTAAAAAACCTGAAGCCATTACCTCTAAAATGTACCACGCCAAGTTCCTTTTTAAAGTTATTCACTACACAATGAGCCTCTTCGCTCATTTTCGTGAAAACAGAGAGAGCAATTTCAAATCTGAGCTTTCTTCATATACAGTACATGAAGTAATTATTGTTTCCTTTTTCCCCGAGGTGCCGTGCAAATTGTGGAAAGAAAGTGCTTCAGTCCAAAACATTGAGGATCGAGCCCAAATGTGAAGGCAAACTGTGTGATCGTATCATCAAAACAAAATGGAGCATCCACACACTCAACTCTACGGTGAACAGCCGTTGGTGGAGAAAATCAAGCACCTTCGTTGTAAAAGATTTCTCTTCGGATGTTTACCCTTCAAAAACAAGGAATCCTCATTACAAAATAAGGGCAGTTATTGCAATTCGTGTACAAAATGAAGTCATCAAAGAAGAATACGATGAAAAAATTATTCTGAATTCCCCGCCATTTATCACTGATCGCAACAGTGGATGTTTTGTGACGCCAAACGAAGGTTACGCTGTAGAGACTATATTCAATATCTCTTGCTTGGGCTGGAGTGACGAGGACGAGCCCTTAAATTACGAATTTCGCTACAACACGAGCGATGGTTTGATAATCAATTATCCAAACGTGGGGACTGGAAAGAACACACTGTCGACAAACCTTCCTGTTGGTAATAAGGCTGATAATTTCGAGTTAAGAGTGGATGTGTACGTCAAGGATTCACTTGGAGATTTGACCATCAGCAGCGTGGCAGTGAAGGTAGGCTGGGAATTTTCAGCGATCAAACGAACTGCCGGTGCAGTTACCGCCCAAATTGCCAGACCTGCTAAGAATGCCTTTCTCTACTCTTCTCTTGGCAAGAGCTACTGCCGTTACCTTTAAAACTGTGTTATTTTGTTTCGTTTAGGTGAAGGACAAATTCTCTGAAGACGTCGCCAGAACCTTGGACAAGATTGCTAACAATGAAAGTAACAAATTCACTAATTACATAAACAGCAATAAACCTACCGAAGCGTCTGACGTGGCAATATCTGTACTTTCACTCTTGGAGCAGAGAAGACGTTCAAGTGGATCGGAGGTTGGTCTGCTCCTTCTGCGCTGTGTTAGAGGGATCCTAAAACTATTGTTTTAAATCATATCCTTTTTCGCTATACTTAACGTTACACAGATAAACATTGCTTATAGCGTGGCATTAAAGCATTGCCCAGGGAAAAGGAGAGGACAACAATAATCCGAAAACTGGACTGGGCTGCTTGAGGAAGCGAAACGCGGAACTTCCCCTTTTCACTGTGTCCCCGTTTTACTAGTCCTCGTTTTACTATCGTAGCCCAGTCTATTTGAGTTGCTTGTTTATCTAAAAAGAGGTTTTCGAGAAGTCAGAGATAAAATTAGTTGCTTTAATTCTGGTTTTTCTTTTTTTGCTAGGGAGAAGATGACAATGACCAACATGCAATATCAAAGGAGAAAGTCCGAAAAGTCAGTATAATTACATGAGACTGCATTAAGATTATCATAGGACAAACATACTGTGGATGGGTGCATAAGATAAATTCTACAGCTTCTAGTATTAGGTCTTGTGATTTCAGATTCGCTAGTGAGCTATCTTTCTGCTTGCACTGGCAAAAAAAGTTTTCATAGGTGTATGTCGCGCATTTGGTCGCCTAGTTTTGTATGCATCATTTGTGCGAGCACTGCATTTTTAAAATCTGGGCTTAGTTTTACCTTAAGAAAAAAAAAGACGCAAGCACAAGGCCCATTCGTTCAAAGAGTGGATAGTCCTATCCGCCGGCCGAGATAAACCGCTATCCAATGAATAAGTACTGACAAAACATGCTACGCTATCAAAATGATTTGTGCACGGCATCACGTTTTCCGTCGATTAAGCAAGGCGTCATGGTCAACTTTCTTTCCACTGGTTGACAGGTAGAAACTAATAACTTTGGATAAACCATCCATTTTTAAGGGCAACTCTATTGTATGACCGCAATGCATCTGGAACTATCACTTGGATAGCGGTAAAATACGAATTAAATAGCTCATAATCAAGAATTAACGGTACATAAATTAACACCTGAGAGTTGCGCACAAAAACCTGACTGAATTGAAATTCTTTCTTAATTTTTTTTTCTCACTGGTATATTTTATTCTATTGCGACCCTTAATCAAGTGTTTTGATCATGTTTAGTTAAAAGACAACATCATTGATGAATTGAGCAGAATCAAAATCGACAGCAAGGAACTTCTCACAAAAGTAAGCACTGCGGTAGCCATGGCAGCCAAAGAAAGAGATGAAATATCGCTAGAATCACAGGTACTGTCTTTTTGTTTAAATCGCTGGAATTAGTTGACTTAGAGCAATTATTTGTCTTTATTGCTTTATATCCAAAGACGTATGTAACGGCAATGTCGAGAATGAATCAATATAAATATCCCATGTAAAACACGCCTTTCCAGAGATCTCTGGGATAGCAAAAGGGAAAGGAAGTGAAATAATTTCTCTACTTGTACCTTCGTTTGTCGAAATGATGGGCCTGTAATTCTTCTTCGCCATACCAAGCGGTCACGTACCCCTTTCGCTCCAGGCGAACTTTTGGCAAATGTTCGCCGAGGTATTGTTTAAATCTCGACGATATTTCGCTTGACAAAACTAAGAGGTACTGCTTAGATTCGTGAAGTTTCGTTTGTTTAAACACAAACTTTAACAGCCCCCTAATGCAGCATGTTTTAAAAAACAAAGTGTTGATGGGAATTAGAACGATATTCTCAAAGTTTTGACCTGGAATTATGCTTAGTATCATTTAATAGCATTCTTCTCCGCTTCTGAGACAAAATGTTTTTTGGTACTCAGGAACAAGCTCTGGAGCGTCTGGACGAGGCGACAGATCTTCTTTCCAAACTCATGGACAATAACATGGAAGATGCCAACACTTTGACAAAAGTCAGCAAAAATCTGCTTCTTGGACTGGGCAATATTTTGAATATCTCTTCTCAGGATGCTAGCGTTGTTTCGATGCAAACAACGTGGTATAAGATTGACAAGGAAAAGGTATTGAAATACATACGAGAATTTGACTTGGGTATTTGCTTTGATTTGATACATTTACCTTCGAGTCGCATTATCGTGATATTAAGTGTCTTTGATACACTTCAAAGGACTGGACGCGTTTACTCTCTACCGAATCGTTTTATACTAACCTTTCCTGTCCTAAATGCACACTACATTGCAATGAACAGCACTGCATCGCACTGCATTGTAAGGCATTCCACAGCGTTGCACTACACACAGTATACTGCACTGTTCTGCAGTACACTGAACCACACCAATTATTCACTACACCGCAGTTTTCTTTTTTCACTGTTTTTTTTTTTTGTCACTGCACCGCAGTTAACTGTTGTCACCTTTGCTGCACTAATTCGTCTCTGGTGCACCTGAGACAAATTCACTTTACCAAAACGCAGCACGCTTCACCGAAATAAACCTTGTTTATTGCGCTTCATTCGTGAAGCCCCGCACTATAATACACTGCGCTGCTGGGCTAAACGGTCGCGTAATCAATCCTTACATTTGGCTTAATGTTGTGTTTTGCTTTCTATCACAGAGCAAAAAATTTGCCCAGAAAGCTCTTAAAACGATATGGAAACTTCGAGACTGCCTAGTTGTCGATAAAGGTGACGATGAACCAGTGGTAATTACCAGTCGATACCTTTCCATGGTTTTGTACAGACAGGAGAACGTGAAAAACGAAACAATGATAGGAGATGCAAAGACGAAATTCATCCTACCGTTATACAAAGGGCTATTCAGAAGACAAGGAGTGGAGAAGGCTGACATCACCTCGAAGATTGTCTTATTTAAGGGGAACCCTTACACCTGGCACAAAAGTGCATTTAAAGGTGAATGCCATGAAATCATTTTAATCTAATTTTCAATTATCTTGAATTAATTTTTTCAAGTAAATTTTGAATATAAATATATATATAAAAAACATAAAATGTCATTATTGTGCTTACACGCGGCAAACGAAAGAATGAACGGAAAGGAATGAATAACAAACGAACAATTGAACAAAAAAACAATTGGTCCTTATTAAGGGGAAAGTAGAAGCGCGGTAGCATCATGGTTAGTGCACTGGTCTCCGGATCGACATTTTACTATCACAGAGCCTCTCTCATCTCAGATGTATAAATGCGTACCACCGAATTTAGTACGGAGGTATCGCTGCGATGGACTAGCATCCCATCCAGGGGGAGTAGACTTTTTCCTAGTCGCTTCTTGCTACAGAAAACGGGATGAGCACCGACGTGATGGGCCACTTGACTCACTGATGCAGACTTTACCTAGCTACTAATGCGAAGAAAACAAACCAGAAATGATATTGAGTAAACCATTGACGCACCGTGAATGAAACAGCCAACAAGCAAACAGACAAACGAACGAACGAACGAACGAACATACATACATTCATACAACAATAATGACAGGTTTTACTTCATTTTCCTTGTTTTCTTTTTAGTTACATCATGGGTTATTGATGTAGTTCTTCAAACAGAAGACAAAAGAAATTTAAACGTCTCCGACTTGAGGAAGCCAGTACATCTGTACATTCCACAGAATTCTGGCAATGGTTCACCGGCCGATGTGACGAAAAATACAGTGCAATATTTTGTTAAACCGAGCTATGACATTTACGAGTCTAAGCTCATACAATATCATAAAATAAACATACCAGACCAGGGCGATGTGGTGTCTGTGAAGCTGCATCCCGAGAAACACGCTACACCACTGCGTGTCTATGTGAGTTCCTCTGACTTCCCGACGCCTACGGAGCACAACTTTTCCATCGTGTTACCTTGCAAGAAAGAGGAGCGGAAATGCAACAAAGATCCCTATGTGTTCTCATTCAACACTTCTCATACCGGGAACACTGGAATTCATTACATTGGCATACATTATTACGTGAATATTACCTACGACGTCATGTTTCAAGATGAAGGGAAACTGATAACCATGAATGGTTCCGTCCAAGAGCGGCCAAGGAGATCCATTGACTGTGATAGTAGAAGCAGAAGGCAGAAACGTTCTTGTATTGGTGTAAAAGACCCCCCTCCTCCCCCCACTCCCGTTCCCATCGTTCTCAGATCGGAGTATAATGTCAGTACTGATTTGAATTACACGATGTCTGTAAACATCGGAAGTTGTTTCTATTGGTCTGAGGTCAAAGAGCTGTGGACGGACGAAGGTTGCAAGGTAAGACCAACTCTGGTTTATATCTACAAGAATGCGTCATGTGTACCTAAGTTCGCACAAGGGTTTTCTGTTGGAGATGATAACTTCAAAAAATCGGTTTTCAAGAAGGGAAGGTTCCTTTAAAACGGCCACTCCATAAATTTATTCACAAAAGTTAAAAGAAGCGGTTTTGAGGACAATAAAGTCGCTATATCCAAATCGCTTGTTTTGAGTTCATTCTTTCTACTGAGGATTCTTGGTGGAATATAGAGGCTTGTCTGGTCCTTGAACGCATTTTTTTGCCTGAATGTAAAGTGATAGTTTTAACGTCTTTTACCAAGAAAAATAATTTCAATTATTCTTTGGTAGAAAGAGCTAGTGATGACTGTGGGGGTGTTCTTTCGTCCTCTTTCTAGGTTATGCCTGAAACAGTTTCGGGCAGCATTCTGTGCCTGTGCAATCATCTGTCCGCTTTTGGTGGCGATTTCTTTGTGGAGCCGAACAAAATTGAATTCAAAACGGTCTTTGGTAAGTTTGGTGACCTCGGAGAAACCAAGAACTTTGTTGTCCTAGCAACAGTGTGTTCCGTGCTTTTGCTCTACACGATCGGCGTCATCTTTACTCGACGAGCGGACAGCCGAGATAAGCAGAAGGTTAGTCATCAAAGCTGCTTTTATTGTAAACATTGTTTCGTGATGCCTGTCACGGGAAAAGTCACATAGACTTGTGCGTATAGGTCCATGTATGCAAACTTTCTCCTAAAACCCGGTCCCTCGCTTGTGGTTTGTTAATGCCTTACTCGCCTCGCTATTATTGGCCAGCAGTGAAAGAGACTTATTTAGTGGCAGCTAAATAACGGCCATATTCCATTCCAAATATAAGTCAAAAATCCTAAAGTACCTTAACATTAGAAGTCCTTTAATATGCCAACCACATAACCACCACAAGCCTCACTCCATTTTCCCCTGCTGTAGTCAGCGCGGAGTAAACAAATGTTCGAAAGGTCCCTAACGTAAATATTGGTTATCTTAAACATCTTGAAATGGTATGTCCTGAAAATATAAGAGTGGTGACAAATATAAAACAGGACTTAGGAGACGCATTGAGATTAAAAAAAACCGTCTTTATTCGTTTGTTCGTTCACTCACTGAATTCGATTGTTGGATAGTTCAATCAGTCGTCGTTCGGTCATTCGGTTGATTTTAAGGTCAGTAGCGACAAGTCGATCATGCAGTAGTTGGTCCGTCTGATTTGTTCTTTTACTCGGCATTGCCTTACCAACTTATTGATTTTCTCTTCCGATTTATTGCAGACAATACCAAATGTTTATCTCCTCGATAGCGAGAAGGAAGGACAGCACCATTATCGCATCTCCACTCAGACGGGAATATGGTTGGGAAGCGGCACCACAGCTAACGTTGGAATAATCATCTATGGCGAGGACTGTTACAGTGACCAGATCATACTTAACGACTCCGCTTGCAAAAAGATGTTCTTTGCTCGAGCGAGTGTAAATACATTTACCGTGTCTCTGCCTAGGCGCCTGGGACCTCTCTACAAAATTAAGGTGTGGCACGACAACAGCGGGGAGAGTCCTGGATGGTTCTTGAGAGACTTTGTGATAACAGAGATGGATACGCAAGAGCAGTGGCACTTTCTCGCGAACAGATGGTTGGCGGTTGAAAAGGGTCGAGGAGAAGTCGAAATTCAGCTGAAAACTTCAAATAAAGAGGAAACGTCTAACTTTAAAAGCCTCTTCTCTTCAAGGGTTTCAAAACGATTGGCCGACGGACATTTGTGGATATCGGTACTTACTAGACCACCACAAAGCTTGTTTACTCGAACGCAACGTTTCTCGTGTTGCATATCGGTGTTTTTCCTAGCTATGATTACCAACGCTATGTTCTACGACTTTGGCGAGGAAGCCGAAGATACTTTTCAACTTGGTCCATTGACTATGAGTTGGACGCAAGTGAAAATTGGAATCCAAAGCGCTATGATTGCGCTGCCAGTGAATGTATTTATTGTAACTGTTTTTAGAAACGTGAAACCAAAGAACAAGCGTCATGGAGACAACGATAACGAAGAGGAAAATTTATCAAAGGGTCTCCCTCATTTTTTTGTTTATATAGCGTGGATTATGTGTATTCTTGCAATTCTTTCTTCAGCGTTCTTCACTGTGCTCTATAGCTTATCTTGGGGAGCCAAGATCTCCAACGAGTGGCTCACTTCCATTCTCGTCTCTTTCTTCCAAGACGTCATTATCTTGCAGCCCATTCAAGTTGTTCTAATTGCTTCTTTGCTGTCAATATTGATTAGAAAACCAGTGAAACACGATCCAGTGCATGGTTTGCCTCGTAAAAAGAACCCGTGCGAGGAAGATTATAAAGTACAACCGCCAGAGGAGACTGTGTTAAAAAAGTCGCGAATTTTCAGGACGAAACTTCAAAAGATGTTTCGCGCTATCTTGGAGATTAGCTTGTTCTTGTTTTTTGTCCTGTTACTGTTCGTTGTGTGCTATGGAAACAGGGAGACCTCAAGATACCAGCTTACTAAATCACTCAAGGATATTTTTGTTAAATTTGATAAGGTAGGTGTTCAATTGAACCAGCCGATTCAACCAGCCAGCTGCCAGCCTGTTATCAGTCAGTCAACAGTCAATCGGTCAGCTGATTAGTTGACCAGTCTGTAGGTCGGTCAGTCATTTAGGCTGTCAGTTGGTCAATAGGTCGGTCGGTCGGTCATTCATTTATTCATTATTTACCCATCCATTCATTCATTCATTCGTTCGTTCGTTCGTTCGTTCGTTCGTTCGTTCGTTCATTCATTCATTCATTCATTCATTCATTCATTCCGTCAGTCAGTCAATCAGTCAGTCAGTCAGTTAGTCAGATATTCCATCAGTCAGTCGATCGGCCAGTCAGTCGTCAGTCGGTCTGTCAGTCATTAATTCAGTCAGTCAGTCAGTCGATAAATCGGTCAGTTGGTTAATCGGTCGCTCGGTCGCTCGGTCGGGAAGTCAGTCCGTCACTCAGTCAGGTGGTCGGTTGTTCAGTCGGTTGGTCGGTCCGTCACTCAGTCAGTCAGTAAGTAGGTCAGTCAGTCCGTCGGTCTTTTGGTCAGTAAGTTGGTCGGTCACTCAGTCGGTCGGTCTGTCAGTCGGTCGACCGCTCGGTCGGTCGGTTGATCGATGGGCAAGTCAGTCAGTCGGTCGACCAGTACGTCAGTCAATATCTCGGCCAGTCAGTAAGTATGCCAGGCGTAGGGATCAGTACCTCAGCTGGTTAGTCAGTCGGTCGGTAGCCAGTAAGTCTGCCGAGTAACTATCATAATTTGGGTGACTCAAACGTTCAATAAGATATTTTTGGGTGCAATCCTCCTGGTTCTTGCAATAATATTCTCATATCAATGTTGTGCAATGTTGTTTTTATCGCACAGCGAGTCAACAGCACCGCAACTTTTTGGAATTGGACCCGGCAAAAGCTCGTACCAGGCCTCTTTCTCTCTGAATGGTACAATGGACAGCAAGTCAATCTAGAGGAAGGGTTCATAAGTAGTGGATATCCCTTTCTCGTGGGCATGCCCAGACTCAGACAGATCAGAGTACAGCCAGGTTAGACTGTGAATCATGCGTAATATGGACATTTCCAAACATATATAATAGAAACATGCAGTGCCTAACTTCGAGCATGAAAACAAGTTCCCCGAAAGTGTGGTTATGATGTCTTTAGTTTGGTAATACAACGTAACTAGTAACCCCATTTGTCTACTTTTTAGCCTTGACAAATAAGACCTTTGTATGCAAATAGTGGGAATATCGTTGGAATTAACAGATTGAAAATAATATCTCTTTTAAACCAGATGTAACCCTGTTCTCAGTGATTAGCAACCCTTTCATATAAGCCATTTCGTTCGAGGAAACCTTCATTAAATAACCTTCACGATCCGTTTTTAGCCAAGCCTCCCTCCGCGTTCCTACTTGTAACCCTTTCCCCGCCCCTTTTTCCGTATAATTTTTGGTTAGAATTCCCTTCCGTACAAATTAATTTTCTAAGCCTCTCGTGCATATATTTTTAAATCACGTTGTTGTTCCCTGTTGCGTTGCTTGTTAATGACATACACGCCGTTTTATTTGTCAGTATTAATAAGCTCTCCTGTCTTAATAATCCCCAAAACCGCCTTAACATATAATTCTTGCTTTGTAGATGCATGTCAAGTTGAAGATTACGAGGTAGTGAAGCGATGCTTACCATATTATAGTTTCCGATTTGAAGATAGGACCGCCTACAGCCTTCGTGACTGGACACCCGTCGCCAACATCACCGGATTCGAGGTCTCATTTAAGCTAGATGATTTGTGTCCGAAGCCTTGGAGGTACCGCACCGCAGATTCTTTAGAAACGCTTTCATTTCACGGTTATCACGCCATCTATGACGGCGGAGGTTATGTTGCTGATCTTGGATATAACGCTGAATCAGCACTGGAAGTAATACACGATCTGGAAAACAATAGCTGGATTGATGATAGAACTTTCGCCGTGTTTATCGAGTTCACCGTGTACGAACCTTCAAGCACACTCTTCAGCACAGGAAAGTACCTCTATGAGAGGTACCCAACGGGAGGAACCAAAACAACTGGCACAATTGAGACCCTGATGATTTATTACCCGACAGATCCCAGTTATAGGTCTTTCTATCTAGCTTGTCAACTTCTCTTTATTTTCTTGATATTCGGGTTATTCGTCATGGAGACTGTAAAACTTTATTTCCAAGGATGTAGATATTTCACTCACTTCTGGAACTTGGTGGATATTCTCCAAATTAGCAGTGCTGTGGCCGCGATTGTTTCGTACTTCTTCAAGGCAAAATACACTAGTGATTTTGTGCGAAGAGTCAGAAAAAACCCCTTCGACACGTCAAGCTCAGACTACATCGTCCAGTGGTGCGATCTCGAAATATGGTTGCTGTCTTTAGTGGCTTTTCTAGTGACAATAAAAATGCTGAGATTGCTAAAATTCAACGATCACATCTGCCACTTGACGTACACGGTGAAATCAGCTGTCAGGCATCTCGTTTCTTACTCTTTGGTTTTCACAGCTACACTCGTGGCCTACACACAGCTTGGAACTCTTCTATTCGGAAGCAATGTGTCGTCATACTCAAACATGACGCAGTCACTGAGGATGCTTCTAGAAAGGCTTCTGGGTAATAATATGTACACAAAAGAGCTAAAGGCAGTGAATGACATCATGGGTCAATTGTTTACATTAGCATACTCGTTCTCAATCGGAATGATACTGATCAGTATGTTTTTAAGTATTCTTTACAGCTCTTACAGCGAGATAAGGAGAATCAAGCAAGGCCGATTTCCTGATGTTGAGCTGGCTCACTTTGCGTGGCGATATTTCATCGAAAAACTCCAAACGTTTTGGCGCGACAAAAAAACATCCCTCAAAAGGAGAAACAAAGTAGAAAAACCGCACTTAAAGATAAAAAATGCAAAATACTTTAGCGTTCCTAGAATGAACGCTTTAGAAGATGCAGATGAATTCTTACGCACGACGTATGATGAACTCAAGTCAACCGAAGAGTGCCGATGTCTTTCTGCGGAAGAAATCCAGTTCGAAGAGGCAACTATTGAAGAATTCGATGACATTTATTTAGCGGACGAATACTCTTCCCTGAAAGACGTGAGGAAAACTCTGTTCCAAATAGGAACTTCTTTCTTCCTCACCAAAAATCAGTGGAGCTCGGGAAGTCTGAGCTACAGCGACGATGATAGGGATGAAATCAGTTCACTGAGAAGCGAGTGGAGCTACGGTAAGGAAAGTAATCAAATGCAGAGCTTGTTCAGCCTCAACAGGATAGAATCCGACTCCTCGGAAGATGATATAGATGATCTGGTGGAAGGGCCTCTAAAAGTATAGAGCCCTTTGTTCATGTTTGTTTTTGTTATTTCTATCTATTTGCATTGAAATATAATGCAAGAGAACATTTCAAAGACAGTTAGCGAAAAAAAAATTGGCACTGTACAGAGTGGCTAACATTTTCAAGTTGGTTACTGTATTGTTACCTACTCCATAAGTAGATTGGCGGTTTCTACCCACCTAAAGCCCAATTCCGCTGCGTTCCGTTATCCAAAAATTGTTTCTAAACATAAAAATATTTTAATATTTGGAGCTACTAAGGTCAGTTTTCTATTTCAAAAGAAAACCCAAACTGTCTGTTTATAGGCGGGTGTCTCTCAGTAAAATTAGATCTTTTTAATGGAATTTGGACCCAATGTAATGGCGGCATCAATACGTGCAGATTTTGGTACTGCAGATTATAATTATTTTTAAAAAATCTCTTAGTATAAAGCAAAAAGAGTTAGTGTCTTTATGTTTGAGTCTGATTACTGTAGTTACACTAAACTACTTTTGAGTTGTTTGCCTAGTTTTTCGACCTTGAGGTAATATATTCTAATGTAAGAGAAAAAGGACAATAAAATGTTTTAAAGTACATGTAAATTAGTTTTAATTATTTCTCTGATTTAGGACAATACCTTCGTTCAGTTAGTATTGTTACAAATATGTTATTAATATCTACTTTTAGAGACATGTTAATGATGTCACTGATTAATTTAACAGAGTTTTATGCAAATGTTACTGAACGAAAACAATGCTTATTTGTAAAAATCCTTTGTCATTTTGTTGGTTTCCACTGCTATTGATGGTGCCTCTTTACCCTTACATGTAAAAATGACACAGGAGGGATTGAAATTCGAAAAAAGGTGGTTACAGACGCTATTCTAACAGAGACGTGTATCAACAGAGCAGTCAACGAAAGCAAATGCCTAAATGGTTTTCAGGTCTAATATCCTTCAAACAAAGTCGGCAGGCGTGATCTGCAGTTCTGCTGCCTACTTCACAAGACCAAAATTACTGCAGGTCGGCAAACATTAAACCGTGCTAAAATCTTATTCCAAATCAGCGAACTTTCAATTTTTTTTCCACACGACATTAAACTTTATATTGTATCTACGGCACGGCAAAATAAGTAATTGCTCTTACCCCTTCCACAACGGGACGGTCAGTTAATCTCTCAACATCTCACTTTTTATGCTTGAATTTAGCTTGAATAAATATTATTTCAACTCCATGCGTTTACCGAGTACAGGAGGATTTCGTCAGACTATAACATATATATGAATCAATCGAGGAAAATGTTGTTGGTTTATTGATCTTTTCCCGTCATCATCTATCCTTATCTGTTGCCATGCAACGGATAAGGCCCCCACATTACTACTCCAGCTAGCTCGGTCCCGTGCAGTCTTCGCAAGCTATTATTGGTTGACCTTCCTGGCCATTCGGAGGTGCAGGCATATGAACTTAATCGCTCATTATTTTCTGTCAAGAACAACCAGCAGCGCGTCCCGAACAGAAATAATGCAACGGAGGTTAAAATATTAAGTGCAAATTCTGGGAGAAACGTATACTCGAAAAAAAATCCGAGTCCCAGATCATCGGATTTGAGCCCACGACCCTCAGTGATCTAGTCGGATGCTCTAACCACTGAGCTACCGGAGACTCTATGTTGAGCAAGGGTCAAATTGTGGGTATCGACTTGAACCGCATCGCGCGGCTACACAGCCACGTATTGACTCATATGGACTCACTAACAGCATCCCAGAATTTACACTTAATATCATGTTGTTGAGGTTAAAATAACATGTCAAATTTATTCCAACTCGCGCGTAACTTTCATCGTTGGCTTGTTGTCAGTGAGCTCGATTGCTTTCTGTATACGTGATTTCAACTGTAAGAAGTATTTTTTTCAACAGCACTTAACTAATTCAAAATCTATGTATTAGGGTAAGTATATAATAGTTCGTTACGGATTAATCATACGTAATTCTCTGCCAAAACCTTAGTGTAACTCTGGGTATGGCTCCTCAGCGTTCGACGAATAGACCCTCCTTGAACCCTCTCCATGCCACGAACGTAGCTCCACGTCTGAATGTGGGGAGCGTCCTCTTGACAAGTTTGAATCAAAGAAAGAATGGACGCGGACTTATCCAGGCCTGCAAAACTGTCGTCAAATGACGAGAAAGAGGAGCGAGAATTGTACCACTCTTCACCTTCCCACAAACATCTTGTGAAATCCGACCGAACGGTTTTCATGATCTTCGCGATATCGGAGAGTGGTTCCTCATCGGTTAGCGGAGGCTTAAAACAGGCGTTCATCTTTGCTTGTGCACAGCTGGTGTTCAAAACTTTAATTTTTTTGTTTTCATTTCTCCTATTGGTAGGACTTGCTGGATTTATCTGGATGCAAGGTATTCTTTCAAAATCTGTTTGAGGGCATAGACTTTCGTAGCTCAAAAGACTTTCAGTTTCTGCTAGCTTGGCTCTTTCTTCTTGTGGAGCAGCATGATCTTCCATTGTTTGCTGTAATTCACGTTTTGGAGGTTGCGGTGTGTATTTTCTGCGAATGGTTTTTCGAAACGTAGATTTTCTGAAAGCTCTGTTGACAGGCATAGTGCTTGCTCTCCTGACACGGTTTACCAAATAGCTTTTCATGTAGGCACCAAGCTCATCCCCTGGATACTCTCTGCCGCTGGCCTCATGGAACGCGTCATCCAAAATTGCAATAAAAGTGTTTGCAAAGATGATAGTCATGCTTAACATGCATGCCATCAGAAAAATGGGGGCAAACACTTCGGATTCAACACTTCCATTCATCTTTGAAAACTGTATCTTACCGATTCCAATACCCATTTTAAGTACCGTGCGGAGAGAGTAATAAAACGTTGCATATTCCCCATCTTCTGCACCAAACAGAAGCGTCCCGAGCTGGGCAAATGCAAGAACAAGCATCATAATAACAATAGCGAATGAGCACAGGTAACGACAAGCTGACTGTAGGGTCCATTTCATAACGTGTACATGACGATTAATCTGTATGAGTTTGAGACAATTGATGGTTGTTGTCACAACTGTGATGGACAAAATAACTTCTTGGAAACTTGACCACGCGAAAAATTGGTATGCAATCCAATCACCGAATGGATTATCACGTATTCGTTGTAAGAAAACTTTCAGGCTATTCTCCTTCACGAAGACTATAAGCACAGCGCAGGAAGACGACAAAATTTGTAGCATGGTAACCCAGCTGAAGAAGCTCTTGAAATATGCACGACCCCGCTTGAAACATCTAACAATCTCTATAACCAGTAACACCAAGATGATAATAAGCCACAGGAGAATGCAGACGCGATAGAATGTCTGAACAGCGGAGCCAGACGTGGGAAATAGGAGCTCAGGAATAACATTAATACTTGTCTTTCTCATACCACTATCATACTTCTCCAACATGAGCATGACGTTGCTAAGCAACAAATTGGCGGGCTCTAAAACTACAAATTCGACTATAACCACAGCTGACTTCCCGTCTATCCAGCCGTTCTTTTCAATACTTTGCTTGACCCTTAAAGCAGTGGAGGGGTCGTAGCCAAGCTTAGCAATGTAGCCGCCGCCACCATATGGAAGAAAAACTTCGCTAACGCTCACTGGCTCTTCATAGTGCCACGGTTCTGGGCAAGAATCTTGAAAGTGATATGGAACCTCAGCTAAGGTTTTTATTGGCTTCCAACCGGGTTGATAATATGGCGTTGTGTCTTTGTTTGAAGAGGAAAACGCGGGAAGACATTGGTTGAAGTGGGTATGTAACACGGGTTCCACTTGAATTACCTCACACGTGGATTCTGTGTATTAAGAGCAATATAACACTCCCATTTACAAGTTAGCTGCTCATATTATATTAATACACTAATGAAACATTGATACTCAAATAGCTCAGTGAAGAGAGACAGGAAAATTTTTACGTGATAACAAATAGTAATCAGTCTCATAAGTCATGCAATCGTTTAGCGTGCACTTTTCAACAATAAGACCACGAGACCAACATTTTCTATGAAGAAATTCTCAAGGAGGTGCAGCTGAGTTGACCATAGACGCGTAGAAAACTCTGACTCGAATTCTAATTTTATATCCCTGCTAAAATTAAAGCTGTGTTTCCATGGCTATCTAAAATTGCAGAATAAGTTTAAGCTCTTGAGCATCCTAAATTTAAGAAGAGAATATTACAGAGTTTCATCTTACTCAAACTATTTCGAGGCTTCAAATATACGAGGGCTCCTTCCGTGCAACCTCCGGCACTCTGTCGCCTTAAATATTGTAAATATATGCCAAATTAACGGTGATGAGATCTGCACTTGCTTCTCATTGTGTCAAATTGAAAAAATTCTATGAATAGTGATGATTTTTCTGCAGTGCGCCTTATTGACCTCGGTACTTACTCCGTACGCTCATCTCCAAAATTCATATTTTCTTGTAGTGTTTAGCTTCAACACTTGGCATTAACGATTTTCATGGTATTTGTTTTTACGGTTTATAATAAACAAGAAGCCTAACCTTGCCTGATACGCATTTGCCGAATCCTTGGCAGGCCGACTATGAAACCAATTTTGCTAGTTATCATCCCGGTCTCGTTTCCGTCGGCTGACTGCCCTTTGTCGTAAAGACCATGAACTAGTTCTTCCTCAAACCAGGCCCAAAACGATTTGGCATCTTTTACCTGGGTTTAAATGATAACAATTTAGACTCCTTAGGGCTTACTTATTTTATTACCCGGAAAGAGATCTTGGCGCAAGATTCATAAACTAGCCTTCCCACTTATGTCCAGGGTTGAACGCAGGTATTGTTTAATTAGTACTTCATATTTGGCAGGATTATTTGACATTTTCATATTACTTCATATTTGACAGAATTGTTTGTGTTTTGGTGACTTTTTACCAATGAGGACACTTTGTGATGCTTATCGTAAGGAATTTGAATCTCATTAGCGTTCAGAAAACACCGACAAGTACAAAGAAAAAGAAAACAAATAATCAAACATACAACAAACAGACAGGCTCCGTCCACACTACGCGGGAGAAATTTGAGAACGTAGCTTTATTTCTAATGTTAGGGCTACTGTCCACGATAATCTGACCCGAAAACAGAACTTTTCGGAAACGTTCTTCAAACCGGAGGAATTTGAAAACGCGACCTTTGCGTTTTAGTGTGGACGGAAAACATTTTGAAAATTGAAATTTTCGCAAACGATGACATCACGATAATCACGTGATTTCCCTGCTCGAGTTTTCCTCAAACACAAATCCAAGATGACCAGTGATTGTTGCGTGTTCAAATTTCTAAAACTTAGAGTGGACGGTGCCATAGAGAGACAAACAGATCTACAAACAAGTATCAGATCAGTTAACGAGACAGGAAGAACAAACAAACAAACATACAAACAAACGGCAAATATTAGCTAAACAAAAGCATAGAGAAGGGCTTCACTGATCTGCACTACAGCACAAAAACCTTGTGTACTTTATTATTAACTAAAAAGATATTTACACATTACACATGTAATAATGTGAAAACCCCAAATATGTCTTGGTACGATACCTGGGAAAATCCTCTGAATGTATCCTTGAGTGATTTTGTCTGCCTATAAGTGGATGGTTTACGGTTTGCGTAACATACCGTCATCAGTAGGACAACAAAGGCTACGTAGAGCATTAAATCTACGAAGAAGCGCCGCATTTTTCTCTGTTGTAGTTTTAAACCTCTTGCTCTCAGTAGCGTTTCTGTAGAAGGCTTTTGGCCGATCACTTGCCCATAATCTTCTTGAAACATGTGCACTAAGTTTGCTTGCTGTGCCGTGTTTTCGATGTCATTGTTTGCAGCTGGTTTTCTGTTTATCAACGATAAGATTGAAGTGTTGAAAAGAATAATGATCGGTCCTGTAAGCAATATTTCTTGAAGCAAAGAGACGCCGACTGACAAGAACCAGCGATTCGCTATTTCCGCTCCCCATTCGAAACTGTACAAAACCGCAAACACTGCCGACGAAACTGAAGCTGTCAAACAGAGGAACCATCCAACGACAATAAACCAGCGAGGTAAGAAGCCCTGGGTGTTTTTTCTTCCTGTAGTGGAGGTCTCCATCTCTTTAGAGCTATCTGGGGATATGTTTCTCTTGACGTTCCTAAATATCATCACTGTAACTATGTTGACAGGTAGCGCAATGAGTCCGCTCTGAACACCGATTATGATTTGTGTCAAGCTCAGTTCTAGTGGTCCTAGTTGAAAGGAGCTTGGGTCTTCTGTCTTTTTAAACTGGTAAAACATGGCGTTGGTTACTAGAGAAACCAGTATGATTGACAGCATACAGGTTAGCCGCTGGCAACGTGTAAATGGGTTCTGTGGCGGCCTGGCAAAGATTGAGAGAAACAGATGTTTATCTGCAAAGTTAGTGACGGCCCGCCACTGAAACAAATTGCTGAATCTCGTCAGCTCTCTTTTCGAGGCTGCTTGGATCTCAACATCGATCGCACCATCAGCGCTCTCTACAGCAAGCCATCTGTTGGCCACGAAATGCCATTTTTCGTCGGTAGAGACGTCTTTAACCACAACTTCGTACAAAAACCACGATGGACTTTTACCACCGTTGTCGTGCCAAATCTTTACCTTGTATACCTGTCCAAGTCGACGTGGAAGGTCGAAGCTGAAAGTGTTTACACTGCCACGGGTGAAAAGTTTCCTTTCCTTCCAGGGGTCCATGAATAATATTGTATCACTAATTTCGTCTTCACCGAAAAGTATTACACTGACGCTAGCAGTGGTGCCATTATCATGCCACATTCCGGTTTGGATAGATATTTCATAGTTGTAAGCACAGGAATGTTCTCCTTTCTGATAACTCACCTTGGTGTTCACAACCTGTTAAATAGAGAATATTTAAAAAAAAAAAAAATTTTCAAATTTTTTGCTATGAAATCATTAAATAACCATTCGTTTTAATTTTTAGTGATAGTTATTTAGGAGCTAATTGTCTCAGTGTTCTTAAGATCAAATTGGGTGATCAACATCCGCCATGAGGGAATGATATGATTGAACAATCGATCTGTGTTAAAATTGAAATAAGGAGATAAGAAAACTAAAAACATCAACTAATATGACGGTAAAAAGAAAATCCTGTGCTGTTCTAGGCTCAAAAGCCTGACTTAATATATTACAGTTTTTTAAACGACGAAACTTGCTATAACTTTCCTTCGACTGAGGGGGCACGCTCGAACATCAGCTTCATTTACTTGCTAAGGCGGTTAATTTACCTTTACCAACCGAGTAAAAGTAATAAATAGCTAAGTAATTCTACGAGAGCTGTTTACGTGTATGTGGCAAACCTCTTAGAGACTGATTTTGTCTCAAAAGGGATGCTAAAATCAGGAGAAGTCGAAAGTTGAGTAAGTGCTTGGTATACACAAAATTCACCATTATGAGAAAAAAAACCTACCTTCATTTTGTCTCTGTTGTCTGCCCTTCTAGCAAACACAAGACCAACAGCGTAAACCACAAATATTAGGCAAATTGTGGAGAGGACGACCAAGTTTTCGGGTGGTAGGTGCTGTATTTCTGCTATGACCTTGGAGAAGTCGATCTTGTTGGGAACCACATAGAAATCGCCAGAAAATGTTGATAGATGATTGGTTAGACAGTGGACCCTCGTCTCGTTACTTTCAGTAGCAACCTAAACGGGTCACCATAAAATACGTTCTAAGTCATTGCAGTTTTTATGTCAGTATCAATGCTGAGTGCGAATTACATCTTTTTTTCTCTAACTTGTCTTGTACATAGAGCGGTTCTTTACTGACTGTACCAAATTTGAAGCCACATTAATCACAGACAGAAATTGACAAAGCCAACAATCGATAGCGCAGCAAATTAGCTTTGGATTAATAATTTTTGAATGTACTATATTTGGAATGTCTTTCTCAACGTAATTGTCTGAGTATTTTTTTTTTTTGTTATATAAATAGACAAAGATTGACGAGCCTAATTTTCTCGATGACTGGACTGTGAATCTTTGTTACAACGGATAAAGGTGACGCAATGATTTTGCAAAGAATGTGTAAATTACTTCTTCTCATAGCTTTCGACAAGTAACTGTACTTTTCAGATGCAACCCCCTTCAGTGTGGTTGTCCAAGCAGCGTTGAGGCTATGGAATGCGGTAAAGACGGGTTCTGAGTTCACTTTCTAGTGCTCATTCGCTCCCCATATATTTAAGTGTGCAGTAACAAATGAGTTGCACCTGTACCCTTTTGTCAATTTCTGTCAGACGATTTTCAAAATTAAGATGGAAGATGGAGGTGGGTTTCTTCCTTAGACGGCAAAATAAACTAACCTGGATTCCTCGTGCTGACCATTTTTTGTTCAGTTTGTCCCAGAATACGCAGGTCCCCACCGTAACAAACAATGTGTACCTAACGTCCGTTTTAGAATCGAATTGGCGAGGCACGTTCTTTTTCACCGGGAGAGGAGTTGGAGCTGGTTTCACCTTAACGCAATACTGTGTCTGTCTTCTTAAAGCCTCTGCATCATTGCCTGCTATTCCTGCAGACACCTCGGGGATTTCAACGGAATCCTCAAGAATTTCGACTCCAATAACATGGCGTCCAATATGACCTGTGACATTGGGTAGAAGATCAAATTCATATGGGTCACGAGGCGAACATCTGTCATTCCATTCCCTGGAAAAATTTGAACACGTCAAACGGGTGGTGTTTGGCAGAGTCACGTTCAAGTCATGGTGTTGAGGCGTTGGTCTTGAGTAGTGCCCGACGTAGACGCGCAGTGAAATGTCCTTCTCAGGCTTAATTCGCACAGTTACTACCGCTTCGTAAGAAGGAATAGAGACGTTGTGATAACGCATTTCTTTTCTTTTGAGAAACAGAATTCCATCAGATGCACCTTGGTCCCTAGTTTCGTCAGGGTCTCTAGAGAACAGAATTCTTATTGGTTTGCTTAGATTAGAAATCTTCATCTTGGTGTTGTTGTTGTGCCAAAATGTGATGTCAATAGCTGATATATTTCTCGAGATGATTCCCTGGCTTGAGAAAAGAGGATTGCGATCGAATCTAATGATCTGAAAAATAACATGTTATGCAGAAATTATTTTATGGTGTTAATCGGTACGCGGCCCCGTTAATGTTCAGTAAATGAGAAATACCTTGGGGTGAAAGTTCCCTGGAATCGTAACAAACCCGTCTTAATTGAACACCCTACCGAAACGTAACTAGGTAGCTGTCATTATTGCCATTATTATTATTTATTTATTTATTTAATCATTATTTATATTATTAATCATTATTTATATTATTCATCATTTACAATAAATTCCAATAAAATGTCTGCTACTATAAGGGGATTCTCTCTTAGCTGAAGAAACTGACAACTTAGTAAAGTTATTATTACTATTATTATCATAACACATGTAACACACATTGATAAGGTCACGTGACAGGGTTCTAGATTTTGAAATATCCTAGTATTACTTTTGGTTCTCTAATGGATAATTTCTGTTTCTTTTTTGGCATTGCTTTGTTTAGTTTGCTGTCTAGTGCTTTTTTAGAAAAATACCTGCACTGATCCAGATTGGAGGTTATCACTCCATTTTCCAGCAAATAAGTCCTTGGCAAGGCGCACTTCATCTCTCTTTATGCGAAGCACTTTATCATTGAAACTCTGGATCTTCCTTTTCGCCAGTAAAACGGAAACGCCACTGGAGTACAATTGGACTTCATTTTCTCCTGGAGCAGAACTCATAAACCTGCGTCTCATATCACTTATGTTGTATATCGATTTCTTTGCCTTTCTTGTTATCTGCGTAAAGAAGGGTAGCAACTTTGAAGTCATGCACGGCTTGGCAATATATTGGGCCAGGACACTTGAAAGAGAAAATTGAGACAGTTGGGTAACGCTAGTTTCCTTTGTTGCAAGCGACTAGTATGTACTGATCTCCTCCCAAGAATGAGTGTCGTACGCTCTTGTCCCTCCTTCCCTCCTGCTTCTAGCGTTTTGTTTTTGTTTTGTTAACTGTTCTGGATAGAGGCTCTGCCAGATTTCAGTGACAAAAACAACGACCTTTCTTGATGACGCTCGAATTCTGTCCTTTTGATTCAAAATCTAACCCATGCGTCGTAAGGCTACAATTCTTTGATACCTTCATGTTAAACATTTTTAGAGAGAAAAAAATCGGTATTTACTTTTTCATTTTTATCCTGTGAGGCAGAAGAAAGAATCAGTGCAGCACCCTGTACTAGGTTCTTCGTTGTGTTGTCGATGTTGGAGACGTTTCTGGCGCTCTGTTCATTCACAAAGTTTACGGCCATCTTAAGAATGTCAAGAGAATTTTCCTGTAAAAAATTGAGTTCCACGCCATTATTAACTTAAAAACGTAAATGAGATGGGTGCACATACTTTACAGAATTACCAGTGCAAGCTGTGTCCAAAATGTGATTTATTACAAAAATAAAGCAAATCACTAAACTCAGGGTGTTCGTCCATCAAATTAATGATAAATTGAAGTCTTTTGTTTCTATGTCGGTGCATGGTCTTACACTGGAACATTACATAGCTTGGAGGGCCATTTTCTTATATAATAATTTCGCCAAACTTACAAAGCTTTTTGCACAACATTTAGAATAGTCTAGCCGTAAACATTTTAGATGATCAAAATTATGCAACTCTAAACCACTGGTGCTATGATATAAAACGTACCTGGATTTCCTTCGTGGTTTCTGCTTTGATTTTGTTACTGTATATAACAAAGACTGCCATTTGGTTCAACTGCTGGACGGTTTTAATCTTCATATGCATTATGCTTCGTATTATGTCCTGTTTAGTCTTTAGGAAAGAAACAGAAAACAGGTCAATCATGAATACGTTCAGTGTAAACAAATACTAGACGTTGTATAAAAGTCTCCGTCGGAGCTTACCCCGGTTTCCGTAGAATCAAGCGACTAAGAGTAATTCTAGTCCCCTCTGCATGGGACGCTAGTCCATAACAGGTTCCCCCAAACATTAAATTCCCCAGCACCTTCTTATAAAGCTGCATGGAGAGAGGCACTTTGATAGTTAAGTGTCTTCCCCCCCCCCACCCAAAATAAAAGGCAGTGACCCCCGCCAGTGCTTAAACCCGAGCACTCGATCCGAAAGTTCAGAACACTAACCTTTAGGCCCCTGCGTTTCCGATGGACTGTTGTTTCACCAGGCGAAAAGTTTTGTATAATTTTGGAACATATTTTAAATCTTACCGCTACAATTATAGCCTGAGACAACATTATTTTATGAAACTTGTGCACCATTTTAGCATGATGTGCCTGAGCAGAGCGAGTCGAATGGGTGAAATCCCTCGGAAAATCCATGTAGAGTGATTTTCTGCTCATTCTTTATAACGGCGGGAGACCCTTTGCGGCACATGGCCATGTGAAATGTAGTTCAATTCTAGCCGGAGTGCTCATTCTTCAGTATCCTATAAGTTTACAGCTTGACCAAACTCAGCTGTCAAATAACGATGCGCTAATGCTCGTTGTAACAAGCCCATTGTTAGTAACTAATTGTTTTTTACCTGTCTGACCCAAATCAGCCTCGTTCTAAAATGATGTGACAACAAATTTTGGTATGTAGTAAGGTCTGTAAGATCTCCGTTGCTCAGGTCTGAGCTCTATGATGATATTTAACCCAACCAACCTTTCTTCTAACTGTGGTGTTACGTTCTGTCTGGTCCAATATGATTTGGAGAATCTTCAGGTTGCATGCAGCCTCTTCGTGCTGGTCGGATGCTAGTAGATTTTTAATAATTGTGACTTCTTTCATAAGAATGTTAACCTAAAATGAGAGAAATGAAATAACAATTATGTGCTTTTCATTCGCTAATGCAACGATTCGACAACGAACGTAACCTAAGACAACAAGTCAATGTCCCTCCCAGGGGGTCTCCCATCGCTGAGGGGGAATATTATAAACCCGGGGAGGTACTCCCTTATACGAGCTAAATAGGTATGTGCGGCCCCAAAGGGTATGGTTCTTCAGCCATTTTGGTCATAAACAGGGTATCGGTTTAGGCGATTTTAGCCATTTTGGTGATAAATAGGGTATGGTTTTTGCACTCTATAATGTTGAACTGGGTATGTTCCTTAAAAGAAGTTACTTTATCATCATTATCGATAAGACCATCAACAAACGCCATTCATAACTTAAGTTTAGGGCAACTTTGCCAGCAACGGTCGTAAATAGGGTATCGAATTTTTGGTCAGATCATAAATAGAGTAGCAAAAATGGCAGATTTTAGTCATAAACAGGGTAGGGGTTTTGGGAAGTGGACAGCACACCCCCACCCAGCTTTTCTGAGAGTATCGTCCCCCGATTATAAAGTCAAAGTATCTTTTAGGGAGCCTTCGAAGAAATAATAACAAAAGAAACGCTCTTATTTCCGTTTTTAGGCTCGATTTCCGCCGGACTCTCGAGCCTGGTCTACTATAGCGCGGGCTCGTTTCCTGGAAAGTGGCTTGTAATCAAGCCTATTCCGTTTTAAGTTGTATCTTTTAGGGTTCAAATAAAGCCGAGCGACGCCCAAATTGGTCTCCTTTAGGAGTTTAATTCAAATTTTCCGACGAACATCACCGATCTTTTAATAAGGGAATCCACGGCCGCACGTGAGTGAATCCTTTCAAACTCGGTACATGCTTGTGCTATTGCAACAGTCTGCGTTATGATGTTCAGAATTCCAAAACATGAACACGCCACGTTACATGGAATATTGCACTTTGCTCGTACGTTTGACTCAAATGTAATCCCGCACCGAGGCTAAATGGTATTTTGAAATTTTGGTCATTTAGGCGAAGAATAGTTTCAACCAGGAGAAAAAACCTCGGAGCAAATTATGAATATTGTTTATATGAAATTGCATGTACGACTTCTCTGGGCTGTGATAAACTAGCTCCACTCATGTCTTACTTACATACCAACCTACCTTTACAACAACATCATGAAAGAGTGAAGGCATCGACAAATACTTAGCTTCCATCTTTACCCGAACACTATAATCTTCCTTTGGATTGCCAGCAGGTAGAGTTATCGTTCCGGTCGGAGTACTCCAATTTGAAAGAACCAGAGGCTTGGTAGGGTCGATTTCCGCCTGTCTTTCGAGTCCGGCCTCCGGTTCCTTTCCCGAACAGTGGTTTGTAATTGAGCCAAAAGGCTTGCTAGTCGAAGCCAGCGTGGCAGAATAGCCAATTGCTTCAATGTCTTTGTATCCACCTATGCAACGTACAGTAAATTTATCCAAAGTGGGCTTTCTTTGTGTCGGTGTTACTGTACAGTTTAATGCCTCCATTGGCACTAGTTCAAAGAAGCCGAAGTCGTAGGTGAACGAATATACACCTGTTTCGTCAGCATTCCTTGCGATGCATCTAATATACTGTAATCCAGGCGGTCGGATATGCTGTTTCCATAAACGTAGCCTCTTTTTCCCTTTTTGGGTTTTACCAAATTGATATATCAGATTGAAAATTCCCGATTCTCTGTCAACGGCTGCGATCTCCCAGCTGTACGCTATCATTGCAGTGATGTTGCAGTCCGGATCTAAGCTTGCAGTCACAGTGTATTTGCTTCTGGGTTTTTTTGTGTCGAATGTTACCAGCCGAGGATTAAATGGATCTTTGCCGAGAGAGACCTGGACGGCTGGGGGTCGACATTTTCCACTAACTGGCGAGACAGAAATATTGAATTAAAGCTTAGAACTTAAGATACACACGGTAGGCAGTTTTACCTTTTATATGCTTATCGCAGAGTTACTTCCCTCCTGGTATTGTCTTATACTGACCGATGGTGACCACAAAATGTAGATTACCAACTGCCCCTCCCTCGCCCCTCCCTCGAGGTAAACGTACTTTGGCACTTTCATTTCAATCATTTTTCATATACACGGCTCTACAAGCTGCGAGCTTTATATTCGCTAGCCGCATGCTTCTTCCTCGAGTCGCAATATCGATACGGCAACAAAAATTACCGTAAAATTTACATTTGAACGTCTGGGGTATTGCGAAAACAAGAACAAAATAATACAAACAGGCAAATTAACAATAAATATTTAAATCATAGACGGCAACAAAAACGCAAAGAGCGGTTTTCAGCTCACTGTCGAAAAGTAATTATTGATTTTGCTTCGCTCATATATGATACAAGATTGGGTTAAACTCGTTTCAGTTCTGTCAATCTGAAGCCACACCAAAAATAAAGTTAGTTAACCATCGTTGGTCACTCGCACACGTTTTCCCGCAATTTCGTCAACTAAATATATTTAATTCGAGTTTTGGACCTTCTGTGTCTTTTGTGATTGGCCAGATTGATTACTTCGATTTGGTTTTATGGCACTCAATTAAAAACCTGTTGTTTGAAATTTCGTAAGGATATTACACAAAACTTACCTGGATGCTGAATTTTCAGAATAGTAGTTCCAAATACAGGTTTGTCTCCCTGTCTGGTCAACGAGATCCGAAATTGCTTCAAAATGTCCTGAGTGGATGATGCTATGCAATAGATCTCCAACTCGGCTGTCACGCTCACTTGATCTTTTTGGAGGTCGTTTATGTATAAAGGGGGACTAAATCATCAAAACAAACAGAAACAATAGAAAGCTGTTCTGCATCGTTAAAATGTGGAGACTACTTGATTGCTGATTACCGGCAGAATAAATATATAGATTTAGCCAAGCCTAAAGCGAAGCTCCTGATTGCAGTAACTGACGATAAAGGAAAGAGAGAATTATTTTTTCTTGGATCAGAAACTCAAAAAATGATCAATTGTGAGCATGTATTTGTTCAGCGTGTGGTTTTGCTATTTTTTCCACTTAAATTTTGACAAACTATACCCAACAATCCTAACCAAGATTGTAGAAATTACGTACGCAATATATCAGACTTTCCGAGAGACGATTGTACAAGGAATATGTCAAAAGAAAAGTCAACAATGCGCCAGGGGTTAGCTTGCGCCGAAATTTTGCCTTTGCGAGTACTCCTTCCTTCTCCCTCAGAGAAACAACGGGACTTGAGCCCGAGATCCAATCGGCACACCAGTAACTGGTCAGCGGTCAACTTAAAAAAAAACACGCAACCTCGATGAGCTCTAAACCTGAGCCCGCGATATAGTTACGTGATACTGGTCAGCGGATAGCTTGTTGTGACAGCTGTCAATTAACAATGGCGGAGACGCAAAAAATCAAAGATGTAGCTATGGTAATGGTGCTACTCTCTTAGTTTTCAAGGTATTGGCGTACGGACGGACGTACGTACGTACGGACAGTCACGTGAAAACCAAAATTTTTCAGATCGATGGGTTACCATATTTTCTAAGGTATGGGGTTCCGCTCGCGCGCCTTCGGTGCGCAGGAGCTCCGCTATTAAGAGATTACGGCGGAATTGGACTGATTGCGGCTCCTGTTTACATTCGCCGTTAGCGGATAATGGACGTTTTCGGCGGCCATTTTGAATTCTGTTGTTTCAAATAGCTATTATGGGGTGCTTATGGGGCAAGCACATACTAATAGACCTCTTTCGCTTGGGCGGTTTATTCTCCCATTACAGACCACGTAATATTCTCTAGAGAATTGTTCTTTTATCCACTCAAAAACTATTTATTCATATGGACACGACTATCTGAAAATTTGAAAGAATTCTCAAGAGTATCATCACATGGTCTGAAATGAGGCGACAAACCTGTCATTATCATTTCCCTGAGCCTCCTATAATAGGTATTTGAAATAATAGAATTCAAAATGGCTGACGTATCGCCGAAAAGGTCCATTGGAAAACGTTTACTAGGGGAATTCGAAATTTTTTATATGAGCTTTCGCCGGCAACAAGAATTTGTAAGCATTTTCAATATGTAATATTTACTTAATTTTCTCTCCTTTTAGCATTTTAGACTTAAGGCCGGTTTTCATATCATCCCTGTGATCGCTGCTAACAAAAAGCTGATGGATTCTTACGACTACTGGTTTCCTCATTGATCAGCGCAAGATTTTTGGCAGCGACTTTAGCGATCATGTGGAAACCAACCTTAACGTAGCTTACCTTAAAGACACTTACAATGTTCTACTTCCAAATTACTGAAGTTTTTGAGAAGGCAAGTTCGACGCAGTTTCATATTACTAAATGACAAATTCAGAGGCTATAACTAAGAAGTTTACGCAGCGAAGAATGCATTTAGTGCCAAAACCTATCCTCGAGTGTTTAAGTTCATCTAGAGATATGAAAAATTCCTCGTCCTGCACATGTTCATTATCATTTCCCAGCGGACGCCTGGAAAATGATATGGACATATAGCGACGAGCCACGTAAAGCTCATTATATATTTTGCTCTTTAAATATAATAACCTTATTCTGCATCATGGTACTTGCGTTGAGCTTTTAAAATATTTTCTCGAACTAATACTTACAATTCATCATACACAAATTCGCAATTAGCTAATCAGAAGCCGTGTCTACTGTCCTGATATCCTGCGATATCAAGTCACTGACCTGATATGGCTACGATATCATGCTCTCTTAACCGAATTTGGGTATACCAAATACCTAATCGTGCCTTAATGTTTAGTACGCTTTGGCGGCAAATCAGGGTCGTTTTGTCTCGCCATGGGTGGTATTTCGGTGAGACGAAGTCGAGCCAAAATACTCATGGCATAACCAAACTACGAACCACGACTCGACCAAACTCGCCTAATATGCTGGCGAAGCGTACCAAAAAGATACAGTTAGGTAATGTTTAAACAAAGGAAATCATGACCATGACGGTATTTGGATATCTGATCTTAATTAGAATGGATTTTTACGATTTTATTTCTCCGTTATCTCCATGGATTTAGTTTCGATTGAGAAGATACATCAAATATCAAACACCAAAGCAGTGTTTGACCACAGTCCAAACACTTCGAAACTCGTCAAAAATACTCCGCTTGGTGTTTGGGAATATTTTCAAACACGGTCTTTTGTGTCTGATATATTACTTGAAGCAGAATAGAATTCAGAATAAGCATTTTAAAAAGACGCAGCAGTGTATAACGTACTGATCAAACTCTCGCTAGAGTATTTTCACCGATCTCGAGTATCGTCAATCAGCGAGATCATTTTTCCCCAGAGAATAATGCAGTTGCTTTGACTTCTTAACTTTCGTACTTCGTAACATAGATTTTATCTATCCCGATGTCGAAATAGTTTTCCATATGTCTATAACAAAAATATTAAGGCATAGCAGTTTTAGCAATTGAAGACCTCGAGTAGGCTTTTACGCCAGAATTAGATGTTCCTACATGCCATACTGCTATCAGTATCGGAGACTGTCTCAAGGGGATACCAGGTACGCCGGCTTTATAAACTCTTTATGGGTTTAATAATAAGGCATATTTTTAGTCACGTTTCTTGCACGATTGATATACAGGGTTAATGTAACGCAAGGAAAAATAACTAAAATTTACAAACCTGAACTTGTGAAGTTTAACAGACAGGAAGCCTGGAACATCCTTCAGGTACTCTGTAACCTTTAAAAAGATTAATTAAAGATTTAGTCTCCTCCATTCTTCGTTATTATATCTTGCTAAACTAGATGTACTGAGCTCTGCGGCGTGGAAATATAATAACTTTAGTATCAAACATATCTAATTTTATAATCGCGTTTCCAATTTTTATCAACTTATTTACGCGATCGGTTGGGAACTGATACAACCTCAGACAGTCGCACCTGTTTTGGCTGTTTTTGGACCTCTACTAAAAACTAAGAAAGTCAAGGCCAAAATGGTAAGCCTTTACACTCGCTTTCAGTGTTACTTGCATAGCAATTATCTTTCGACATGCCATGTCTCGACAAGCTATGTAACCTGGCCTACGTCAAATTGTAAGCGCAACTGACTTCTTTACGGTCGAACTCGACTTTTAGTCATAAAAGATGGATTTACTTGACATCAAACTAAGGCGATGTGGGAGTTAAATCGACTGTTTTGAATATTACATCTTTCGAATACTAACTGATTGGTAGCCCAAATCACCATCGAGAACCGATAGAGTACACTAAAATCGTTTGAATTATGTCATAAATCGGGAGACATGCAAAGTCCAAAATCTTCTTCATTCATTTGAGGTCATTAGTTATCATTTATTTGTCATTTGTTCCGCTAATAACCGAAAAAAGGCCAGTTTCACAGTTAAAACGGTCTTTCAGCCGTTTTCATAGCATCTCGAAAGATGGCATGTGGAAAGATGGTCGAAAGATGTCGCCCATGCACGTAACACTGAGAGCGGGTGTAATTGCCTACGATTGTACTTCATTCACTGGAACAGTTAGCGAGGACCTACAGCAATAACAGTTAGGAAAAATAAAAGTGAGACACTAACACTGTTTTTTTTTTAATAAACCTGAAACTCTAAGCCTTTGCTTAGTATTGTAGCTCCTACAACGGGACAGTAAGAAAGAAGCTTCAGGAAGACAAATTTAAGCAAAACACTTAAACTAGTTTTGTTTTGAACATACCTGATTTAAAACCAAGCCCTTGATTTCTCTGGTTTCTTCATCATTGGGATTCATGTAGCTAAGCAGAAAGTTTGTATTCCGTACCTTCAGCCAAACGTTGAAATAATTAACTAAGAACAGAAAAAAAACCCCAAAGTTTTAACGTTCGCCTTGAAACAAAGTTTCTTTTCTTACAGACTGCACAGCAATGAGATGCTTGACCACGGATAAGCATACATCTTTATCCAACATAATGATAGCTTTAAAAGAAGAATTCAATTACCCAAAGCAAAGTGATTCATTCCCTCTTTTTCCCACAATTATTTATCTTCTAAAGACACTTGCAATACTTGAAAAGTTGGTGTTTTGACGAGGTAAACGACGATGTTTGATGCCCGTTCGTCGTCTATTCATACTTGATAAGATACCAAAGAGGTTCTTACCTGGTTCACAGCCGTATAACTCAAACCTTAAAGCGATATTATCATGCCAATCTGTGGGGATCAGTACGACTTGAGAGGTTTTTACCGGTAATGGAACTGTATTGAACTTAATAGTGTGGCCATCAATATTACCACCAAATTCCTAGCAAAAAACAACAACAAAACAACAAAAACAACAACAGCTACTACTGAGACCCCACGAAAGTGCCACCTCACGATGTTTATCTACTGTAGTAACTCAGTACACATTTTTCAACTTAGACGTTTTTAAAGCAATCTGCGGACTAGTCTTAAACTGGCCCTTTCTGATCCTAAATTTCAGCCAAACAAGGCTTAGTCAACGTAAAATTGTCAACTTGATAAAAGACTCACTTGCTTACCAGAAACAACACAAATATTGTGTAATTGTCCATGGAAGAGTAAGGTAGCAAACCTTTACTTACAGGATGCACTTTCATTTTACAACTTAAAACACTTTCATTTTACAACTTAAAACTGTTCAGATGGCTAGCTCACTTCAGTAAAACTGTTTACATGTTCCTTATGAGGCCGTTACCTCAAAGAAATTATCTGAACTGTAAGCTTACCATCACAAGCAAAGATTCGAAGCAAATTATGCGAGTTACTTAGATAAATGGAAAGTTATCTAAGCTACTGTACTGATCCCTTTAAATGCTTTGATTAAACTAAATATGTGGGTGAACTGAATCCAGTGGAGTGTAATTGTTACGTTAGAATTTACCTTGGACTCTACAAGCTTATGTTCTACTCTTTCACATAATTTTCAGAGAATAGTCAAATAATAGTTCTCGCGACGTGAGGTTGCGAGGAGCTCCTCACTTCGAAGAGTGGGGCTTGGGTCTGAATCATAGGGCCTTCTCACCTCAATAGATTTATAATTTCCAGCATCATCAGCAGCGAACATTCTATACTTGGTGATCCACTCTTGTCCTAGGCCTTGGGTAGCGATGCCAGTTACGACCATTTCTTTCGGAAGACTGACCGAAAGGAAAGGGGAACGTGACTGGTTACGTGCGTGGCTAAGGGCTTTCGGATCGGTGCGATATCCCGACGACGAATTCAGTCTTGCGCGATGAGCTCCGAACAATGTCAGATCCTCCTCGTAGCCAGTCACAGTGGCAAATATGCTACTATCAGGAATGTCGCCATTTTCCATGCCAAGTGGATTGTGACAGTCGCCTAAGTAGAAAAATATAATATCGTGCACCCCCTGAACGTAAAATGCAGTGAGGTGATTGGGGGAGCAGGGAAATAAGGGGTAGGGGGATGGAATCTCTCGTTTTTGGCGTTTCTTTCTACGAGAGAAGGATAAAGCCGCTTCACACAAAACAAGCCAAAAGTTTTCCAATGGGACTATTGTTTGCTCGGATAATTAAATGATCGTAAACGATAATCTGATAGGTCTGTTTCTGATAAATTTATGCGCCATTCAAAACGATTTGATGGCTAGGGATGTTATTAGGGCGTTTGCGTATAATATTATATCTTGTTACAAATGGACAATATTCTTTGCTTTATTCTTCTCGAATGGACAGAAAACGGACGAAAACCATCGAGCTTCATGTTTTATTTGCGAAGAAAATTTGTATTAACACCTTAAGTGTCTTTGTTCAACACTGTGCTATTCCGTGTCTATTTTTTTTTTTGACTCAGTTGTACACTGAATGTGACGAATAAGCGGAACTTCTGTGTGTGATTGTCTCGACTGACCATGGTATACGAAAGCCTTAGAACCGTCATTTGTTATTTAGCATCGGCATCAATAGGCTCTTAAGTCAGTATAACCATACTAGGAGGCTTAGAAGAGGACGATACAGAAATCCTTAAAATGAAGCAAGAATTTTCGTCGGCTTGTTGTGACTATTAGCGTCATTTACCATTGTTGTACCACCTAGCTCACGATCTTAACATTATTTAACTAACAGATCAAGGAAATACCCAGGGAAGTTAAAAATGAACTAAAGTTCACTTACGAAATTCCCCTTGCACCGAATGGAATAGATGAAACATCACCATAAAAAGAAATAAGAACTGTCTTCTTTCTGCCATTATCATAAAGTAGTTTTTAATTCACAACTGAAGCAAACAATTTTGAAAGGGATTGTAAATTATTTATTAGCAGACACATTAACTCGCAGGCCACTATTTCAGGTGGTCGCTGTAATTCCTCGAGCAAGATCACTTTCTAGTGTAGAAACCTTATAATTTTATTCCGATATGGTGTTTTTTTCTGGAAAAAGAAAAAATAAGCAAAGAATTACCAATACTTAAACTTTTCAACCACTTCTTCATCATGTCGTGTTTTAATCAGTTATTCACCATTTTCATACCTTTGCTATTCAATAAACTAGAGGGCCGCATGCTTAACCAATATTGATGAAGCTAATTACAGAAAGTCACGTTTCTTGTATTTAACACATTTGAAAATAGTCGAGAAGAGTTTGCTAATTGGCACAATAATGGAAAGTGTCCAGCACGGTAGCGATGGCAGAATGAAAGATGCACGAAACATTCCTGTCCTGAAATGTTTTCATGTACATTTATTAATGGACTTCAATTGATACCTTCAGCAAACAAGAAAATACAGAGTAATTGTGTATTGACAAAAAAAGACAAAAACACTTGCAAGGTTTTACTTTAATCGGGATAAAATGTAGCATAATTATTTAGAGTAAGAATTCAAATTAAGGTCTTTAGTCGGTGACAACACTTAAATTTGGTGACATTAAAAACCAGTTTATTAATGTGTCATTCAAGTTCTTTCATCCCTGATGTTAATGACTTTCATTCAAGCTCACATTTTAATTCCACCTGGCCTCTAGATAATGATAGTATGACTCGGCATCTTAGTTGCTTTGTTTACCATTCTAATTCCAAGCTCATCTAGTGTCATGATTGTATATCCTTAGATACCGATTCTTAAATGTCAAGAAAGCGCGTCACAAGAATTAATAGACAAGTGAGGGATTTTGGCCGTTCTAGTAATTTCTATAATTATCCAAATATGTTTTTTACATGATGGTCAAAATCCCAACATTTTCTCGAGGCCATCTGCCATGATAAGATATCGATTATATTTGATACTGTTGGCTGCGAATTTTGCAAGAGAAGACTCAACCAGAATGAAAGCGATGTCATCTTTCGGAGGACTGACGTTATGTTCCTCACGGAGCCCCGAAGATCTTCAATTCATAAATTCGTGTTCCATTTACCGTTTTGCATCGTGTGCACTACTCCTACACCTTGCATCTTTTACGCCCCTTCAAATTTGTTGTTTCGACCAAAATGACGGGTTCAAATAGGACACTTTCTACGGAAGTTTGAAATTTCCCACCGATATTTGCAGATTTCTTTTGTTAATGGCACGACAACTTGAACAGCCAAATGTGCGGAAAACGTAAACGACGAACAGATCTAGAGAGAGGAAGGAGACGTCCTGGGAATAATATTAGGGAACTTTAGCAATAACAACGGCGACCCCGAGGACGACGCTTTTTTTTTTTTTTTAAAAAATGGATCTATATTTTACCATCCAATGTCGCAACTGTGTAGTTCTGTTCAGTGCGCTTATCGGTCCATAAACTTGGTCGGGAAAAATGACAGCGTTCAGTTGCAAAGGAAGATACCAAAAATTAGCCGCTGTGGTTCACGTTCTCCAAAACACGTAGGTCATAGGTCATTCTCGGCACGTTGATGTTCGTAGATGTTGGGCAAGAAATGTACTAAGATTCAAAACGCGCGTGTAAAATCATTGTTTCGCTCATTAAACTTTTTGTTTAGTGATGTTCTCGTCGCCGTCGCCGTCGCCGTCGTGTTTTGCTAAAACTCCCTAATACCCCCGAGGGGATAAGGATGTAAGAAAACAATATGGCAGTTTCCCCAAGGGGAATCGGATATGACAGTTTCTCAATAAATTCCAAAGTCCGGACTCAGAAAACGAAATAATAACCCGACCGTCATATCTCCACTACATACAGATGCAGTAGGGATAACTTAAGTAAATCATGTTTTAATTGTTATTCTCTGATTATAATTTCATCTGGCCATCATTAGGTTAGTGTGGGCAAATGGCAGCCGAGCGGCCTCAATAATACAATATGAGACTGGGTGACTGTGGAAAGAAGCTATACAGGAGTGTCAGACATATCACTGGCTGACAAAAGAAAACTACCGCAATCACTGTCGAACTCCAGCTCAGAATCGGGACAGCTACCCTCTTGATCTGTGTCCTGGTCTGTTTCAGAGTTTTCTTGAATTGTTCCTTCGGTAAGCTTCCTTAGATGCAATTGCACTTTGGAAAGCAATTCCTCCGCATGAGACAAAATAGGATATTGGATCTCGTCCAGGCTATCCATAGAGGCTAGTCTAGGAACGTTAGCCTTAGGAGCATGGGTTATATGATATCCATTAACCTGATATTTACGACTATGTTTCCTATTACAGAAACTTAATCGAACGAATTCACCGAAGTTGTAAAGTGAACGTATAGAGGCTTTCACGCAAGACTGTAAGTATTGAAACAATTCAACATAGTCAATGTCATCAGCGTCATTTTTTCTTTCTTTTTCTTCTCGTGACATTGTATAGGACTCGTTTAAAATGGCTATAAACGTATTAACTAAGATTGCCATTGCGGTTAATAAATATACGAAGAGGAATAATGGCCCAAGAAAACTGTCGGTGGCAAATTTGAGCTGATAATACGAAGACTTACCACCAATGACCATCTGAAGCAATGTACGAACTGCTTGGGGTAAAGTGGAATAGTTGAGTACCGAAGATCCAAAAGACAAGAACGCAAACAAAGCAAATGCTATTATAACGACAAAGAATACCACTGCAAAAGAGGAAAGTGGAGTGACGGAACCTCTCAGGGTCGTTCTCATTTGATAAACGTGAGGATTGAATCGAAAAAGTCGCAAGGATTTAATGGTGACCACAAACATTACCACGGAGAGCAGATAGTCTTCAACCTCGGACCAGAACATAATTTGATCAGCGCTCCAGTTATCAAATGGATTTGCTCGAACATTGCTCACGTATTCACGCGTACATCCCTCTTTGTAAAGCATTATTCCAATTCCGGAGGCAGCAAAGCCGATCAACAATATGTCAATCCAGCTCCAAAACCGCTTGAAGTAAATGCGTCCTCCTCGAAACGCTTTTGCGATCTCTTTTATTATAAACCCGAGAATTACCAACATGAGCAGCACCTGCGAAACTTGATAAAATGATCGGTAGCTTGCGGACCCATGGGGTAAATAAACAGTAACTGTTTTTACTGTGCTGCTTGTTATGACGCCTCCAGTTGGGAATCTCTCGTATAAGTATCTCATAAGGCTATAAAAGGATTTTGCAGGCTCAAACAATGTGCATTCAATAAGAATAGCTACTGTCCTGTCGTCGATCCAGCGGTTGTCTTCCAAGCTTTCTAAGACATCTAATGCTGATTCCGAGTTGTAACCAAGATTTGCCACAAACCCTCCCCCAAGGTACGCGGTTGTTGTGCCTTGAATTGGTTCTGACTTCAACCCACTTGCAGTTACATATTGCCATGGTTTTGGACATAGCGAATCCAACTCGGCGGTATTAGTAATAAACAAACTGGCATTCTTGACTGGTATCCAACCCGGTTTGTGAAAAGGTGTGGTGTCTTCGTTGCTTTCGCTGTAGAAAGGCAAGCATCGCGGGAGGACAAGTCCTAAGGAATGGCTTTTTGAATTACACTGGGCTTCTGTCAAGACAAGAAGTTGAGCTGTTTTCATTGAGTTATCTTCTCTACGTTTTATTTACCTAACTTGAATCCAGAACAACTTAACACTCGGTTATTTGATTATTTGTAATTTGCTGGAAACGTCTCAGTTGTTTGCAAGGAGTTTGTTAACTATATGAGCAGAAAACCATATTCAAACCGTGCCAGGAACTCCCATGCGTTTCTGATAGTACCCCAATACGGGAACATGTATATAATTAGGTATTTCTATAGAAGAACACACCATTAAAATCACAATACTGAAATATGACTCAACTTGATATCTAATCTTACCTGGAAGTATACGTATTTGCCGAAGTCTTGGCATTCCAACTAGGAAATTTTCTCTGTTGCTGATGAATCCTTCGTCATAATCAAATGGTTTGCCGTTATACCACGCTGTGTTGAACAGTCCAGGAACAAACGTATTCCTCATCCAACTCCATAGAGATGGTGTATCATCCACCTACAAGAAGTAACCATGTTTAGGTATTAATATGCACAAATACGCTTCTTTTGCAACGAATTATTTTTTTCGAACACTCAAGATCGAGCACGGAGCACGAGAGCAGTCGTAAAGAAAACAAAATTGAAGACCTGTGAGCAGACTACCAATTTCAAGGCTGACTCATTTTTAACAGAGAAGTGAGTGTTGCAGCGATAAAAACGTTACGATATTTAAATGAAACTTTCCTGTGTGACTAATCAGCCAGATGACTTGCGTTAAAGTGCCTATGAAATTAAAAAATAATTCCTGCTTATTTGAAGGCTTCTCAAAGTAAAGAAGAATGGCATTTTCCTTTTTGGAATATCTTTTTTCATTTTGGAGATATTCACGTTTTTGTATTATGCAAATGAGGAAAGTGATGACATCATAGGTGGCTCCTCTAAAACAGCACAACACTCAATCGAGAATAACTCTAGAAACATTAAGGCAGTGTTCTTCAAACTTGGCACCAGCAATGTACATCACAAAAGAAACAGAATGACATCTACTATATTGTAACCATGACAACACTCCTGGCTCCAATCTCTTTCTGTGAAAAACCAAATATCCCCATTTGCAACCTTTTATAGTGGGACAGAGGGTCTTGCTCGGAACACATAAGGTTCCCATATTGTCTGAGCCCTCCCCATTACATTGGTGGGAGTGGATGACCCTTGTTTAAGATAAAATCTGGGAATTTTAGTCTTAATTAAAACAGAGCCCGCGGCATAACTGTTGTCATGGCAATGGCACGACGGGTGTCATTATTTTTCTTTTGTGAAGTATATTTGTGGTGCCAAGTTTAAAGAACACTGCTTTAATATTTCTAGAGTTATTCTCGATTGAGTGTTGCGCTGTTTTTGTGGAACCTTTTATGACGTCATCACTTTTCTTACAAAAACATAAATATCTCTAAAACGAAAAAAGATATTCCAGAAAGCAAAACGCCATTCTTCTTTACTTTGAAAAGCCTTTCAAATAAGCAGCTATTATTTTTTACTTCATAGGCACTTTAACTACTTAAAATAATTCACTCTGGCTATGAAAAAAAAAACTTTTAGACTCACCTTCGAAAAGTTTTTAAAAAGAGCCTGCACTGATTTTGTCAGACTGTATCTCGCAGAATCTCGATTCCCGTAACACACAACCATAAAGAGAAAGAGGAATGCGGCAAAGAAACAAATCTCAACAATTGCACGGAACGCATTTTTTTCCTTCTTGCGTTGAAAGCGTGCATTCTCAAGCTCCTCCATCTCAAGAATTCTTGCTTCCTTTCCAACATCTCCTGTGCGTGCGAACTGATGTTCAGGTAGAATTTGGGACTGATACACTGAGTCAGGGTCCAGTGGCTTCCTAATAATTATTGACAGCAAGCAAACGATAATCAACACTTTCATTGGTTGAATTAGCAAGACGTCTTCAAAGAATGAGAAGGTCATAGACACAAGCCATTGATTCGAGATCTCAGCACCCCAAGATAAGCTGTAAAAGACGGTAAACAAAGCACTGGCTAACGTAGTGGAGATACAAAGGCCCCAGCTAAAGTAAATAAAGATATGCGGGAGGCATCCTGAAGAATTTGGTTGTTCCCCACTTTGTTTGATATTCTTGAATATGGTTACAATGAGAAAGTTAACCGGGAGAGCAACGAGGCCACTCTGAATACCTATCTTTATTTCTGTCCAACTAAATTTTAGTGGTCCAATGTAGAAGACATCTGTGGCTTTGGCGCCAAAGCGATAAAACATAGCACCAGTTACCATGGCGCAAAAGATGACTGACAGGCAGCAAGAAAGTCTTTGACATCTAGTAAACTGATCGTGCGGAGGTTTGGTGAACAGAGAAATCCAGAGATGCGAGTCTCCGACAGCTTTTTGGGCTCGAGAGTGAAGGACGTTTTTAAATTCTAATAGATCTGCTTTTGATGCTGCTATCAGCTCGAGGTCTATCTCCCCGAGGCCCTTTTCAACAGCAAGCCATCGATTCGCTATAAAATGCCACTTTTCTCTTGTCTGGACATCTTCTACGACAATTTCAAGAAGAAACCACGATGGACTGTCTCCAGAATTGTCGTGCCATACTTTTAATTTAAAAAGGGATCCTAATGATTTTTGCAGAGACAGAGTGAAAGTGTTTACACTGCCTCTGGCAAAGAATATCCTTTGCAGTTGTTTACATGTAAAGATTATCGGCTTTGAGACGCCTTCTTCACCATATAGTACCAGCCCTACATTGGCGGTAGTTCCAGAATTCCTCCACGCGCCAGTTTGTATGGAAATGGTGTAAGTGTGCTCCTCAGTCTGTGGATCTGAGAGGTGATATTCTGCAACGACCTACGAATTGGAAGTAGAGAAAATTCCTGTGTGTGACTGTAAGGCACACATTTATTTGCAAAACCTACAGACAACATAATAGGATACTACAACAACACTTAAGAGGGTAATGAATGGGCAGAGGATTGCTGAATGCCACTTAGATACCCTCTTTCAGAATAGGAAGAACTCTGCAGTAAAAATGCAAGCAAAACAAAGCAAACCTTCCCGTCCCTCTTTAAGTTCTATTTTGTCTCTTCTCATTACCCGCTCGATTACAAAACTAATGTCATTGCGGCCACTTCTTAATACTGATGCGATTAAATTGTGAATCTACTTTGAACTCTCTCTAAATTAAGCCTGCTAAACGCAGTGTCCCCAATTAGCCTCTGATTGCCAACCATGCCCAAATCATTTGATATCCTGTTTTGTACTGAAAAATCAGTTTCCGTCAACACTTTAGGATCTCGATTTCTCAAAAGGTAAATCAGAGCCGAATAAGAACTTTATCTACCTTTGACTCGTCCTTCTTGTCGGCTCGTCGGGCAAAGATCAAGCCCACTACATAAAACCCTAACAAAGTGCAGACAGTCGCTAACACAACATAGTTTCCAGTCTCCCCTAGACGGCCAAATTCGTCCCAGACCTTATCAAAGTCGATGGGATTTGGCGCCACGAAGAAATCTCCACCAAAAGATGTCAAGTGCGTACAAAGGCAGTGCACTCTCCCCTGCTGAGATGCTGAACCAACCTGTAGGGAAGTAACATATACTAAGATTAATGTTTGAAATCCGCATTTTAACTTTGGCGAATTTTCTTAAACATGACGCTCGCAAAAAAATATCTATCAATTGGGTCATTGTCGGAGGGAGCTACGTCAGTCACAAAAAGATGTTACTCTTCCATTTTATAAAATGGATTTCAAGTTTAAAGAGAACCCCATAATGTAGTTATTTCCTAATGCAAAACTTCCGAGAAGAAACAGAGATAATAGAGAATCCTAAAATTCACATTTACACTGAAGAGCGATCTTCAAACATTTAGATAAGTCTTTTTTTCGTTTGCCGTCCATGACTTGGTTCCTCCCGTCCAATCTACACTTCAATAGATTTACCCACGCAACTTGCATCTTTCTTAACGTGACTTAGTGACTGTGGCATTCGTATAGATTATTACTCCCAGCGCCTAGTTTTACGAAAAAATAAGGTGTTGCAAGAACTAAAGATAAGACGAAATCGAAGTGTAAATTAGAACATTAAATATTGTTTCTAAATGTTTTTTCTAACCTTGCATCCTCTGCTCGACCATTTCTCTTCCTCCACCGACCAGTAAAGGCACGTTCCCATGGTTACTGAAAATGTGTAGTTAACGTCTGTTTTCGCATTATACTGCGGTGTGACAATCATAGGCGTTGGGGATGGGGTGGTCGGGGGATCTTTGACTTGAATACAAGATCTCTTTTTCCGTCTGCCATTACCAGTGCAAGATCTTCGCATCCTAGCCTTTGGAACAACCAGTGTTATCCCGACGTAGTAAAGACCTGCATCATAACCAATAAGTCTGACAGAATGAGCATCGTCGGTACAGTTAGATAACTTATCTGTTTTATAGCTTTGGCAGGATGACAAATCTGGCAAGTTGACGACGTAACTGTGGTTGTTAGCACTAGGTTTAAACCCTTGTCCAAAATAAACTACCACCTGTCGACTGGCAACGTTCGCAACTCTCAAAGACACAAGGTGCTCACTTGACGGTATAACAAGGGTGTGATACCGAATGACTCCTGGTTGTAGGAACAAGTGACGTGGCTTTTTTCTAGGGTCTGAAACTTTTTCGGTGTGTCTGTTGGAAATGTGCAGTCCTAATGGGCTGCTGAGATTGTTGACCTTTACTTCCATGCCGTTGCTGGTTCTTAGAGTGACGTCAATTACAGCCGAACGGATGCTTGATGCAGTCTTATCCCATATGTAAGGATTTTCTTTGAATGCCATTAGCTGAAATTCAAACCAAGGTGTTAACTTTATTAGCTAAATCATTCTGGTGTTGACTATAACCTAATGTCTTCAAAGAGGGGTCCAGTACCTGGGAAAATTATCGCCAGAACTAAGGTTACCACGAATACCTACTTGAATTGCTTTCCAGACTATCTATTGTTGACCCAATTCTTTTTAAGACTTACGTTACCAGCTTTAGCACATGACGTCAAAATGTGTTAAATATGTTTATTTCATACGAAATATTCAGGAAAAACTGCACGCTACAGTTAAGAATCACTTACAGTCTGAACACCTTGGACAACAGTGGAGTGAATACGTGATTGACGATCTTTAAAAACGCAGTAAGAAAACAGGGTTGTAATCATTCCACAGTAATGTGGATGTCTCAAATTTCTATATAGTGCTCAGAGTATAACGTAACTACTTTTTGCGGTACGAAATTAAAACAACACTAACAGAGACAAGGCAATAGTCCAATCAAAAGGACGATTTACCTGCAATGTAACACTGCCATTAGTTTTTGGAAATATATTATTGGAGTCAGGTATAACAATGTCTGCCCCTCCCTCGCTGATATTCCGCCCAGAAAGATCTTCTGGCTTCTCCTTGTAGATCGCAACATCCACAAAGTTGGACTTCACGACAGTTTTCCCTTGGCTTGAGTGACTTGTTGATGAGAGAACTTCTCCGACCTTTCTGACTAATTCGAGTGTCCTTTTTGTGTTTTCTTTTCCCTGAAATATAAAGTTAAGAACACACGATTTTTTTTTGGATGAATTGAAAGAACATTGTTGCCAATGAAGGGTCACTTCTTGACTGAACCAGCGGGAAACAGCGGGTAATCCCGTGCTCACAAGATAACCCTGGATCTGGCCCACCCAGGAAGCCAATGACGCCTAAAATTTGTTTCACCTTACCCGTTCGCGGAGCTAGCCATAAAAGGTCACCAAAAAAACAAGCTATGAATCCTTGGTCTAGTTGGATCATGATACTAACAGAAAACCTGTATTTGAGAACTGAATTTCCACCTCTTTTTCGAGGCTGACTGAAATTCTACTTACGGTTTCTCTTGTAGAATCATCTTTTGTTTCTATTCTAGCATCCTTAGAAGAGATTTGTAAAAGACTTCCAATACTGTTAAGCAGAACGGAGCTGACATTCTTAGCAACCTTGGCATCGTGAGTACTGTTTGAAGAGAACTGAGAGGCCATGAAGTTTGTAGCTTCACTTAGTAGTGCAAAGGCGTCTGCCTAGAAAGACGAGGATTATAATCATTTTTGGATATTGCCGAAGTCCACTGTGAAGCCGCAACTTTTATTGTTTTTTTTCAGGAGATTGCACTTGATGAAAATGAAGGCAGATGGGGCAACGTTAGCGTTAGCGTTAGCCCTTAGTCGGAGCGATTCGCTCTGGCGAAGAGCTAAGAATTAATTGTCTTACTTTTTAAACAACACAAACAACAGCCGTTTTCCAGAGGGGTCAGATTTAAGAGATAATTGGCTTACTTTGCAAACAAAACAACACATATAAATAAAATAAAACTATATAAAAGAGAGCTTTGTAAACTCGTAGTGCAAATTACAAAGCCCTTCACATTTCTAACTAGCTAATAAAGTTGTCAAAAGCTAATAAAGTTGTCGATAACCTCGCGGTTCTATTAGCCTCCATGCACAAACTATAGACCATTGTCACCTTTAATTGTTATATATGTATTTTTTTTTCTTTTTTATGCTAATATTGTAATTTCAAAACTGTAAGTGCAAAGTAAAGTGAAGTTGAAGTTGAAGTTGAAGTTCAACTTACCTGCAGGGAAGGGGAAACGGTTTGGCTGTTATCTGTCGCCCAGACAACAACAGCGGCAACTTTTGTCACATGGACAACGCTTTTCACTTTGAGACCTTTCATGTCTCGCAAGATGGAGCTCTAGAAAGTATAGTTAATAAATAGAAGTGATTAATGGATGACGCGTGCATGTGCATATTTCACGATGGCTATAAAAGAAGATAAAACGAAGAATGGAATGGGTGAATTTAATTCAATGCACTTACCGACTTTCTCTCGAATGACTCGTCACGAAAGTCCTTTACAGTGGACATCAACATAAAAGCAAGCTCCGTCGCTCGGTCAGCATCTCCAGCTCGCACAAAGTCGCGAATGACGTTGAGTTGCTTGTTAACAAATACATCGCTAAAATCGGACTGCTTTGGAGGGCGTACCTAGAAAAGAGGTCAGAAGTGTCTTCGTTGAAACGTTACCAGGTTATTTGTTAGATCAGAAATATGATCCTGTATATGAACGTCAGACGTCGTGTCATGATGGAAGCTTCAAACATAAACAAGAATAAGCTTTTTCTTACTTGTTGTCCTTAATAATTGCAAGTACCATGAAAATGAATGTGAAAATGAAACGGACCCGAGTTCAAAAGATATGATTTAAAAGCGTATTAAGAGCAGTAATAGTTAACCAAATGGCAAGAGTAGTTCTTTCAGACAAATATTGCATGTCATTCCTTTGATACTGATACCTTGACTAACAGCCGCGTGGATGTGAAATCCTGGTAAGAGTCTCCAACAAGCACTTCCAATAGGAGCTCATACTTATTAGAGGCCTCTCCTACTGGGAGTTTTGTAGTCACTGTATTCAAACTCCCGGCTTGAATTATTACCATGCCATACTTGTCTTGGTATGTGAACTCATAAGTCAGCGGTTTGTCCGCGTCATGCCATCCCGAGCACGTGATCGAGAAGTCGGTTGATATAGCTTCACCTTTCATCGGTACAACGTGGCAACTAGCGTCTACAGAGAACATTTTTGGAGGCGAGTTGACAATAAACGAAAAGTTACCATCAAACTCCTTCCCATCGTCTAATTTAACCGAAGCTTTAACAGCGTAATGAACGTGCTTTCTCGTGTCATCTTCTAATTTGAAAATGTCGTTAATGAACAGGCGTCTGGTGTTCATTTGCAGATAAATATTAACGTGATGAACTGGCGAGACAGAAAAGCCGTCAACTGATTGATTAACAATATGCAAACTCCAAGTGTAGTTCGAAATTTTGCTGCAGGCTTCTCCTTGGCACGTCGCCTCCAGGAGTAATCTATCTTGCGGACTAACCTTTTCACCACAATTTGACATGCATCTGAAGAAAACAACAATATAAACTACAGTACCTAGTTTGGTAAACTACAATGATGTTGAAAAAAAAACAAAACAAAAACAGTTTTGTCCAATATATGCCGTAATTTTCTTTGTCCTTTGAAGTGCTAAACTTCAACCTGAGAGGAGAAACCTAGAGAATGAGCATTTACATTCAGAACGACCATTTGTTTTCCCACAATATTCAACCTCATGTCTTTCTTTAAAAGGAATCCTTAGCAAGGGGCGCTTATTCTCCCGCTAGGGGAGATTGCAACGCAAAAGATATCTTGACAGCTACGAACAGTGGCGTTTCGTCCTGATACCCAAAATCAGTGATTTATATCCCTAAGCAAGATGACGAGCATCACGACTTTTCCACCTTGAAAATCTCAGGCTATCCCGCGTTTGCTTGTATCTGGTCAGTACAGCTATTATAGCCCTTGTGCATGACCGCCTAGCCTCGGTTCAAAATGCAAATATAAAATTATAACGTGAACAAAATCCTAAAGCGCCGGTGGAAAGAATACCCACAAATAAAAAACACGAAGGTGCTGAAATTTTGAAAAATATTCGTTCAAACGAGGCTTGGTGGCGAATTTTGAGCATGTAGCGATGTCATGCGTAAGATCTAAAAAATCAGTACAGTATCGGGATAATTCTAGATGTTTGGCACTGATCATACCTACAGTGTGGTACGCACCCGATGGGACTGAAGCACTCTTATAACAAAAAATTCAATTTTGCTCAGTTCGTTGTTAAGGAGAGGCATTAAATGTCTTGGTATTATAATACAAAATAGCTGTAAAAATTATTTTCATGGCCCGTGTGAGCCATACCCTTGTTTTTGTTTGCACGAGAGAGTTTGGCTATTATATTTTATTCGGAGCATTTCGAGACGAAGGAAATCCCTGTGAAGCTACTAATGATAATTAAACATACTTACAGGAACACAACTTACAGTAAAGCAATAAGATCTCGTTTTACCATGGCTGAGTAGGAGGCTAAGTAGGGTCCTTTAATATTCTTACCTAACAAAGATCGACGCGAGTGGTTTTACTACTAACTCGTACACTGCACTCGCATTTCTATCGTCTTTGTAGACAACAAGCTTGAAAATATATTTCTTGCTTTTCACCATCTCCACCATGTTCAAAACTAATACTTCATCTGTAGAATTGAGTCTGCCAGGTCCATACCCAAAGCACCCTGTGTTTGTCTTAACTCTACCAAATGACTCGTCGACTGCGTAACGCTCAGTTACATCTAAGAACGATTCACCTGCTAGTCTACAAAACCAGGTAAATTGTAGGCCTCGTGTGCCAAACCCAGCATCAAACGATTTTTCCGCACTTAGCATGATCTTACTCCTCGTCTCGGTTATATCCGTAATAATTGCCACAAGCGGATCACGAACAATCCTCATATAGCCATTGGCAAGCGTCGTAGAGCCAGCATCGCCTGAAAGTTGTACTTCACATTGAACATAGGCGTAGCCAATGCCAAACATACGTAAAGGTAAGATGACTGTTTTCTTTCGGCCGAATGGCCGTAAGGGTCCAAACAAACCTGTTTCCTGGTCTATTTTTGAGAATTTCCAGGAGTAGAGTATAGTTGTTGTTGGTTGACATGAGTGTTCTAGTTGAAGCGGAAGTCTCATGAATATCTTAGAAAGGTAAATTTCCTTGGCGTCTTTCATCATTTTCCCAAGTTTTAAGCTTGCCTTGGGCGGTGCGCATCCACATCGTTCTGTGAAAAGAAGGGGTTTAACATTTTTTGTATTTAAAGGAGTTCTCCCCGGCCCGTTGGCCCAACTAAAAGAAGGACTATTCTGGTACGCAGCCGGAGTCAAAACGGAACTGATCATGATTTTCATAAAAAAAATAACTTTAAAACGATTCTTATCAAAAAGGTCGTCCATTTAGGCCAGATTGAAGACCCCTCGTGGAAGACCACATCTAGGCTAAAATTAAAGAGCAACTCCGCACAGTTAAGGCCAACCATTAGAAATTCATCATCATAAAAAATCCGGCAATACGGTATTATAAATGAACGACTAACTTAGAAAGACAGTTCCTTTGGAATAAATGAATATCGTTGAAACGCGTTTGTCAAATTGCTGTGTTTATCTGTTCTTAGCTATTAGCCAGGAGGCTCTTACTAGGCGTTTGGTCCCATTGAGTTTCTCGTTCGGCTTTCGGCAGATTTCCTCTGTCGATTAATTAATTATCATAGACTTTAGATTCAATCATTCTTTTCTGGTCTTCTGGTTGAACAGACATTATTGATTATTAAATTTGTCATCGTTTTACTTACTTGAATACTGAGACCTAAAAAAGCCTGGGTCAAATATCCCTTCATAGTTGTTTCCCATTACAGACTTGAGCTTCGTCAAGAGGGCCTGTTCGCTGGATCGTAAACAATGGATCTCCACCACAGCAGTTACTGCTCTAGAGAGCGATGGTGATTCTTGTGGACTGCAAAAAAGAACTGTCCATCAGAGTCACATAACGGGTGACTCTTGTGGAGCTTAACCGTGAGATAATAAAGGGGGTTATTGAAATCAACAAGATAAAGAATATTAAGAATAAAGCGATTACGATTGCATGTACGAAATCAATTGTACCTTGATTTTGGCCTCGTTTCGTAGAAATTTTGTCGCATTCTACCGAGATAGTCAACGCGCCCGCCACCAACATTAACAACAAACACATACTTTATTAATATTTTGTGGCATTTGGCAACTTCACACAGTAACTGTGTCCTAGTTAGTGACAAGTGATTATACATGGAGCAAGCGCACTGTAATAAGTAAACCGAGCAACAACAGGTTACTGGGTGTTCATATTTATATACATTGATACTATTAAAGCTGGCAGTATTTGCAGGCTACATATAAAAGGTAGGGATAAAATCAGAATGTAAAACACGGAAGAAAGCAAAATGGACGTCAAATGCACATTACGAGCAAAACTAAGAAAAGATTTCATCCGTCCTGCCCACTGAGGAAAACAAAATCAGAAATTTGTCTGATAAAGGATCTTCAGCTCACTAAAGAGCATATTGGTTGTAGACCTAGAACAGCCGTTTAAGAATTTACAGCTCATGAGATGTCTTATAAAATGACGCTGGGTGTATTTCTAACACGTACATACCTTAGCTCTCGTACGCGTGCGTGCAGAAATCCCCAAGTGGTACCGAAAATCCTATTTACCTGAATGTACAAGGAAAGAACGTATGTTACCATTTAAATAATCGAGGACATCCAGAGATTATACCTTCATGCAGTAACTCAAAATGGAGTTGGGACAAACGAAGGTAGTGGTTTTTTCTGAAGGAGAAATGGATAACGATGCAGATTTACTGGATTGGCCACCGGTATGGTGTCGGTAGTATTGCATTTACCGATTCAAGAGCTCGTATTGAATGTGTTATCTCTACTTCAACTCAGATACTGTTAAAAAAGTTCTTGATTGAACGTAACTGTGAAGTCCGTGATAGGAACTAACCTCATCCAAGGAATTAGTCACGGCATCTTGATATTCCCAAGTTGACGGATCTGTGTAGGTCACAGTGAAGAAAGTCTCTTTCAGCATCAGCCAGACGATAAAATAATGACCTGAAAGGAATGAAACCAAACTTTAAGCCAAGTTCAGACGCCGTACTTCACATGAGCCGAATAGAATACAAATGAGAAAAATCCTTTGTTCTCCCTCAATAGTATTCGATTCGGCTCATGTGAACTACGGCGTTTGAACCGGGCGTTAGTGAATAAAAAAAGAAACATAAACAAGAAAGCTAGCTTCCATGACCCAGTTGTTGTTCCATAGGTCTAAAAATTGATATGTCAGCAACCCCTCTGTTAAAATGTCAGGCGTGGTGATGGTAGGGAAATAACCAAAACGAGACCCTGCGTAAATAATAGGGTGGTTATTCCTCAAAGCCATTAGAAGACTACCATGAAAAGAAGTTACAATCAAAGCAATTTAACGGGTCAGGATATATACCTTCTTTGCAGCCGTAAAGCTCCAACCTAAGGCCAACGTTTTTATGTACAGTCAAAGGTAATATGAACACTGAAGATGCGAAGACAGGAATTGGTAGAGAGTTCCGTTTAACCGTGTCACTATCGGTGTTACCAGGAAAATCCTGAAAAGTAAAAGAACTTCGTGAAACAAATAATACAATCAAATACATTTTCTTACGAATAATGCTATTTTATTTTATACCCCAGTTTGTTCCGCTTCTTTTTATAGCGATATACGTATGTAACTGCCGGCTCTTTAATCATTCACGTTTTCGGCCATTTTCTGCTAACCCAACCTGTGCCCTCAGATCTTAGCCAGGGCTGTTGTCAGAAACAGGCGATCCGAAACCCTTGCCTTGATAAAACGTTTGAAGTTAATTCGTTATTTAGGATCCTGTAAAATCCTGTAAGAACCTATAAGAGGTTATGTATTAGAAAATAGTGCGAAATAAATGTTCTTTTTTTTCCTGATATTTCTTCGACATGAATGTTCCTAATTCTGGCTACGGCTTTGTTAGCAATACTGGACCTTTCAACAAAACTTACTTTTTTTAACGGTCAGGATGGCCTAAGATTCAGGATCGAGTTAACATTTAAAAAGCAATTTCAAACGACAGTTGCAAACATGGAAACATATCATTTTAACTGATGAAATATCTACTTCCTCTCTGGCCACTGTTAGTGGAACAGCTTTCACCAGAACTGAGGCAACACAGTCACTATTGCTAACTAGAATGTTAATGTTCGGCCTTTCTATCTTACCAGCAGCTTCCCTTCAATGTCTTTTACAGACTGCCGGTTTCCAAGAGAGTCGGTGTAAAACATATTGAAGCTGGTTACCCATTCACCACCATATCCTTGGGTCGCTATGGCAGTGATAACCTTTTCCTCAGCAAAGTGAATTCCTATCGTGTTAGCCGATGGAGGAAAAGTTTTCGGTTCTGCTCTGAAGCCACGAGGATGATGTAGGCGAGCATTCTGGGAGCCGAAGTTCGCTTTGTCGCCGTTGTACGCAAATCCTCCAGTAACTTGTGAGTTTTTAATTCTGTTGTCTTCCATACCAAGTGCTTTGCTACAGTCATCTGTCGCTATCCAAAGAGAATTTGACAAAGATTTGCGTGCGTATGTTCATTTAAATCTAATTCCTTTTTACCTTTATATTGCAAGTTATTGTGTTAGTTATTTTGCGAGTTATTTAAGTAAAGACACTCGGCTAGTATTTCCTTTTAGTTTTCAAGTAGATTTGATGTAATCTTTCTATTGACAAACTACACGTAAGTAGGTGGCCGCTATCTGGCCATTCTAGTCAACCCTGCTGTAAAACACGTCGGGAACTTCATTCGGTCCTAAGAAATTTTGTTTTGCTCTACATGCATTAGTATATTTTACATTCTAAACTAACCTGAACAGTTTTGTTGCTCCTGACCGTGACATGTGACTACCAAAATCAGTAAGCAAACAATGTACATCATTTGGGCAAGATCTTCTTCCTTTTCACTTGGTGTTACTGTAAATCAGAATCAATATAATTCAGTTGACGTGACGTGAAAAATAATTTCAAGTACGTGGAGTTTTAAGCCTCGGGCTGTCTAATATGTCTAGAAGTTCCATTTATCAGTACTTATGAGATCAATCAGGAAACATTAAACATCAAGAGGAACAATTTCCGACAGGTTGATTGAGATGACCTGTAATAAACACATTTTAATTTCCCACATTATCGTAATGAACAAACTTTGAAACGTACTATTCTGGAAAAATCATGTAAATCACTTTAACGTTAATGCACTAGGGGAACACAAACAAATACGACGGCTTGAGCTTTTAAACAACAAGTCGCAGGACTTATGTAAGCCGAGGTTGATCGTTTATGAGCTGATGAAGCAGTTAAAAACGAGAGAAACAAACTTCGCCTAAACTGGCCTGAGTCGACCTTAAAGCTTTTGAAAACTTCCAATCGATGGCGAGTAAACTGAATGTCACGGTAAATAGTAGTGCAATTAGCTAATGCCGATATTACAAGGTAAGTCACGAATTTTTCCGTGTAAATCCTGCTTACAACGTGCTTACAGTTCTCACGATTGACACGAAAATGATGTAGGGTCTAAAAACTTGTATAAAACTGTGCGCGCATGCGATTTTTGCATCACACTAACAGCCCGCGTTTCAACTTACGATGAAGTTGTATCGTCTAATGCGGCCCTTACAAGGATATGTTTTTTTAAATCGCTTTCCTCGTTTTTGAATCGATTAACGTACAGACTGAATTAAAGGTTGACTTCGTGCTTTATTTCCTTTATATAACCAAAGTGACCGACTTAGCAACTCTAAAGTAGTAGGATTTTAAAAAGTATTATCTACATTTCCTTGTGATTTATTTCCCTCCTCAGTTTATTAGGGGAAATTAAGGAATAAGGTGAGGTAAGAACTCGTTAAATACATCTGGTTGTCCGGAATTGCGCTGGAATGTCCACACACACTCACATACAAAAGTTCTCGATGTACGGTGTGAGAGATGTGTGTCAAATAAGTGGTGTGATATTGGCAATATGATTGTTAAATGTTGACATTTCAGCATAGCCATGGTTGGTTGCAACTCTTAATATATATATTCTTAGCAATTTCGGTTTTCTTAGTATAGAATTCATTCACATTTTCCAAAAGAAGACTTAAGACCATTCTATAATACTACACGCTTTGCGGATTTAGTAGATGAAAGAGGCCTTCGCGCGCAGGGCTCCCTTATTTAAATGATATAAACCATATATCATGAGATATTAAAATAGGTATTGGCAGGTGTCGTTTGGCAACTTGTGTTTATTAAGCATGTAAACACGTGCAAGCATGAGGAGATTGAATAAGCCAAAAATAATTTAACAAGGGAGGGTGCATTTTAGCTTAATAAATAAAAAGAATACGCAAAGAATTCACGTAATTTTAGGAGTAGTCGTGAGTGTTGCTGGTTGTAGACAAAATATTATTAACAAACTGATAAAATATTAAACGGTGGGTCCGTTTATCAACAAAATGATGCTTATTTGAGGTTTTTTGTAACACTTGGATGGGATTACTTGCCAAAAAGTCCGAATACTCGAAAAACTTTGATGCCGTAGTTGTTTCTAGCAAGAAAAAAAAAAAAAAACGAACAAGAAAAGGAGAACAAAAAAAAAAACATTTCAGTTGATATCGTTTGAGAATTCAATGTAAGTATCGATGAAACAAGACAGGGTTTACTTCTCAAATTATTTGAGGAAATACGTTTGTCGCCGAAGACGACAAACAATTATAACAATGTACTGATACTAGTATCAACAATATGCAATTTTTTGTATCTTCTTTTTGGGGGAGTCGTTTCGATGGGAAAAGACAGAAAATAATTGGCAATATTACATTTACATTGTATTATATTAGGTGGTTGAAACATCGGAGCAACTGTTGTAAGCTATGTGCTCCTTCCAAACAGGACTGCTTTGAAAACTCAACCTGTAGCCTTTGTCTTATGCCACGAATGACTTAAAATTATTAGCTTGATTTTTTTTTAGCAAGAAGCGTAACACGAGAGCAAGCTTAAAAAAAAAAAACAACTCGGGTTACTCGTCTGCTGACTAAAGACACTTTCCATATTTTTTCAGCACCTATGATGACGTATTAAACGTATTGTGGATCGAGTTACATCTAGCCGTTAAACCAATTTGTTATCGTTTCGTTTTAAAGCCAATACCTGTGCAATGAATATCAAACATATGTTAATTTGTTGCACATACAGCACAGCACAGCACAGCACAGCAAAGCAAAGACCTGTTAGCCACAAATTTTGTTGCTCGACTTTTCAGTGTTTCAAGAATGAAATCCAGACTGTGGATTGTCTTCGGTTCTTGCCCCTGGGCTGTTAAAAGTGGATTAAAAACTTGACATGACTGATTTGATATAAAATATGTCTAGATATCGCCTCAAACTACAAGGATAAGTTGGTGAGGTGCGCTGTATACGTATGTTATTCACTATTTAACAATCAGGGTAAATACGCTTGACATTCAGCTTAGATTGGCTTACCCTTTCGCTTCGTTCCATTCTCAGATTTTAAATAGAATTCATAAGTGCTGACTCCTTAATTTATGCTGTCACCATCCACATCTGCTGGACATGAATTATTTTGATAGACTTGTCGTATGTGGCATATTTTTACCGTGCTACAAGTTCTCTTGTTATAGTCGTCTACCGAAACATTTCAGTCACGAATTATTTGCCATGCCAAGGTTTAAAGCCATAAAAGGAAATATGAAGGCTTTGCTGCTTTTTTGGACAAATCCATGCACATCCCCTGCAAACTGATATGGCAGAAATGTCATAACTAGTAAAAGTTCTAGTTGTTTCGCTCCAGGGTTGCACAACACAAATGAATGGCACGAGCCAACCGAAGCTACCGTCATAGCGACGCGGTTTTCCCATTTCATGTGGGTAATCTTGTTATTAAGACCTCTCCGTCAAAATCATGCGTGACGGAAAACTATTCGCGGGAAGTCAATGGGGGACAACTAATTAGGAAAAACGTGATGTTAGTCAAAATGCTTTTCAATCACTTCTTTTACATTTTAAAGCCAAGTTCTCCTAGCTTATTTATTACAATTTTAAAATGCAGGAACGTTCTCACTGTCTTATTTTGACAATCTATTTTAGCAGTCCTTTTGGAGGAACTGGCTGATCATAAAATGATAATGTAGAAATAATAATATAAAACTGTTTGTCTTTTCCAGCTAGATACAAGACACAAAGCAAAACGGCCTTCAAGCTGTCAAACTTACTATGTTCTCACGAACTCTAATCTCCATTAGTGTTTTGCAATGAAATAACAAAATTATGTTGGAATTATCCATCGAACAACAAAAGTTAAAATTAAAAAAGTCATAAATTATCGTAATTTAAAAGGATTTCTTCCCTCTTGGTACTAGCAGCCTGGCAAATTTTTCCTAAGAGATAGCTAACACAATTCGAAATCAAGAACAGAACTTTTGATGGGAGCCCGCACCATTATTTGAAATATTGGTTCCGTTATCACCAAATCAGCGTTTTAAAATGCATACCCGATAATTTATGCAAATTGTTTAAGAAACTGAAATAATAATTTCAAAGGTATAAACTAACGAAATAAAACACCGACATTATCTCAATATAGTTGTCTTAATTATTTCGAAAAACTGTTCTGTGAGACAGTTTCTGCTACTATACTTTATGGAAGTGTGCAGGCCAGAAGTTTACGTATACTGTAAACTCTGAATTTTGCGAAGAGAAACTCTTCGTAACAAAACTTACAATCATTCACGATTGTTTAATTTCCATTTGAGAACTTCAAATTTCGAATCCCGCGTTTCTGAAAATTTTTTGCTCTATCTGTGCATTTATTTTTTGAGCTACGTAAATTACTCGATCTTAAGCGAAATCGAGAAAACTATCCCTTGCAGTCGATGAAATCACTCCTCAAAGGTTTTAGTCAAGCTTTAGGTCTTGAAGGTAACTCTGATCCATATACATACATTACATATCGAAAAAACGCGTCTAGGTGGTGAAATTAAGAACAAATGAACTTTCTGCAAGTCGCAAAATGACACAAGTAATTAGTTAGACGTGGCTTTATAATGTAGCTTTGAGCTTTGAGGATTTTGGTTAAAACATACCTGGGTTTCACAGACAGCTGTCTTCTTTTGCTTCTTTTATGCTGATAATAATCTTTGGACTTCTTTCAATGCCAAGTACATGTTATTTAAAATTGAAATGAATTCATGACAAGTCACATCACTGAGGTATTGGACCTTTTGTTTTTTTCGTATCTTTCCTCTTTCGTGCCCGACGACTGTGGCACTATTTTTTATATATATATGTTCTAAGGTCAAGTGTATACATATGTGTCGCTCTGCTTATGAACGTCTTATATACACAAAAACCATGGTATAAAACGTGGTACTAATTACCACAACAATGGTGTAAATAACATGAAAACTTTTTATTACAAGACATTTCATTATGAGTTATTGCTGGTGACGCGAACTTCAAGATTTTTTTATCATAGATAGAAATTCTCGTTTTTGATTGGACGAGCGAAGTACAGTCAATGAGAAAGTCCAAAGTATTGAAATCGAATAGAAACTATAAAATCCGCGACGGGACTGAGGATTATAATGTCTCAGCTCGTTGTTAATTTATTATTCATGCTTTTCTTGTTTCAGTTTTCATTAGAGGAGTAAATCATTTGTTTCATTCCTTAAGGAATGGTATGAAATTGCTTATACAAAGTTAATTCTAAAATAAAGAAATGAAAAGGAAAAAAAAGGCATACATATTGAAATGTTCTCGTAAAGTGAACTACAGGTACCTGTTGGCGTCAGCTATTGTACCACAACTATTCAGGCAAAGTTGTCTTGAGAAATAATTGAAATATAAATTAATGATGAAACATGAAGCCGCGGGGTAATGCTACTCATTTTTGCTTCCTTTTGACACAATAAATTTGCTAACTTAATATGTAGGAATAGCAAACAAACAACAATGGACATAGCTGATTAGAAAACCTTGTTTACAAGTTTATGATTTTACGCCTGTTTTGTGTCTTGAAGAAATAATGATAATAAGAACAAAATAACACAAAATATCTCTGTGTCCACACGCGGTAAGGTTAAGGGGATCTTTGTGTTGTCACAAATGTTCTCCTGAAAATCTCTATGGGATGAACAAACACGAAAGAAACTTGTTATCAGTGGTTGATGCGTTACACTTGAATAAATATAAAAGTTCAAAAGAAAACAAAAATTGAAGACTGAAATCTAATTTGTCATCTTGCGAAAAATTACAAAAGTTTCGGGCAAGATGACACTGGCATTTTTCAACGTTATCACTTTTCAATTTTTATAATGAACCTATCCCTATTCTAGGACTTGTTTAATGAAGGCTAGTAGAAAAATATAAAAATTTTTTTTAGACTGGACTCACCATTGCTCAAGGCAATGGTTATAAACTTCAATTAACAAACTAATATATCTCTGTGTGTTTACCAGTGATCGGGAAAAAGATAAGAACATTTTGGCAATTTTACCAACGTTCGAAGTAGTTATTTTGTGTTTGCATTGAGAATTGACGCAAGCTAGGGAACGCTGTACTGTATTTAGTGGATGGTCTGGTCTGTTGACACAAACGGCTACAGCTTTTTGACCAATCACAGTATGCCTATTATTCAATGCTTGGGACGACTTTGTCGGCTCGAAGTTCTGGTTGGAGTCTATATAGCCTGAATTTCCTAAATAATCAGTAGAGTATATATTAATTTACGTGTAGGCTTGTATTGAGGCGAAAAGTGTCAGACAGCCTAATGTGAAATATCGCGGTCACAATATGTTATGACTTTACAGAAATTTGGATCTAAGGTTCAATGGCTAAGTCTAACTGACATCTATTTTCCGTTGCTTCCTTTTAACGTTATTGTTTACAGTGAGCAGGCAATTCAGTGTTCTCTCTCGTTGTTTAACATTGTAGCATACGAATCTACACTTCAAGAAAATAAAAATAATAACTCTAAAATTAAAATATATCAGTCTTGAATCAGGTGCAATAAGGATTAACGTAAAATAAATGCATTTAACAAGGACAAATTATCATGGTCTTCTGAATAAATTTTACAATCTGAGACTTTCGGAGGACGTTATAGATTAATCATCTAATTTTTGGACGGTATTTCGTTAACCGACTGAAAATCGTCTTATACGAGTGTTTTTTTTTTCTCTGTGTCCTATAAATATGTAATTGTATGGAGCTCGGCCTTTTGGGACGTTCATAATTACATTGTATAGCGTCGATTTCTTTAGAATTATAATGTTTATGCCTTCAAATGATTTTCCTGGAATGAATTATGAATAAACCAGACAAAATGCCTTAAACGTACCCGACTCAAAGCCGCCTACCTTTTCCAAAATATTAAAGATATCGAAGGACGATTTCTTGGAGGGGAATGACTTCAGTGTAAACGTAGACAATACCTGTCGTCCGTTCGTGGTTAACTGTTTAAATCTACACAAATATCACCTGCCATTTGCTGCAATCATGCAACAAAAGGTGTGGTAATGACCGGTAAATATAAATCGTTGCAGGAGACATACGTAATATTTTCTTGCGCGGTTTTCATTATTTTTGACGAAAGTTATTTTTGTTTGTTGTTTTTATTCAGGAAATTAAGCACTGTCATCATATTTCTCGTCAAGCAGCCCGGGAACACAAATACATTTTTGAATGCATACAGAACGTGTCATACTAAGAAGGTCTGAGTGCCGGAGAGCGCTTGGGTCAAAATAGATTCAGAGTTGTCTCGTTTACATAAATTAATTAATTTTATGTAATACTAGACCGAAACTTGATTGATTTATTTATCAATTCAGGAGAACTCTAGTTGTCTTCCAAGTTCTAACCGCTACAGAAAATGAAATTAAAAATTGTGCTCAGTGCGACTCAACATTACTACGGCCTGAACATTACATAACACTATACAGAATTTAATACGTTTTTAATTAGAAGTTAGAGATCCCTGCCTGGACTTGAGTGGGAACATTAAAGTATGAATAGCAAATTAATTGAAGTCAAGTTTAGAACAGTAACAGTTGGACCAAACATAAATTGATTGCCACACGACAAACGCGTCTAAAAACGAGATCTCCAATTAAATTGAATTAAATATTCCACATTTTAGCAAGTTTGAGACTGACAATTTCTGGAACGGCCATAATTATGATCCATGACCATGCAAACCACGTATCAATTGCAAGCACATAATTTCTCAACGGGAGTTAAACAGCTGAAAGATTGCAGTAATTTATGACTTAAACAGAGATTACGGGGCTTTAAAAACAAAATCGATATATCACAGCTGAAGTGAATAAGTAATTCGTAGGCCGTATAATGTTTTCCGAGTTTCTATTTTGTACATAAATAATTGCGCTCATGTTCTGCTCTTGAAACGTTAAGTCTTACGCTTTTTCATTTAAACAGAGATGTTTCCACGCATTCATTTTCTACTCCTAATATTTATGTAAAATTACCACATTTCCCTTATATATCTACATGAGAAATACACTGGAATATTGATCTGCAGTTTCTCCAGTTCAAAATGAACGAGGCAGCGACGATCCAGAGATAAAATGCTTCCTTTTCCCTTGTTTCAGGGGCGAGTATCCGCTTGATTACTTTACAGGAATTAAAATTTGAAAGTATGAATGACATTGAAAAAAGAAAAAAAAAAATGATATGATTTTCAGCTTCAAATTTTCTTCAAGCGCAGGTATGACAGAACACATGTTGAAGCACAGAAGCTGTCTGGATTTCATGTTGTTCTCTGAAAAAAGCGCCAGCGAAGTATTGAATTAACTTTTTCTTGGCATTTAGTGTCCGATCTGCCTTAGTTTTACTCAGTACCATTAAATGTGTTATTCAATTTACATTACCGTGCTGCTCTCAAATATCTCAGTAATGCCCGGCACGGAAGCCAATGGAGTTGCAAATTGCAAACAATTACGCCAACAAGAGTTTCCCTGCAATTCGTGGTAAAATGTTCTGTGTTCCAATTCCGTTTCTTTGGAGTCAATTTCAAGTAATTCAATACTGCAGGGAATTGATCCTCAAAAGTCGTGTTATATTTCGTGTTAAGCCAGACGATTAATGCCTCGGAAACAAGTTACTTTATTTCTTCTACACTGACTGGTCATTAAATGAAAACGAGGCTTCACGCAACATTTAACGTACACATTAAACGGGGAGAGCCTGGAACAAAATCTACTCATTAACACCCTTTAAGTTCAAAACAGTTTCCAGCGCTTTCCAAGACTTAGATTTTGATGGGTCATTATAACCACTCTTTATCAGTTGATGCTACAATCATGGCATCAATCTGCCCAATCATTGGTGAACACGGTTTGTTTTTCGTGACAAAAGAGGTTCTCATAGCAACAGTATGACTTGCTAAAAACACCCTTCATTTTAGCTTTAAATACTCATATTACAAAATCCACACCGTAAAACCCATTGTTTTATTATCGAATTTTTGTAAGCAGGATAAGATGCAACGTTTGGCAGAGTTTGCAAACATTTTGTATATGGGGGATCAAAGCCATCTTAAGTTTTCGAAAATTTAAGTAATTTGATTGGGAATTTTAATGATACTATGAACGTAGAATCAACTGATTAAAAGTGGTTATAGCGTACATCAGTCCACCAGTCTTGTAAAGTACTGGAAAGTTTTTTGAGCCACCTTAAGCGAATGCAAGAAGAATTGAATAATGCGGGATTTATAGAACATTACTTTCCGAAACCCGTACAGAGTGTTCATTTGGCACCTTTACTGGATTTATGTAATAAAAAGTCTCTTTTGTTATTTTAATCAGCCTTCAGACTTTCCCATTCGAGCATGATTTCCGTCTGCATAAGCCCCTATTTCAGTTTGAATACTGCTCTTTTTTCCCTGCGTCAACAATAGAAAGCTTTTAGGAAGACTTGTAAATCTAATACTTTTGCCGGGGTACAGGCAAAACTAATTAACGGGTAATTTTAAACGATTTTTCCTCCAGAAAATTCCTCCAAAAAAATTTGCTACATTTAGTAGGCGTGAACAACTGAAAATATCCGCGGAAACCTTAATTGTATCATGTTGTGGTTTATATTAATTTCTCATAACTTACGAATAAGAGGTTTTGGACGGTGTGCGTGTAAATAGCCTATAGTTGTCCAGAGTGGACTGTATGTGCGTGTAAAACATAAAAGATGACTTCTTATTGTCTTCTTATTTACAGGCGAAGTGAGAAAGAAAAATATACATATCTGGAAGATTATCATTTCCGTAAGAAAGCAAAGCACGATATAACTAGTTGTCGCAATTCTGTCTCGTATGCAGAGACAACTCTCGTGTGCAGAGTGGCCTGTATGTACGTGTAAAACATAAAAGATGACTTCTTATTGTCTTCTTATTTACAGGCGAAGTGGGAATAAACTAACTAAATACATATCTGGAAGGTTATCATCTCCATAAGAACGCAAAGCATAATGTAAGTAGTTCTCGCACTTCTTTCTGGCACTCAGAACTTACCACGTCGGAGAATTTATTCACGTAGATTCCTTAATTTGCCAGATAAATTGAAGCCCTGGTTGTTTGATGTTTGAGCAAAGAAAACGATGTAATAGAGCGTTTTCACTCAGGTGGCCAACACCCATGCAAAGTTATTGGAACAAAATAAAGTGTTTACACAGAAAAGAGTTCAACTCTCACAGGATTGGTTTGGTACACCAACAAGATCGCTGTTGCATTGTTTTGGAACACCAATATGGCTGCCGTGACGTCACGTGAAAACACTCTATATGTCAAAATTATATTTACCTAGAGTACTACGACAAATACTGTTTTCTCAATAAACTAAACACATTACTTAAAGAGGGAAGTTTTGAAAGGGGAAACAAGCGAAATTCGATTATTATTTGTAATTTTAAAGGTCTTAAAACTGGCTGGGTAGAATGCTAATCTTCTTGAGTATGCATGTTTTGTAATTCCTTTTATTTTAAAACAATTATTTATATTTTGACAATATAGGACGTACTGTGGAGAATAACAGAGGACTAATCCAAAACTTGACCAAGAGGAAGAAAAAATATGTTATTCCGGAAATCAGTTAGCGGCATATACCTACAGACGCCTTCATATGCTGAAAGCGATACATAAAAGATGAAACGAAAAGACGACATTATTTTTTGAATGCACTTAAATACGTCAGTACCACACATAATTCTGTTACTGTAAATAAATTGATTTAGGGACGCGTTCTCCCCTATTCCCCTATTGATTTGCGTTTGCCGTTGATCGAAGACACTCACAAGACAGAGCAGAAAACAGTCATAGGTTGTTATTTGTTATATGTAGCCTTTTCGGTGTAGTACAAACTGACTAATGTAGAGCTAAATGCATTTCCATCGTTCGTCTATTGCGGTTCCATGACTGAACGAGATGACTTTTGTCTTTCCAACAATCGCGAGTCGGAGCGCCGTTTTATTATTTTATTGAAACGTTTACTTGAGTATTGTGAACTACTCCAAACTTCAGTGTTTCAACAGATGATCTACCCACTACACAGTGTGGATGAAAGATCTCCGCCATGTATTGCTCACATCGAGCGGGATTAATTACCGAAGTATTTATAAATCCTATATGTGCCGTTATATTGTCAACACTCTGCAAAAACCTTCATCATGTTAACTGAAAAGAAACCGTAAAGAATATGGAAACACTTACCTTGCTAGCCGACTTGCCGATATTCTCCGGGTTATTTTCCTAATTAGTGGCATGATACATTAATAAGTAAGGCAAAATGCAATTAAAAGAGGTAATGTGTAGGACGTATTGTTCTTAGTGTGATAAGTCGTGACTCACTCGCATTCCTCTCTTTTAAAGACGGTTTCTATGTAAGCTTATGTAGCCAGTGCTGCCGGTAGGTTTTCGTGCCTACAGTAGCGCAGGATATCATTGCCAGCAGTTTATTGAAAATTAACGGCTTTTAACAATACTGAAATCACAGAATACCCCCATAGGTACGCCTGTAACAAACTGAGCAATGCCTTCGCAAGCAGTTTTTAACTGTCCTGTTGCTTTTCAGCACACAGGAAAGTGACTTGAATTAAAGCCCAATTATTATCGTTGGTTTCTGTTCTGTGTTTTGAAATAGAGTGAGGCTTTATGAAAAGGTAAATTGTAATTGCCTTTTCCTATACAATTGCAATGTTCTTGTTCTTGCTTTAATTTTTTTGCCCTTTATAAATTTATTTAAACATATCAATGTACAAGGCCAGGAAGCCCAGGGAAGCCAACAGTCCCGTGAGCGGGCGAGATGAACCGAATCTTGTGTTGTGATTGGCTACCCAAGAGGGTAGGTTGGCGCCATCTTGCCCACTCGGGATTACCCGCTGTATCCCGCAGGAAAATAGTGGTCTTTTTCCATGTAATAAAATCCTTTATTGACCAAGCTTGTTCGGTCAAGATGGCTGGATATTGGCCTCGTCCTTTCTTTGTATGTTTATGGACCTCCACTCTGTGTAGGTCCATAAGCACGCAAAAGAAAAAAAAAAAGAACTTGGCCAATATCCAGCAATCTTGACCTCTCGCTTGGTCAATAACCCATATTTATCCAGCCATTTTGTGCGTTCACAGTCCTTTATTGACCACAAGGTCTTAGTTTAAGCTTTCACTTTACATGCCTGTCTTTTTTGTTACTAAAAGCAGACCATAAAAGTGATCTTAGCATTCATCAAGAAATAAGTTTAATTATTCCTTTAAACAAAGTCACTAAACGAATGTTTCGCCCATTTCAGCATTTTTACGATTCCATTCGTCAATCAGATTGATGTATTTGTTTCCGTGGTAAATAAAGTTGTCTGATTTTGAAATTGCACTGTCTGAGTCACTGCTGAACAAAGAAGAAGATGAATAAAATCGAAAATCGTCCAAAGAACCACCAGTTCGATACCATCTTTTGTCTGGGTCATGAATCGTTACCATGGGAACGACATCGTCGATGGACAGTACAGAATTGTCAATATCATCTCTTATGTCGCTGAGCAATCTTATTATATCGGTGAGGGAAGGGTTATCTTCTTCTCGAAATGCAGAGTCCTCGTCCTTTTCATCAGAAGAACTTGCATTTGTAACCTCGTCCTCAAATGTCACGGCAGTTGTCGGCTGCCTTTGACGTACTAATTGAGGAAGTGCTTGAAGAACTTTAATTACCTCCACTTTGGTCTTCTTGGCGACTTTCTTAGTTTTCACCTTGATGTATTTCGAAAGCTTTAAGTCTTCGAGCCCTTTTTGTCCAGTTTCACGAGACTCCGTGTAAGCGTCATTAAGTATAGCCAAGAACATGTTCAGAAAGATCATTACTATGGTCACCATGTAAGCTAAGACGAAAAAAGGTCCAATAATAATACTGACTTCTTGCAGTTCGTGGAAAGGTGCTTTGGAGCCAATTAGCATCAACAGAATAGAGCTGAATGATCGTGCAAATGAACGGTATTCATAAACATTTCTCCCGAACGTTAATACTGTAAGCGAGACGTATGCAGTGATTATTGTCATAAAAGCGAACGTAAACGACAAAAAGTGCTTCGAAGCTATGGCTAGAGTCATTCTCATTTGAATAATGTGTGGGTTGAAGCGAATAATCCTCAGGAGTTTCATCGTCACTAAAAACACAACAAATGCCAACAGCGTCACTTCGAGATCTGACCACAATGCAATGTTGTCCATACTCCAGCTTTGAAATGGATTTTCCTGGACCTTGGTAATGAATTCGCTCGTGTATGTTTCTTTTAAGAAAAACATGGCTAGGGAAACGAAGGAGCTTGTTAAAAGGACCATTTCGAGCCAACTCAAGGGCTTTTTTAAATACGTGCAGCCTTCTTGGTATACTTTGCCAATTTCGGTAGCCACACAAATGAGAATAAGTAACATAAACAATAAATGGCAAGTCTCGTAAAGGCCACGGAAGGTCGGATCCTTGGGTGAGTAAACCGTTAACGTTTTGACCTCTGTTATGGTGTTTGTTCCTCCACTTGGAAACCTCTCAAACAAGAACTTCACAGCACTGAATAAAGAACTGGCTGGCTGATAAATGGTGAATTCTACGAAGACAGCAGCCGTCATATTATCAATCCAATCATTTATTTCTAAGTTGTCGATTACACGTAGCGCATCTTCTGTGTTGTAACCAAGATCAGCGATGAAACCGCCGCCCGAATATGTTGACATCAAACCCTGGAACGACAACGTTTTTAACTCTTCGGCCGTTTCATAACGCCAGGGCCTGGGACAGAGATAGAGTAGTTTGAATTGCTGTTCGAATTCGCTGTGATTGTGGACTGGAATCCATTTTCGCAAGTGATACTTAGTTCTGTCTTCAGTGCTTGAGCTGAGGTGTGATATGCATCGAGGAAACTGCCGGGCAACTTGTGGCTCAATGGGAGTTATCTTACAGTTGGCGTCTGAGAATTAAAAGATGAAAAGTGAAAGAAAATAACTATAGCGAAAAAAATAGTTCTTGGAAAACGGAAGCCACCTCCCATTTTATGTGATGACTATCTACAGAAGTGATGTCTTCTGAAAAAATTCTGGAAAGTACTATCTACAGTACAAGCCTCCTGCTTTTTTTTATGTTGAAAATCCGTGCTCCTCGCTGCCTTCCCATTATTAGATTGTCGGTGCGGCATTCAAAAATCAAAACGGGGCTATTGTCGTCATTCCTAGCTCGATCCACTGATTCAAAATATGCCTACCTCAGAAAGAAATTCGAATAATGTCATGAGGTCTTTTTTGGGATTCGAAAAATACGTCCTATATGACAAACTGAAGAGTGCTTTTGGACGACATGGTAACGATCTTGCAAGTTTAGGAAGGTCATGATTGTGCTGAGAATATGCTTTGGAATCTCTCACTACATTTCTGCTAAACATATCGTCAATAATTTTAGCTCCAATGTATTAAACTTTTACATGGCTTCTCGGTCGGTGCTGATGCTTAATGATGGTTTCTGGAACTTGCAATGAATTGAACACACCTATTTCCTCCGAAGTACTTTCAGATTGCCGTAAAAATTTACTAACATTGCCTGGTACTATTGACGAACACTGACAACAGAACGTCGCTAGCCGAAACTCTGATCAGACTTTTCCGTTTGGAATCCACCACACTATCATTTAGGCTGGACACCTGCAGAACAGAACCTATTTAAAAAAACTGCTTGAGTCACTTACCCTTTTTAAATCTCTTTTGCCTAAGTCTCGGCATTCCTACCATGAACGCCTCTCTGTTTCGGATAAACCCTTCCTTGTAAGAAAAGGGCTTTCCATTGTACCACTTGACGTCGTAAAGGCCTGGCACGAGATTTTCTCTCGTCCAAATCCAGAAGGACTCTATGCTATCTACCTGTTAGACGTAAGTAGCATCCATAACTCATTTAAGTCATAGCTTAAGAAATATAACGTATAAAATACTTCCAGAAATGTGAAAACCGCTAATTGTTTAGTCAACAAGTTTATCACACTCCTAAAACGTTTTCGTTCGATACAAAAAACTTGCGCCCCAACATTAATCAATCCCTGTCAAAGAACTGACTTTCTTAAGAACACATCAGACCCATCTCAGTCATTCAAGACATTTCTCACTGATTATACAAAAACAGAGATATAACTAAAAATAAAGATTAGCTGCCGAGTGTTCATATAACTTGATATATGGTCACGTTAGACAGTCAGTGAACGTACCCTGGGGAAAATGTATGGCTTCTCCACATCAATTCAACTAGGGAGTGATTTTGTGCACTTGCTGGCAGTTGTGCGTCCCATCTTAGCTACGCGGTTGCACCATGGACTATTGTACTACTATTGTAATAGACAACACCATACCTTGTCAAATTGTATGAAGACGTGCTTTACTGCCTCTGTGAGTGTATATCTCTTACTGTCACGGTTACCGTAACACACCATCATTAGAAGAAATATGAACAAAGCAAAGATGACCATTTCTGTCACTGCCTTGATAAATCTACTCTTTAAAACGCTCACAGAGCGTACCTTGTGCAGTTCTTCCTCTCTTAGAGGATAGGAAATGATTTTCTTATCCATATTCTGATTGGAGTGCCCTTGCCCATAAACTTCGTCGTTTTCGATAGGTTTTTTAATGATGAGTGACAACAGCGATACCACAATCACTACTTTAACTGGCTGAATCAGTATTATGTCCTGGAAAAACGAGATCATGACAGAAGCAAGCCACTGATTGGCTACTTCTTTTCCCCACATAAGGCTGTAGAAAACAACGAAGGCAGCGGACACCAATGATGTCATAAGACAGAGGGCCCAGCCAGCATAAACACAGAAACGAGGGAAGCAGCCAGTCGGTTTCTCTCCATCGTCGTTGACTTCGTGACAGTCACCTTCTTTCGAGTCGGGTGGCTTTATATTCCTAAATATTGCAACAACGAGGGCGTTGACAGGTATGGAAACGAGCCCACTCTGGAGCCCTATTTTGATCTGAGTCCACGATAGCCCAATAGGGCCAAGTCTGAACGTGTCTTCGGGTTCAATGCCCTGTTTGTAAAACATGGCGTTGGTAACCATAGCTGCAAACAAGATTGAAAGGCAGCAGGAAAGACGTTGACATCGTGTGAAAGTGTTGTGAGGAGCTTTAGTGAACAACGACAACCATAGGTGCTTCTCGCCAAGAGTTTTGGCGCCCCTGAAATAGAACAGATTACTGAAAGATAAGGATTCTTTTTTTCCCGCGCATCTGATCTCGACCTCGATCTTGCCGTCGCCTTTCTCAAGAGCAAGCCATCTGTTGCCAAGAAAATACCACTTATCGTCAGTTGCATTGCAGGTGACCAACACCTGATGGAAAAACCATGCCGGACTTTCTCCTGAGTTGTCATGCCAGATTTTAATTTTGAACAACGAGCCTAGGGATTCTGAAAGGTGAAGAGTGAATGTGTTTACACTTCCTCGAGCGAAGAACTTCTTTTCTAGATGACTTTGTGTTAACAGAATTGGGGGCGTACACCCGTTCTCACCAAAAAGGATGATAGTCACGTTCGCTGTGGTTCCACAGTTTCTCCAGATCCCTGTTTGGATGGAGATGTCGTAAGAGTAAGTACAGTCACCTCTTGCCTTGAGATGGATGTTCGGTGCAACCTTAAAGCAGAAAATCGAAATATAGAAATGAATGACCGTTTATAGTTTATTGTAACGGAAGCTCAGAAATTCCCTCCTTATTTGCATGACGTTGGTTTAGTCTTTTTCAAACCCTTCTTCGAAATGTAAATATTTCTCGATACCGATATTCATACGTACTTTTCTTCCTAAATAAGTTGCGGTAATCCATTACTTTCATTAATTGGCCATTATTGCTTGTTTATTCTTGCGTGTTTGTCTTTCTTTGTTTTGGTTATGAACAATTTAGTATTTAATTTTCAGCTGAGAATGATTTAGTCTCAGGCTGGATTTGGTGCTTTGATTGTTTTGTGTATTTATTTTCTGCTTTTAAAAAAATGTATTGATGCTACTTTTATTTTGTTAGGAAAAATTAGATACTGATATCTCTCTAAAACTGAAGCTCTAATCTTTTATTTTGAAAAGCCACCAGATTTTTTTCCCTAAATTTCCGGATTTGACCATATCGTTTCACTCCTCCATGGAGATAAATATATGAAAGATCATATATTTGAACTGCGAACAAAGATGCAAAGACCTAAATGACCATTTCTTTTACTCCAGAAGTAAAAGAAATCACTCTAAAGCTAACTAGTTTAAGTGAATAAACCGATAGCTGATTACTTTTTAAAATTGAAAATACATGTGGAGAGCCTGGGCGGAGAGGTGCTATGCAAGTTCAGCGTCCGCTTATTTAAGGACACTTAAGTTGCATAGTAAGCATGATCCCGGCCAGCGATGCAACCTAGACAGCCCTGTCCAGAGTGAAAGCAAGCAGGCAAGTGTGTCTCACACGAGAAAATCAGAAGAAGCAAAACGATATATACGAGGTCTATAAGGGAGAAAAGTTTGATCTGGTACCTGTAAATCATCTTTCTTATCAGCTCTTCTCGCAAAAACAAGACCAATGGCATACAGTCCAAACACCACGCAAACAAAGGACAAGACGACAAAGTTCCCAGTTTCGCCCAGTTTCCCAAACTCAGCGAAAACTTTGTCAAAGTCGATTGGATTTGGCGCCACAAATAAGTCTCCACCAAATGCAGACAGGTGAGTACATAAACAATGAAGTTTAGCTGGTGTAGCCTGACTGCCAACCTTTTGAACGATAAAAGAGTAAAATGAACTGTTAATTGAACGAGAAGCTCATTACCAAATGTTTTCTCAATTAGCGAAATCCTTCCTTGGATAAATTGGTGACCTTTAATTTTCAGTGGGTGAAAAGAATCTAACAATGAATTGATTGAGAATGAGTTACGAGCCAGAGTGATTTGATACATTAATGCCTGAAAGAGAGAAATGATTTGAAAAGGGGAAAGCCACAAAAAGCAAAACATAATGGCAATTTTCATCTAACCAAGAGCGAAGTTTCTGAGTTTTCTATCCATCGGACTTGTACTTACCACGCAAGCACTTACCAGAACCCCCAACCGAAAATCGATAATTTTTTAGCAACTTCAAGACGAAAAAATTGCTCTCAGTCTGGCCCAAGGATAGGCGTAGAAGGAATCTTAGCAGCCGACTGTTGCATGCAATATGCTTATTACAAGACTTCTTAGGACCCACTATCCCACTAATCTGCAATCTTAAGAACGTTGCAGGTGTTATTTGGAAGAATCGAAATGAAACAATTCATTTCTGAGGCATATTTCCAGTACGCTGCACAGAACACTAGGGCTGTCTTAATAACCTTAAAAGAGTAGAGCTGTTCGGCAAATTGGACATACTGAGTACACCAGTACATGCCTCATGCAATGCATGAAACTTTATATACCTGACATCCTCTGCTGGTCCACTCGTCGTCCTCCACTGACCAATACATACATGCTCCCATGGTAACAAACAGATCATACTTTACGTCAGAACCATTCTGGAACTCTAACCTCCCAGTATTTTCCACAGATGGAGGACTCTTCACCTCTACGCATGACCGTTTCTGACGACCGCTGGTATCACGACATCTCCTTCTTCTGCGTGTATCGGTTTTCGTATTGTTCTTCTCGATGGATTTTACAACGTAACGAATAGCCAGAAAGTGAGTACCTGTGTGTCCGGTTATTTTTGGTGATATAGTAAACAGATAAGGATCGGATTGGCAGTCGAAGAATCCATCGTGTTCCGTGTAGCTAAAGCAGGAGGAAAAGTTCGGGACAATCGTTGCAAAGTTATTTTCTGCCGGTGTAGGTCTTACTTTGTATCTGATGTATATTTCAAGTTCCTGGTTATTTGCCGGTATGATCCTAATATTTGCCTCGGCATCGCCATAAGGGAGAAAAATCTTGTGATAGCGCATGTTTTTTATAGAGTCTGAGGGACTTGGTTTAACATAGAACTCTCGCTGTGGCTTCTGTTTCTTGAGATTCTCTTCTTTTTCACGTTGCCAGTTCTTAATGTACATTTCCACGGGTTTGGTGAGGCCCTCCACATGGAGCGGTTTTCCTGAGGTGACGTTTTTTAACGTTACGTCGAGAACAGAAGATTTAATATCTCTAGATTTCGGATGCCACGTGTAAGGATTCACTTTAAATGACACGAGCTAAAAAAGAAGAAGAGGAAGCAGCACCTGTTAAATAATATCTTCAAGCGAACACTTTTTCGCAAGGAGTCTCCCATTTATTGATTATTGAGTTGTTCAGCTGTCCTTAACCTTCAGGGACAAAGTCCATCACACAGCTCCGAAAACTGAAACACTGATACCCTACCGTATGGATGTGCTGACGCAAAGATGACTGATGGACCTGCGCACTTCTGACTGTTTTCTCAAATAGGTGAACGATAATAATAAAGAGGAAAACTAGAAAAATAGAAATTTCAAATGATTGAACTTTTTACTTAACTTTAACAAAAATCATGAATAAAAAGACATATATTAGTTATGCAACGCTCTCGAGTGCTACACCATGGGATATCCCAAGAAAATTCAAGTGACAAGTGGTGTATTCCACGGTATGGCACGAGGGAGCGTTGGATATCTATTTTATTCCATGCCATAGAAAATACAGTGCCCATCACCATCAATGCGACATGCGCGCGGCGCATGATGAGAAGGTTGGATGAAAAACCGTCAAATTTACAGCGGCTTCCTGTATTCTGATTGGCTGTGTTTTCTGTAACAGAAACTGCATCAACCTGATAATTGCATATAATTTAATCAAACAATTGCCAACGACTGCAGCCAGTCAACCAGCGAATTAAGCAATCAACGATCGATCTATCGATGGAAGTAAGGATGCATTGATAAATCAATCAACAGTCGGCTCAGCCTTTCAGTCGGCCTGTCTGTTAAAAGATACCTATTTCGTTTCAAAAAAGGCTAAAGATGATTCATTGTGAATACCTTGACATCGACTACGGTGTTTTCGTCCAGTTGGTCTCCTGGAAACAGGTCCTTGGCATCAGGCAGCTTAACTCCGTTTTCTCCTTTGAGCAACTTACTGACTTTCATTTCAGTGGCTTTTTCAATGCAGGCTGTAAGGTTTATGTACGGAGTGGTAATTATGGTTGGGTTTGCACATAATTCTTCTTCAGTTATGGTGTTGACCATTTCCACGCAATCGTTGGTGATTTTCTTACCCTGTAAAAACAAAAAAAAGAAAAAATCAAACAACAATCGAGCAAAGAGAATGGGGTGTAAAATGTAAATGTAAATCGTATTCAGATAGTGATCATGCACTTAGCTATACAAGCACTAAGCTTAGCTAGTTTACAGGCATGCCACTGAAACAAAGGAAACAAATATTTCAAATAAATGTAACTTTGTGGTAGTATTGTGGTATTCCTTTAATCTTAATTGGGAAAGGGCGTCTTACCTTATTTTTATCGATATGAGCATTCTCCTTTTCGGAATCAATGTCCATGTCCTTGGACGAAGCGGCCAAGACATTTCCTAACCCGGTTAAAATGTTCAAATTGATCTCTGTGCCAACTTCAAGTTCTTTCGTTTCCCTGCTGTTCATGGTTTCCAAGAAAGAAGTGGTTTTTCTTAATAATGCCACTGCATCTTCCTTCAAATAAATGAAAAAAGACAAAATTGCAAACACTATATAACAATAACGAATTATATGCAACTAGCAATGAATGTTTTCCTATTAGCATTTTCCAGATGATACTAGTCTCGAAAAGTATTGTTAGTGACAGTTGTTCTTGAATCAGCAATTTTTGGAGACGTCAATTTTTGCCTTAGTTCCAGAGAGTTTAGCCTTCGAGAGCAACCGGCTTTTTCGGCTCTTGTTTCACGCAGCGAGACAAGAGCTGTAAATAAGGCTATCATTCTCTGCTTGAGATATCGATAGGTTACTATCATTGAAAGCCATACCAACTCTGAATTGGATTGGATTTTTATCACGATTGGTTCGTTTCAGTTCACAGTATAGACTCAACTACAAGAACCCTGGCTTCGGTCCTTCTTCATGCCATTGATATATAATTATAGCTAGATAGTAAGACTATACTCTTTATGCTCAACAAATTATAACAAATAGGAACCAGCTGTTTCAATTTTAAGTCTAAAAAGCTTCTAATTGAAGAAAAAATTTAATGGCCATATTTGTAATCTATACGTCAGGCTTTGAACCACTACAGGTTCTCATACGCAGGTAGGGTTTTACTGCACTGTCTTTAGTTTTAGCGGTTTAAAATTTCAAGGTGGCAGTTTATTGAAACTACAATTAAGTATACCTTAACAAAAGATCATAGCGTACCTGTGAAGACTGTGGGAGAGACTGATCGACTCGCTTCGTGGAGTAAGCTGTAATGACGGCCACTTTGGTAACAAGGTTTAGCCGATCTACTTTAACTCCAGACATTATGTTTAACACGGAGTCTTTAAACTGCAAAATACAGACGGGGCAAACATGTTAAGATAAGTGGTGTTCTTTAACATAAAAAAGAGACAGGCGCGAGTCGGTTCATTGCAAAAGCGATAATGTTCCCCCATAGTTTTCCATTTCCTACTGTTGTGGAATGACGCTAAAATGAATGAAGTTTTAATAAACACACTACAGAAGAAACATTTTGGCAATCTTATATGGATCGAGAACCTTGGAGCGCTAGCTACATCGCACTAACGAAAACCGCCAACTGTCTAATGTCCATATAATTCCTATTGCACGCACAGATGTGCCCGAATTAGTTTCATCCGGCGGCCCAAATTCCCAGTCTCGGCCTTTTAGAACAAAATGGTTCCTTAACGTTTAATACTGCTCATTCTGCTAATGACTTCATTCACTGTTGGTGTTCATGAAGAACATCGCTGTACCTCTCACCCACTGTTATCTTTACTAACAACCTTTCGCAAGCTATTGACATACATCTCACCGATTCATCTTGTTTCAGCTTATCATTGTCATCAACTACAGAGAGAATAGTTATGGCCATATCAGCTGCTTTGTCGACATTGTTGTTCCGAACAAGGTCTCTCATTTCACTCTGTGCTTCGTCAATAAGTTTCAACAACGCTTCTGACGCAGGCGGAGGTCTCACCTAGAAACGCAAAATATAAATGGATATAGCTAAACTGGATTGCAATCCATGTTTACTTCAGAAAAAACCTCGATAATTTTAGCGAGTAGCTATATGTTATGTAGACAGGATGAAGGGTGGCGGTGGGGGGGGCAGGACGGTGTAGAGATCTAAATCTTTGTGAGGGTGGATGAGGATTTCATTCAGAAGACGTTAATAAAAGTTGAACCACTAGGTTGCATTATGCTACCGAACTAAAGTTAAAAACAGCGTAATTTTTTTTTCTGGGCTCTTCTACTACAGTTTGTTATTCCAGTTTATAATACCATTTCACTGATATTGCCGTTTAGCTTGTCCGTTATAAGGCATCTTACCTTAGTTTTGACTAGCACCGTTGAAAATTCTCCGTAAGCGTCGATAATCTGAAGATTCAGAGTCCGCTCGTAATCTTTTTCAGGGTCTCCTAAAGGGAGTTTACTGGTCACGTTGCCAACCTTTCCGTCTTGAATGATAATGGTACTGAAACTGAATTTGTACTTGAAAGCATAGCGCAGTGGAATATCTTTATCATACCAACCCAGACAACTGATGTAAAAGTCCGTGATGATGGCACTTCCTTCTCCTGGATTTACATGGCAGCCTGTTACTTCGTTATTATTTACAAGTTTCGGAGGTGCATTAACATTAAATGTATAAAGAGCTTGTTCTTGTAGAATTCCGTTATGTTCAGTCGCTGTGACCCGGACTTGGAATTTCTGTCCTTCTTTGATGTTGGTAAGAGCGTCGAGTCTTGGTAAATGAAACTGCGTTGTATTTATACTAGTTCTTGTTAAGCTTGTTGTGTTTTTAAATTCACTCCAGGTGAATTTGCCTTGTCTGTTGGTCGTACGAGTGTGAATGGTCCATGAAAATGTGGCTATCGATATACATGGTCGGTTGGCACAAACCACTCTGAGTGTAAGCTGTCGCACAGGACTGACTTTCGCCCGACAATTATTGATACATCTGAAAAACAAAACGCAAAAATTAAACATCAAAACTTTTTGACGTCAACGGAGAAAAAACAGCAAGTCTTTCAAAGATATAGAATGACACAAAATGTTCAAAGAGCTGCGTATTTTCGGTTGATCTTTACGATAACCCTATGAAATGAAATTGATCTAGTATCTGTAAATTCAAAAGAGGTGCTCTGCACCACGCGTGTGCTTTATCGAGTTTGCAAAATAATCGGAGAATTAGGTACACTATCATTGATTAGTTTGGAATAATATAGCACTATAGAACACGTACCTTTAAGCCAATTATGTTTAGTTGATATATTTGTTTCTTTCAGTACGTTTAAATGGCATGCCGCGCATGAACTAGCTAGTAGCTAAGCGCATTGACGACTATAGACAACAGCATTTCTTTTTTACGTTACGCGCCCTGCGTCACGCGCTCGCTGTGAACGACACGAGTTTGATAAAGTAATCCCCGCTATGACTTGAAAATTCAGTACGCTTTAGGTTATCAAAAATTTTTGGTAACTTTTCCTAGCACATACAAAGCTCAATGAGCATGGTTATTTGAATACTAAAAAAGTACTTGACAAAGCAGCATCAACAAAACTCACCCAACATAGAATGGCACTGCCGGCCTTATTTTCAGCTCATGCTTCGCATAGGATACCCTGCCATCTTTTGCTACTGTCAAGCCAAATAAGTAAGTGCAGTTTGACTTTAGAGAAGGGAGGTGAATGATAGCAGTACTTTCCCTGGAAATTGTGGAGTCGGTCTCATTGGCAATGCCAAAACAAGGTTCCACCTCAACTTTGGGAAAGATCAGAATATCCACTGGATCCCATCGACATGTTCTTTGGCATTGCCACATAAAATTTAATGTCCCGCTTTGAAGCGACTGTGACTCTGGATCGTACGACCCGGAGCCATCTATTGTTGCATTTCCTAATTCCCTTGTAACTGATGCGGGTCCCACGATCTTAGCAATTATATCCGGCAAGCGGATTCTCACAAATCCAAAATCGTACGAGAACGTTCCTGGGATGTTTTCAGAAACTGAAACTTCTACCGAAACGTACACGATACCGGCGCCTAAAAAACTTGGCCGGATACTGATCGTGTTCCTGTCTGTGACTCCATACATTAAAAAAGGTGAAAAGTAAGTTGTTTCAGAGTCGACGGTTGAGAGCATCCATTGGTACTGCGTTTGGTTGCTTTCGAAACAGTTGCTGGTGACAATAGCTTTAAAGATAAGAGGCCCGTCACTAGTAATGATGAGATCTGATTCAGGAACGCTATGTTTTAGCTGCACATCAACATCTGGAGGTTCACAATGGCATCCAACTAAGAGATAAGAAGAAAAATGCTCGTAACAAACTTTTAACTTGAAAGTTTATGCAAGATTCTGTGAGGTCTGGTCAAAACGATGGTAACTGTACTACATGAGAACAACATGACGAACAGGACAAACAACGCCCATTAGCCTACGAACTAATAAGTACACAATAACGTTAAGAAATGATAATCGAGATTCTAGGTGGTACTAGTGAGCTGTATACATGGAAAAGCACAGAAAACACTAAGAAGGAATTGATGACGACTGTGGAAGAAATGGTAAACATTTTGTTAAAAAAAAAAAAACCGATTTGTAGAAATGATAACTTTTTACATAAAGTACACACGATTTATACTGTGGTTCTCTAATAAACATAGTATAGCAATTCGGAGTTTGAGTAGCAGTATAGAAGCGGTTGTTCGTATCTGGGTGGACGGAGAGCTTTAGCGGTACGGGTAGGCCAAGCATGGATAGCGGAATCGTAAACTAAGAAATATCTTGACCACTAAATTCATAGTACAGCTAATGAAATTAAACTCAGTATTTAATGAGATTTATATCTCAAGGCTCGCAACTCTGTTATACGTTTATGTAATACATATTTGTACGGTGAACTTACTACTTACCTGGGTATCTTATTTTCAGATAATCTGACTCGAAAAGATCAGTTTCACTTATGAAGGACTTGAGTTTAGCTATAAGAAGAAGAACGCTGGATTCAGTGCAGTATATGGCAATCTCTGCCGTGGCGAACGTGGCTATCTCTGGGGACGGCTGAGGACTAAAAAAACATAAACAAACTGAAGAATTAAATTGACAATAATGAAAATAAAACACGCTATCATTTGGATCTGAGCGGACACCAAAATGGAAATCAAAATGCACAAATTTTTCGACAAGGTATCAGTATTTTGTGGGTAGAAACTTAGAATATCATGTATTTCCCTGCATGGGGTTACGGGGGCATCAAAATTCCTCGATCTGTTACTTGCCTCATCTGTCTGAAACGCAGCAATCACCCGTAGAATCACATATTTAGCTACCCATATGTCGCAATACTGATTAGCAGTACAGGAAACAAACAAGCAAAGAAACGGGTAAACTAGAGATGTGGTTACCTCAATCTTAAGACCTCGTTATATAAATATCCTCCCACTTTGGTAAAATAAGAATGAATCTGGAAAAGAAAGTAAACGGATATAATTTAACAATCTACATTCCCTTGTATGTCCGAAATCAGCTTAGATTGAAATAGCTACTTACTGAAACTAAGATTCTGCCTTGTTTCTAATAAATTCTAATTTCATTTATGTAAGCTCAATTGACTGACCTCTTCTGTCGCTCTAGATGAGAACTGTATATATTCATCACTGGAAGTGTTCATATGGCTTAGAGTGAATGTGATATTGTGAAACATCAACCAGGCCTCAAAATAATAACCTGAAATAAGGCAATTACATTTTTATTACTCAATCGATTATTCGATCTACCAATGAATGAATGAATCAAGTAATCAATCAATCAATCAATCAATCAATCAATCAATCAATCAGTCAATCTGTCAATCAGTCAATCTGTCAATCAGTCAATCAGTCAGTCAATCAGTCGATCGGTCAATCAGCCAATTAGTCAATCAGTCAATCAGTCGATCGGTCAATCAGTCAATCAGTCAATCAGTCAATCAGTCAATCAGTCAATCAGTCAATCAGTTTATCAGTCAATCAGTCAGTCACAGAATGAAGAAATCAATAAAAAGTGTAAAGTAAAAGAACCAGCAACCCAGCAACACATCAAGAATGCACGGTTAGTTTTAAAGAAAACTCTCAGGAATCAGTATTTACCAAACTGGTTTGAAACCTAGAATAGGTCATCAACAAGTTCAAGGGAGAAATTTACGCAAAAGGAGGTTAGAAATAGTTATTAATTTTAAAACTACTACACATTAATTACAAAGACTTAAATTAGGATGTCATGCATTACGAATAGAAATTGGAAAATATGAAAATAGAGAAGCAGTAATCGCAGCATAAGAGCGAACATGTTAAGTATGTGACGAAAATTGCATAGAACATGAACAGCATTTCTTGATGTATTGTCAGGGATATACCTCTATAAGACGTGAGCTGCACTCAAATATCTCAATCGCAGATGCTCGTTACACCAGTTTAAGTGATAACGAGAGGACCAAGTATTTAAAGACAAGAGCAGGCAATAAAGATACATCTAAAATAGTAGGTAAACATATCCATTTAATGTTTCAAAAAAGAAAAGATATTCTTAATTAACAAATGTAATAAGCGCTATGAGTTTTCCAATTAATTGTATAAGGATATGCATGGTAAATGTTATTTTGTATTTTTATTAGTTAATGTTCAAACGTTTATTGTAATTAAACCAATATCTCCCTTTGGAGAGTAAGGCACAATAAAGATATACTATTATTACTATTACTCAGTCACTCAGTCAATCAGTCAATCACTCTTTTCGCTAATCGATCATTCAGTCGGTCGGTCAGTCAGTCAGTTAGTCAGTTAATCAGTCAGGCACTCAGTCAGTTAGTCAGTCAGTCCGTCAAGACAGGCAGTTACGCATAAAAAAAATCAATTACTTGGTTCGCAGCCGTAAATTTCCATTCTGAGTCCAATGTTGTTATGCCAAGTGATCGGCTCCATCATGACTTTTGATGCCAGACCGGGGACTGGTAAGTCGTGTCTTCGTATTTTGTTACTGTCTTTATTCCCATTAAAAACCTGTTAAGACGAGAAGATGAATTCAAACTAACTTCAGCAAATCTGTTCATGATCAGTCATCAAGAGAATGCCAGTAAAGCGATGGTTATGTTAGGTCTGGCATCGAGATACAGCTAACTATCATAAGCTGGGGATTATGACTAAAGGAGCGAATTAGTATAAGTTAGCGACAACGACTTGTAGTCTAAATGTTCTGGCAGACAATATAAAGGATATAAGTCCAGATCTTTTATTTTAGGTATGCTTTGAAATAATAAAGATTGATAAATGTCTTTATTTAACCAAGTTTCCCATTGAGTGTATATACGTGTACAAGATATACAACTAATATCAATAAAGAGACTAATAATTAAAGAAATAAACAATAACCAAAGGGGGTGTTTTTTACGATGTTTTATTGTCATCAAAATTTGCTTCCAAGAAAATAAATACATATATAAAAAAAAAAAAAAAAAATGTCGCTGAGAATCTTAAATTCCTCAAACCCGGGTATTTATCGTTGTTTACCTGTGAGCAAAAACGAGAAAAGAAAAATAGACAATTGATTCATGCTTTCGCGTTCATCATCGAGGTTTAAATCGTAAATTTAAGTGTCTGCCTAAATCCAGTCTTGGCTGCGACGCCAGAAGCCCCCAGAACGCATTGTCATCTTGCGGGTTTTAACCTGCTCATGCATGGTCACCCCAAGATACTAACCACAAAACAACTACGTTTGCTAAAATGCATGTAGCTTTCTATTTAGTGTGAGTCTATCGATGTTTCCTCACTCATATTTACGCTCAACAATTGATCTATTCCAAAATAAAATTTAATTCATAACAAAATTTGTTGATATAACTATTTTATTTCAAAGACAAAACGCCGCTAAAGATTCCTTTGTTATGTATACCTAGTGGTTGTTACTTCATTCATTGTTTCGTCCCTTGAGCCCCGAAAGAAAACATTAATAGTTAAGCATTGTGTTGATAGTATCCTGTTGAGCTACCTCAAAAATACTATTCTACAAATTCTGCAAAAGAAAGATGTCATTCTCAAATCTCTGTTTGAGGTCCGGCTCGAAGGACTCATCAGTTACGAGGAGTGATTATATTTGTGCAGAGGTTCAAACATTTTCGAGGATTTTGACAAGTCTGGGAACTACAAAATGAAGATTTTTCTAGAAATATGGTAATGCTTATAATCTGAAGTTATTGAAATAAATTTCAAAACTATAACTGCAGGACGAACACGTACTTGTCACTGCTTTTATCATCTGCTTTTATTTTCTTTACATATATTGGAGAACGTGCCTGGCTACCAATTTGTCTATTCAGTATTATACATTTCGCAAGGCATAGTTGCCGGTCAAAGGCTGGATAACACTATTCGCTGAATAAATCGCTTTCCAGTAGATAGGTGTTGACAAAACAAACTTTGATATTCACTGGACAGTGAATTATCCGGTTTAAAGCATGTAATTATCTACACCGTGAGTAACCGGGCCCAAGACTACATTTGTTAGCACCGGAAGGTCCCTGTTGCCCTAATTTTTTTGAAGTTTCTTGTCCGTTTTTATCTAATATAAAATATCTTTTTCATTACAGCTATCACATTTTATTGTTATCTTTTGTTGCTTGTTATTGAAAATAGATATTTATATTCGCTATGGTTTTGCACGTGAGTTAAAAGTTGTAAAAAAGGATATGACTTCGAAACTCACTCTTCGACGTAAAGCAATACTGAGTATTAATTGCCGGCTACGTCTGTACACATTTGTATATGTATTATCAGTTTGTCGGTGTTGATTCTTTTTTGTTAAAATCTTACTCGTTTGTTTTGATTTTGATGTTCGAAAATGTTTGTTGTTTGCGTTTAAACGCTTGTTAAATGGTTTTTCGGCTACGAAGTGTACTTAAGGTACCAGACCAAACTTATTCATTTGACATCAAATATTCAGCATGTAGACAGAACGGTTAAACTCTTTAAATGTAAAATTACCAATAAATCGAGGCATAGCTAGTCAACATTGCTGGCAACAAAAGAGACTCCCCGTCATCAGAAAACAAGTCCGACTTCTATGTATTGTTTTTGTCACAAAATTATCTTCAACATGATAATACGAGAAAATAGTAAAGAACATTTCGACATCGTCAAGTTTCAAATTTCGAAACACGTACTAATACCTGCTAATTTCACTTATTTTCATGTTCATGTGCTTCCTAGAAGCCTTTCAAGCCCAACCGATCAATAAAATTATCATTTCAACAACACAAATATTGGAAATGGACGAGAAAAGGGTTCTGAGATCATTGCAAGAACAATTTTAGCGTTACTTTGTGCACTTACAGAACAATATATGAAATGGACATAATTGCATCGAAAATGAGGAAATTCTATAAAGTGAATTGGATTGGTAAATATATTCAGCAACAATGATTAGGAAACATGTGGTGTAATAAGAATACAAAATTCGTCTCGTAATTAAGAATATTAACGCTCTAACCATAAGCTTGTGACGGAATTACATCTATTTTACACATCACGTACCCAATTTTTGGTTTTTTCATTTTCATCTTTTGATAAAGTATTCAAATTTTAAACTTGACACATTGCCAGGAGGCTTTTAAATCTCCCAATACGTTCCGTCGCGCAAACAAAACGGATCCTAGCGAATTCATCCGATTCTTAGAATGATATCACTCAGTCACAACAAAATCCAGTAACACTGCGCTTACCAAAAGTTTTCCATGAATGTCCTTAAAATAATCGAAGTCCTGCTTGGTGGCATACATCAAGCGATAGCTGGTAACCCATTCCGCAACCGAAGCGTCTCCATAACCCTGAGTCGCAATTCCTGTAATAATCAACTCTTTCCGGAGGTCGATTCTGATCCAAGGTGTCCTTTCGGAGAAACTATAACGGGCCCTGTAGCCTGGTGGCCACGCCGTTAAGTTGAGTCGGGCGCGATGGGCTCCATATGTCGCAAAATCATTGTTGTAAGCTGAGAATGACGAGAACTGTTCATCTTTAATGAGGCCATTCGCAAGACCAAGGGGCATGTTGCATGGGTCTGTGGAGACAATATTTGTGTAAAAATGGCTCCTAACGGTCTTGACTAATGACGCAAAGATGGCATTGGATAAGATTATCATCAGGGCTATTTAAGCTTCCTAGTTAATGATAGCTGCTGGACTTACTTGGGCATCCAGAACTTTTCAAGCTGGCACTCGTAGACAAAGAAACATATATCAATAGCTGCATCCATCTGTAGCGCTTCATTTCAAGACTATTTCTCCTTCAAAGCGTCCTTTTAACGGCTTCAAAAGCCGCCTCATCCTTTCTGCACGCGTTCATATTTGCTGCCGTGTATTAAAAACCCCGAAGGCATTCCCATGTGTGGCAACCATTGTTTAAAATGACAGGCGAAGGTATCACTCGGCCCGCGATTAACACGAGACACTGAAAGGTGAGAAAGAGCTAAAGCCGGATGACAAACAAAACCTCGGTTATTAAAAATTTAAGAAATGATGCATTTGTACAATTTTCTGAACAGCATGGCTCAAGGTTCAAGTTTTCACCACTGAATGAAAGACTAAACACAAAGCAAGAGACTCTCAGCTCTGTTTATCTCAAATGTAATATATGTATAACATTCTTAATCAAGAGAAATTTTTTTCCTAGAAACTATTGCCACAATTACCGTTCGTTTTTTAAACGAGACGAATCTAGAATATCTAATTGCGTGGTAAGTAATGACTCCACCAGCAAGCAAAGCGTGCGCGTAAGTCCTATCTGCATATCAATTGCTTTAATTTGGAGTCTGTCAAAAAGAAAAAAAAAGAAAAAAAAAAAAAAAAACCATTTTTAGTGACTACTATTACAAAACCAAAAACAAAAGTCATTGTTTCGAGGATGGAATTTATTACCAGCCCACAGCAGGCATGACATCAACATTTCAAAAATATTCAACGTAACCGATTGACGTAAACGTTCTTTTGCGGGCTTTCGACGGAAAATGGTGATATCTTTATTGCTTAATTGTATTTACAAGGGATGAGGTTTCATTCTTACAAATGGGTCTGTCAGAACAAAGCTCTTTTTGCCATAAAGGTGTTTAAGGCAGTCAGTGCCATAAAGTGATATTGTTTGAAATAATACCTGCTCATTTTGCCAATCCACCTGTTAAAATGCTCAATTTGTGTGAATCATTAGAACATGCACACAAGGGCTATAAATTGGACAATTTTTAAATGGATAAATCAACATGAGCTCGCATTAAAACTGTCGTGTTTAGCGACAATTTTGTTTTTCAACGCAGTGATTATTACATATAAGCATTGTGACATTGTGTATAAGTCTCCAGCTGAGCTGTAGCTCGGTGAATCCGTCGTTTTAAAAATCTATTTGTAAATTTCAGGTAGACGTTTAGCCTAACTTCCCTTGTACGAAAATTAAATCCAAGCAGGGAAACTGACTATATCGGTTTTATCCAAACTCTGGTTATTGTTTAATCGTAACTTTTTGCTAGCGCGAAGGACTGCATAATCGCCGTATACAAATTGTCCCAGTGTCATTCCGTATTTTCCCAGTGAAAAAAAAAAAAGTAAATCCCAGTACCCGTTTTACCCTTTCAAGACCGTCAGTAAAGCCTCCCTTAATCACATACATTGGTTCTGTGAGGCAAATTGATCTGCTGCATAACGAGTTGTCAGCTTTTCCAAACTGTATCCTGTTGCAGTCCCTCGGTCAACAGGGACGATCGAAAAAGCGGGCTTGCTAATGAAAAACGAGCGGGATCTGCGAGAGAAAAAGTGAAAGGCGGATAGCTTATAACATACAGCTGTTTAAGGTCATTCTCCAGTATTGCATTGCGTCGTGACGATTAATTAATAATTGGACCTCGTGTCGTACAATTCAGGGAGTAATCGTGATCCCGATTTCGTTCGTCCGATTTTAAATTTACTCTCCCGATTAATAGTGGTAAAAGGACTGATTGGAGTCCAATTCGGGCTGTGATCATACTCACGATTAACAAAACAGGACGACCGCGAAGCGGGAGTCCGATTTGTTAATAACAAGTATGATTAAAGACAGAATTGGACGACACGAGGTTACCAATTAATCATAACCATTACAATTTCCCATTTTACATTTAAAATTTCTCCGACAAGTAAGACATCCATTAGAAAAAATGCTTAAGAGCAGTTTGCTGTAAGGATCAACTAGGGTCATGCAATATAGAAAAAAACCGATTTTTGCCAGAATAAAGGCCTAGGTAAACTAGCTCTAAAACTATAAGTTTCAGGTCGTTTAGATTTTTAGTTATTTTTTTTGGAATTTTTTTTTGTATTTTGCGCTCGCGGCGACCTAAATTGACACCGAAATCGGGCATTTTAAAAAGTGGAAGCGTTGTAGAAAAGATCAACCCAGGAAATCAGAGCAGTTAAATATTTATAAAGCAGACTAACGTAGCAGTGCATCATGAACAGTAAAAATAGTTTAAGGTATCTTACATCACGGTCTACATATAAAGTGCCCACCCATGTGCCAGCAACATCAATTTGAACTGGAACGAAGAATTTCTAAACGATTCATAAGAACTCAGCGTTTTTACGAATTACATCCACAGCCTTACAGGAATACAGCCCTGTTCTCATAGAATTTAAAATAAAAAACAAAAACACCGGGAAGAGATACTTAAAATAGAAGTCATTTACGTGCCCTCATGGGGTGAGAGATTCTCGCCCACATCAACTTTGTTTTCTCTCGTAAGTTCTCGCGCGTTTAGAGATGCGCCACACTCGAGTTTTAGGTCCAGGGACCCCAACCAATGCTTACGTAACTTTTTAAAGATGCTACTTTTAGACTTTCCCCAAATCTACACACGTGTATTTCACTTGGAGAAAACTATCGATTTGCACAGTGTTTGGGTTGGAGATTCTCACTCATATCAACTTTCTTTTCTCTCGTAAGCTCTCGTGCGTTAAGAGATGCGCCACACTCTCGTTTTAGGTGCGGGATCTTAACCAATGCTTACTTAACTTTTTTTTAGCGCTTTTGGTGTCGTGATCTTAAACTATGCTTACTGGACTTCCCCCAAATCTGCACACGTGTATTTCACTTGTAGAAGTCTGTCGCTTTGGACAATGCCTGGGTTAAATATTCTCGCCCATTTATATCTTTTTTTCACTCGCGTGTTTTCGCGCGTTTAGCGATGCGGCACACTCGCGTTTTTGTGTGGGATCCCAAACTATGCTTACGGGGCTCTTTAAAAATGCTAGTTTTGGCCCTCCCACAAATCTACACAGGTGTATTTCACTTGTGGAAGTCTTTCGATTTGGGCAGTGCTTAGGTTAGATATTCTTTGCCATGTCAATCTTTTCTCCCGCGTGTTCTTGCACGTTAAGCGAGGCGGCACACTTGCTTTTAGATGTGGGGATCCCAAACTTTGCCTACCTCGCGTTTTAAAGATGCTAGTTTTAGCCCTCTTCCAAATCTCCAACGTGTATTCCACTTGTGGAAGTCTATCGATTTAATCAGTGCTTGGGTGGATATTTTTAACGATGTCAATTTACTTTTCCGTTGTTTTTTCTCGCGCCTTTAGCTATACGGCACTCTCAAACTTTTGGTGTCGGGATCTCAAACTATGCTTACTGGTTTTTTTTTAAAGATGCTAGATTTGGCCCTCTCTTACATTTACACTTGTGTATTTGTTACTTGTGAGAGTCTTTCGATTTGGACAGTGCTTGGGTAAAAGATTCTCGCCCATATCAAATTTCGTTTCTCTCGTAAGTTCTCACGCGTTTAGAGATGCGCCAAACTCGCGTTTTTGGTGTAGGGATCCCAAAGTATGCATAGGGAGCTCTTTAAAAATGCTGAATTTGGCCCTCCCCCAAATCTACACAAGTGTGCTCCACTTGTGGAAGTCTGTCGCTTTGAGAAATGCTTGGGATGGAGATTCTCGCCCATTTATATTTTTTCTCTCGCGTGTTTTCGAGCGTTTAGAGATGCGCCACACTCGCGATTTTGGAGTCGTGATCTCAAACTACGCTTACTGGACTTTTTAAAGATGCTACATTTGGCCCTCTCTCAAATCTACATACGTGTATTTCACTTGTGGAAGTCTGTCGCTTTGGACAATGCCTGGGTTAAAGATTCTCGCCAATTTATATCGTTTTTTCACTCATGTGATTTCGCGCGTTTAGCGATGCGGCACACTCGAGTTTTTGGTGTAAGGATCCCAAACTATGCTTACGGGGCTCTTTAAAATGCTAGTTTTGGACCTCCACAAAAATTAAACAAACGCATTTCACGTATGCAAGTCTAACAATTTGGACAGTGCTTAGGTTGGAGATTCTCGCCCATATCAACTTTCTTTTCTCTCGTAAGTTCTTGCGCGTTTAGAGATACGCCACACCCGCGTTTTAGGCGCGGGGATCCCGACGAATGCTTACCTAACGTTTTAAAGATGCTACTTTTACCCCTCCCCCAAATTTACACACGTGTATTTCACTTGTAGAAGTCTATCGATTTGGACAGTGCCTGGGTAAGAGATTCTCGCCCATATCAACTTTCTTTTCTCTCGTAAGCACTCGCGCGTTTTAGGTGCAGGAATCCCAACCAATGCTCACCTAACTTTTTAAAGATGCTTCGTTTTGGCCCTTCCCCAAATCTACACACGTGTATTTCACTTGTCGAAGTCTATCGATTTGGACAGTGCTTGGGTAAGAGATTCTCGCCCATATTAACTTTCTTTTCTCTCGTAAACTCTCGCGCGTTTAGAACTGTGCCCCACTCGCGGTATTGGTGTCGGCATCTTAAACTATGTTTAGTGGACTTTTTAAAGATGTTCCATTTAGCCCTTTCTCAAATCTACACACACGCAATACACTTGTAGCAGTCTGTCGCTTTGGACAATGCTTAAGTTGAAGGTTCTCACTTATTTATATATTTTTCTCGCGTGTTTTTGCGCGTTTAGAGGTGCCCCACTTTCGCGAGTTTGGTGTAGGTATCTCAAACTATGCTTACTGGACTTTTTGAAGATGCTAGATTTGGGCATTTCTCAAATCTACGCACTTGTATTTTACTTGTGGAAGTCTATCGATTTGGACGGTGCTTAGGTTGGAGATTCTCGCCCATATCAACTTTCTTTTCTCTCGTAAGTTATCGCACGCTTAGAGATGCGCCACACTCGCGTTTTAGGTGCGGGGATCCCATACAATACTCACCTAACTTTTTAAAGATGTTACTTTTACCCCTCCCCCAAATGTATTTCACTTGTGGAAGTCTATTGATTTGGACAGTGTTTGGGTAAGAGATTCTCACCCATAGAAACTTTCTTTTTGGTAGTAAATTCTTGCGCGTTTAGAGATGCGCCACACTCGCGTTTTAGGTGCAGGGATCCCAACCATTGCTTACCTAACTTTTTAAAGATGCTACTTTTAGCCCTCCCCCAAATTTACACACGTGTATTTTACTTGTGGAAGTCTATCGATTTGGACAGTGCTTGGGTGAGAGATTCTCGCCCATATCAACTTTCTTTTTTCTCCTAAGTTCTCGCGCATTTAGAGATGCGCCACACTCGCGGTTTTGGTGTCGGCATCTCAAACTGTATTTAGTGGACTTTTTAAAGATGTTCCATTCAGCCCTTTCTCAAATCTACACACACGCAATACACTTGTAGCAGTCTGTCGCTTTGGACAATGCTTAAGTTGAAGATTCTCGCTTATTTATATATTTTTCTCGCGTGTTTTTGCGCGTTTTTGCGCCCATATCAACTTTCTTTTCTCTCGTAAGTTCTCGCGCGTTTAGAGATGCGCCCAGAGTGGGGGACGCTCATCCGAAAATTTGAGTTAACCCTAAGGGAGGCCAATTTGGGTGTGGCTCAAGCTTTATTTGAACCCTAAAAGATACCACTTAAAGTGGAATAGGCTCGATTATTAACCACTGTCCGGAAAGGAGCCCAGGCTCGTAGACCAGACTCGAGAGAGCGGCGGAAATCCAGCCTAAAAACGGAAATTGGAGTGTTTTTTTATTGTGGTTTTTTCGAGTGCGCCCTAAAAGAGACTGACAACTTAAAATGGTGGCGTTTCGTCCTGAACACGCTAAGTGAGATCAAAAAACCTAGACTTCCACCCCGACATCATCCATATGGGAGTCCTTCCTCCGGGACCGTTCACCAGCGATTGTGAGATCTCGATCGGGAACCGATATGGAAATAAGTAATCGTAATGGTGGCTAAACATTTTTCTGTAACGATCGCAGTGATCTTAGCGATCATATGGAAACCAGCGTTAAGAGATATCTTTGAAGCGAAGGTCGACGATGAAATAAAATAAATGTAAATGATATACGGCTGACTACAAAATATCGCGATTTAAATTTAAAAAAAAGTTTAAAAAAACACTCCTTGAGATATTTTTATTTGAATGATGTAAATGAACTTGTCTTTATAGTAAAGCTGGTTACGTGCGCATCCAGTGAATTCTTTAATGTACCTCATAATCTCAATTCCTTTTCATTCTGTTTTGTTGAACCACTTCAATATTGTAATTAGGTAAATGACTTTTTAAGAAATTATAGTTCTTTTTCCCCGTTACTAGGGTTGCAGAGAAAAACCTTGCAGTTCAAACGTTACCATAATGAGACCCATTTTTATATCAGTTTTGTGATATTTAACATACTATATAATTACCAAGCGAGCCAAGTTTTAGAAAACTTTAAATGGAGCTTTTTCGATTGAATCATCTTTTAAAATCAGCTGTCAATTTCTTTTCGAAATAAGCAACAATCTTCAGATAAAATAGCGGATTATTGAAGATACATGTCTTTGCTACACGTAGATCATACTTGCTCTAAATTGGACCTGGCTTGACATTGCGTCATGAATGACATGCGTAGTAAGGAATGGGCAGAAACAATGTGCTCGCATAAATCCTTAAGAATAATTAACAAACTTGTCGCGGTAATTACAACACAGTTTTCTGGTCGGGTTCTGTTTCTACAGAGTATATCATCTTTGCCAATTTAGACGCTATATCAATGAACTGAGTCTTGATATCAGCAAGAACCTCATCTTCCAGTATAATGTCCTTGATATTGGAAGCAACGTCCCCGCTAATGTCATTCTTGGCGTATTCTTGAAATGTATGTTCAGAGTTTTTGATTAACATCGTCTGCAGGTTGGAACAGCTCCATGCAAAATCCAGCTCCATTTTCACTGGCACGTGACTCTTCAAAGCTATCTCTCTTACATCGGTACTTTATATTCCGACATTTGTTATTTTGAAAAACTGGCGCACGAACTCAGCATGGTCTACAGGGATTTATAGTAAAAAATATCGAAGGTGGGTCAACAGAGGCAAACGATCTTACTCATATTTTGTAGAAGTGGTTCTGTTTCGTAAATAATTCCAAATGTTACCAACGTTTTCACAAAACTTAACCCTTCAAGAGGCATTTGAAACCGCCGGACATAAACGAAGAGCTAAACAGAATTCAATGGTGCATTTTGCAAAAATATTCAAACTTCTAATCGATAGAAAATCGGTAGAGAAAATGATCCATCCAAAGATAAAGACGGGTCACCGCGCGTTCAAGATCGTTAAATCTAGGCAAAGCTATAACAACGGCCATTTGCCCTATCATTGTTCATTTTATTACTTAACACGCGCATCCATGCATGGCGTGGCGTGTGAATTTGGGTGCGCAGTAAGGATGAGCAGAAACAATTAGCGCGAACGTCCTTAAGAAGCAAAACAACGACAGAAAACGCCAATTGAGCTGTCTCTGTTTATGATGAGAAGCTTTATTTTTGTAAAAATGCACAAACAACACTTACATGCAGTGTAGTAACGCTCGTTTGCTCCCTAGCGATCTCCGGTCATCTTAGCTTAGTGAACCTGGACAATTTCTTTTCAGCGCCCACCCGACGAGTGATCAGTTGAAAGCTTGCCCTGATATAATTTCTCTCTTGTACTCGGAGTAGAACCAGTGGGAGCAGTCTAGTCTTTCCGACTTTGACACTAGTTCGGCCAATCTTGCTGCAAGCGACTGCAAGCCGTAAATAATTTTAGTTCCTTTCAAATACAACCCATTAATTAATTCCATTAATTAATGGATTCTTTATCATCAAAGAAGCCTCGACTGTGCTCTGTTCTGTTGTAAAGCACTTAGGAAGCGGTAGAGCACTCAAGAAGTAGGAGAAACACTGGACTACGTCTTGTTTTTACCCCTTATACTTCTTTCGTGCTCTACTGCTTCCTGCGTGCTTTACAACAAAAACAGGACACAGTTGAGGCTTCTTTATTTGTCAAATACCATTGCAATAGTAATTTGTTGTGTCAAGAAAATGATCACAACTTGTTGACCAATGATTGGCCATTTGTTTGGTACCAATTTGTAGCGACAACTTAAAACGAATGTTAACATTGATCTTTCACAGTAGAAGTGCTATAAAACTGTTGGAAACTGTCGTTTGCCATCTCAATATAAAACATGATTTTAACTGAAGAAAATAATTGCAAAAGTGTCCATTCTTGAATGGTGTAAAATTAAGAAAAGAGCCTATTGTTTTTTGTTCAGCTGTTTTGCGATATTAACACAGAAAATAAACGATAGGCGGCATTAAATGTACTAATTCAGAAGGTTGCCTGCATTGTTAAATCAAAATGAGAATATTTTTGATTTGTGTTGGATCCCCATTGCGAAAGTATGATATCCTTTAATTTTCAGCCCATATGATAAAACTTGCACAAATCCTTTTGAATTGTGAAAGTCGCTGCTACCTTCTACAGCCAAGGACCAACGTTCGCAATTTCGGACCAAGCGACCACTACATGCAACGACATTTACTTTGGAGAAGTTGTCTAAATTATTTTGAAGCCTATTGAAGTTCTTCTTCTCCTTCTTTCCTTAACTAAATTACTCCTTATTCCGGTCGTATAATATTTATAGACTTCATATAATTACTCCAATGAAAGTTTTTTTTGCTTTGACAGCTTCGCTAAGTTGCTTTTCTAGCTCTTCATTTTTCGCCAATAACTGTTGCTGCTTAAGTGCTTTGATAATTATAGCCAGTCAATCAGAAGTCAGGCAAAGTCAACCTACCAGTGACACAGCAAGTTAGCAAAAATACAAAATGTTACATGTAGTTTTATGCTAAGAGTATAGAACACTAAACCCTGTATACTTATAATGCTGTTTCTCTGTCGGGTTCTGTTGTTACAAAGTATGCTATCTTTGCCAATTCGTCCGCTATATCAATGAACCGAGTCTTGATATCAGCAAGTAAGTCGTCTTCCAGTATAATGTCCTTGATATCGGAAGCAATATTCTCACTGCCATCCTTGGCATATTCGTGGAAATTCTGAAAGCGAAAGGTTGGGGATGCCGGAGAAATGTTAATATCGTCTGCAGGTTTGAGCAACTCCTTACCAATTGCATCTTCACTTTCGTTTACGCGTTGCTCGATAAAGCTGTCTGCCTCACCGCTGTACTTTTCATCACGGCGTATGCTGTCTCTTGACGCTTTGGGTGAAACCTTTTTCAAAACCAATTTCAATGCAGTCATTATTTTGCTCGGCAACTCTCTTGTTGCTTTTCTGACGACGTTGTACATAAACTTTCCAAGTTCTGCGTCACGAAAACTGTCTCCCTGCTCCTCTCTGACCTCACCATAAGCATCTACCAAGATAGCAATGAAGAGGTTGATCAGGATGAATATCATGATGACCAAAAATAGAAACAAGTACAGCGATCCCACAAGCGGGTTATTCAAGTATACGTTGAGATAATCAATTTGTTTTCCAACAGACAATGTAAGTACTACTCGTAAAGAATTAAAAAATGACGAAAACAGTTCTAAATTGGTTCCAAAGCAAAGGAAGCCAAAGTGAGTAAAAGCAATAACAGCAATGATAAAAACCAGCGAAAACGACATTACTGGCCAGGCTGATCTTTTTAATGTTCCTTGCATTTGACAAATGTGATGATTGAATCTGATAAGTCTCAAAAGTTTTAACGTGATGATAAAAATTGCCAGTGAAAACCACAGGGTTTCCCGGTCTAACCAGCGCACGATGTTGTCTGAACTGAAGGTACCGTAAGGATTGGACTTTACGCTCTTCACATACAAGCTGGTGTATTTGCCTTTTAGGAATGACATGACAACTGCCAAAAGAGAAACCACGAGGAGGATCAGTTCCACCACGTTCCACATCTGATGGAAATACTTTTTTTGGCGAAAGAACTTGACTGCCTCAACAATGAAGCATATCACGATTGCAAGAAGAAATAATAGTTCGCACATCTCGTAAAAGGATTGCAAATGTGTATCTGTCGATGGGTAAAGCGTAAGCGTCCTTACATCTACAGCAGTGACGGCCCTGCCGGTTGGTAATCGTTCGAAGATTTGTCTCACACTACAGAAAAGGGAGGTGGACGGGTCAAACAATGTAAACTCTATGAATAAAGCAGCCGTAAGAGTATCCACCCAATTGTAATCCCGCAAATCGCTTATCACTTTTGACGCCGACTCCTTGTTATAGCCAAGGTCTGCAACATATCCACCGCCATCGTAACTGTTCTTAACAGCTTCATGGCTAAGGGTATTTAACTCTGTCCCTGATTGGTACCTCCACGGTTTTGGACATAAGTCAGAAATAGGATCATTTTGACTATAATTCCTCAAGGGAATCCATTTTGGAAGGTTTAATTGAATTTTTTCCTCGCTGTCACTAGAGTACGCTGCAAGACATCCAGTCGGGAACAGGTCGTCAACAAGTTCACCGTAAAGTGTAGTAGGGCAGCTTTTTCCTACAAAAGAAGACAAGATATCATAACTTTTTTGAATAGCATAAATGTTTACGATTTTATTTCTCCATTTTCTCCTTAGTTTTAGTTTCGATTGAGAAGATACATCAAACACTCAAGACAGTGTTTGACCACATATCCAAACACCTCGAAGCTCTTCAAAAATACTCCGCTGCGCGTCGTAGTTTCAACTTCTTCTCGGTGTTTGGAAATGTAATCAAACACGGTCTTTCCTGTTTGATATATTACTTGAATACCTTCGAACAACTGCAGCAAACAACGTTGCGATTTGTAGAAAGTAGAACTGTTACGCTCTATTCAAAGTGATTCAAACCAAGCGAGTCAAATGTAGCCAACTTTTCTATTAATTTGTACATAAAATTTGCTCTACAGTTTTAGCATATGACAATGATTTAATATATGATAGTTCCCTGATCATTTTTTTTTTCTATTAAAAAGTATAATTCAAGCATCCGTTTTTAAAAAAGACTGGTGACGGTCCATTGTTTGATTTACACCAGAAGTTGAATTCGACCGAAGGCCTTTGGCACAAACATGGCTGCAGTAGCTACATGTATACTCCTTCAATCAGTTAAACTGAATTGGTTCCTTAAACGAGGCCGCTAATTTGAGAGTTAAAACTTTTTAAATCTTACTTGTCTTTAATCGTATCTGCCTAAGGCGTGGCATTCCCATCAGAAAGTTCTTCTTGTTGCCGATGAATCCTTCTTTGTATTCGAATGGCTGACCACTGTACCATGTCACATCGTAGAGTCCAGGAACTAACACCTCATCCATCCAGTTCCAGAGGGAAGGTGTATCTACAACCTAAAAATATCATTTAACTGTCATTTTTTATTCAGAGCATTTTACTGCGCTAACTGAAAAGAACTTAAAAAGAAAGTAGACGTAAAGTGGTATGAAGAAGAGTAGCGTAGTGAAAATCTCTCCCTTCCCCGCCCCATAAACGCCTTTGCCATCTGTCGTTAATTTATTCTAATTTGGGAACATTTTGCACGCTTTTACCTCAACATTGAATGGCCCTCATCTGCACCTGAAAGTGTCTTCGAGGAAAAAATCTAAGATTCCAGGCAAAAGACTCTGCTGAAGATGGAGCATTACAGAATTGCAAATTGTGTTCCTGAGTTGTTTTTACTTCATTGCCAATTTCCTTGAGTACAATGGAACGACTATCCTAAATGACTCCGTGACTAGAAATCTCTCCTCTCGCTAGCTTGCAGAAATACATCATATACAGCGTTTTGATGTTTATTCTAACACTTTGCAAAAACGTTCAGAAAAAAAGAACAAAAGTAAAAAGAAAACAACGTACTATGAATTGGTAGAGCCATATCTAACGGACAAGCTTCTTGTCCACTGTTTCACAATTTAGAAGTGTGGATTTTTGCTCAGAGCTGAAAACGGAAGATCCAGATGAAGACCACGGGTCACAATTGAGAACCAACATCAAACTAAACCCACGTTGACGCCGGCTCCGGGATTCGAACCCTGGCCACATAGGGGGAAGCAAGGCTCTCACAACTGCAAAATTCCTGCTCCCCAATTTTGGCAAAAGCTACAATGTATCAGACAGTTTAGTATACTTCTCACCTCTTCAAAGCCACCAAATAGATCTCCTGTAGATTTGGTAAATTGGAATCTTGCATTATCCAAGTCTCCATAACTTACAATCAGTAACAGAGAACCAAATATTAGAAACGATACCACTTCCTGGACTGTCTGGATCATGTCCCACTTTTTGCTACTGGTGTCTTTCTCTTGAACAAGCTCTTTCCTCTGCTTTCGTTTAGCTGAAACTCTTTCCCCTTTTTCACTTTTAAACAACGAGACTCCGATGATAGGATCCTCTTCAGGTGGTTTCCTTATTAACAGTGATAACAATGTTGCCAAGGCGAGTACTTTGATCGGCTGTGTAATGAGAATATCCTGGACAAGGGACACTAAAATGGATGTCAACCACTTATTGGAGATATCTGCTCCCCACATCAAGCTATAAAACACTGTAAATGCAGCACCCGTTAAAGACAGAATCAAGCTAAGACACCAAGCCACGTACACAAAGACATGTGGCAGATATCCTGGGGTCTTTGGCTTTTCGGCATTTTGTCTGGGATCGTAGATTTCTTCGGTAGTTGCTTGCTTTGTGTTCCTGAAGATTAACACGACCAGCAAATTTGCTGGAATAGCTATTACACTGCTTTGAATTCCGATTTTAATTTGCGTCCAGCTCATAACAAGAGGTCCAAACTTGAACGTATCAGTCGGCGTTTCATCGAATTGATAAAACATGGCATTGGTCACCAGTGCCGTGAACAGAAAGCAAAGACAACAAGTCAGGCGTTGGCAACGAGTGAATGGATTGTGAGGCGGTTTGGTGAACACAGAAATCCAGATATGGCCCTCCCCCAAACTTCGGCTTGTTCTGGCATAGAACAAAGGCTTAAAAGCAACAAGTTCGCCTTCTTGTGCGGCTTTTATTTTTAGGTCAATAGAGCCGCCTCTTTTGTCTAGGGAAAGCCACTGATTTGCAAAAAAGTACCACATGTCCTCTGTTTGCTGATCCGTTATAACAACTTGCTGAAGAAACCAAGCTGGGTTTGAACCTGTGTTGTCATGCCAGATGCGTATGTTCTTCAGCTTACCCAATGAAGACGGTAAAGTCAACGTGAAATTGTTGACGCTTGCTCGGGTAAATAACTTTCTCCGAGCTAAAGGATCTGTCAACGTGATAGCGCCACTGTGTCCATTCTCGCCGTATATAATCATTCCGACACAAGCGGATGTCCCAAAACCTTTCCATGCTCCTGTCTGAATGCTCAAATGGTACGTGAAGCCCTCCGTTTGAGTCGAAGTTAAATAAACGTTGGCCGCAACCTACAACAAATGGGAGCTGATCTTAAGCGTTTTTCAATTGGGTGTTCTAACATCACACCGAAGGTAATCACTCTGGCGAATCACAAAGGACAGAGGCAATCCAATGAACCAATCAAAAACTTACAACAAATAAATGTAGCTGACTCGAAGGGCGCGAAAGGGTGTGCAAACGAGTAACGACTGGTTTTGGTTTTACTTCTAATTATTTGAGAAAGAGTGACACGAGTCTTTTAAGGCAATCACTTTGCGTAAAGCAAAACCAAATCAAGTACGAATTACGATACCCAAGGAAAACGACGAATATTACTTGCATTTGCATATACAAACTACTATAAACCAAAAACATCAGCTACAGTTTAGGTGAGACTATGAATATGATAAAACCTAAGTTCCAAATTTTATATAGATAACCGTTGAAAATGCTAACAAATCTATTAGCAAAATTCTACAGTTAATTTTGAGTTAAAGTCAATTTTATGCTCCGCAAAAATGCGTTGTTGAAATACGGTTTTGGTGAGAAACTTTTCCGGTCATGATTGGTCCGTTTTCCTTACGCATTATCTGGATAACTCTGAAATCTGATTTTAAAGTCCACCTCCAGCTCCCTGAGAAAGTCACCTTCGCCCTTGGAACTACGACTAAAATGGTTCATTTTATATAACTTCACACACTGCTTAGTTCTAGATTTACTTAAATATCGAAGAGGGATTTTGGGTATGTACGGCCCCGCAAATGATCCCGGCCTGCAAATGATCCCCGTACCGCAAATGATCCCCAAATTGTACCGCAAATGATCCCAGGACCTGAAATGATCCACAGATTGTACCATAAATGATCCCTGACCGGAAATGGTCGCCCCGCCATAAAATTTGGAAATGCGAGGACTCAGGAATTTGGACAGTGGATTTTAAATTTATGCAATCCCTTTTGATTTGACCATGAAACTGAGAAAAACGTGAACATTTGGATTTGATTCCAGAAGGTTAGTTTGGTACTGAACCAATCACTATAAAGTTCAGGACAAGCAAAAACCACAACCAATTGGCCACGTTCAATATATCAATATTCTAACGTCGATCCGAGGCTTTCGGGTAAAAATTGCAATATTTTTAAGTTTCCTTTGTCTTTCAATTCTCAAAAGAGACTTGGATACATAGAAAACACCACCAAGCATAGAAGTTTGTCCTGAAAGCCTCGCAGCCATGTTAGAACATTGATATATCGAACGTGGCCTATTACCGCTAGTGTTTGCGGTTTAGTTCTCTCACGCGTAATTGGCTTTTTCCTTGTTACACAATAATAATCCTTAAATATTTCTGGTATTCACGGTTTTCTGAGTTTCACAGTAATAATACAATATTTTGATACAGAAGTTACTACATGATACGCAAGAAAATGTGCAGTTTGAACGATTTGAATGCAAATTTCACAACTTTAAAAATGATTTCCAACGTCACGAAATCTTGTGTTTGAAATTTGTAGCCTTAGCTAGATACTTCCCTGAATGATTTTATTAGGTCCGAGCCTGAGATGTATGATAACACAGGATGTTAACTCACTATGTTCGCTATATATATGTCTCTGATTTGGAGACAACTGAGAATTCCCAAGTGGATTGACTACATTTTTACTACGGTAACTAGCACGAAGGAATCTTAGGCACTTTCGCGGGAGCCCTTGGCTATCTAGGATGCAAGTATAAGAAGTGTACAGGGAAAAGTTCTAAGCGGTTAATTAGATGGCAGAGGCATCTTCGAAGATTCATGTTTCTTTTTGCACTGCGTTTCCTAAACGAAAAATTTATGCAGTCGACACATGTCAATTTAGTATTTTGCGCAGTATGAGAAACGTTTTTTATTGCTGCTTTTATGCCTTGAGGTACTTGTCTTTTCTTCACGTAGGATAATTAAGAAAATATGTATCCATCCATAGACTTGTCATGGAGTCCACGCCATTCCTAACTTTTTGCAGTGGAATCAGTTCCGGTCCCGGGATCATTTGCGGTACAATTTGGGGATCATTTGCGGTACGGAGATCATTTGCGGGCCGGGATCATTGCGAGGCCGTACAGGTATCTTATTGAACTCGTATACAAAAAAGAAGAATATGATTGACTGATTATGTAACGTGTCAAACTCATATATACTGCAAACCTTTAGAACTATGTACCTTTCGCAGGTCCTTTTTGTCTGCCCGACGAGAGACTACAAGTCCTATAAAGTACAATCCGAATAGAAAGCACACAGTTGAAAGAACTACAAAATTCCCGGTTTCTCCCAGCCTTTTGAATTCCGTCCAAACTTTGTCGAAGTCGATGGGATTTGGTGCGACGAAAATGTTTCCACCGAAAGCTGAAAGATGAGTGCACAGACAGTGAAGCTTCCCATCAGTATGTTTCCATCCAACCTTTAAGGAAAGCAATCAGTTATCAGTTTTCATCAATGTATAACTGTTTGGCTGACTGACTGACTGACTGACTGACTGACTGACTGAGTCAGGGGAATATGTCGACAACAGTATCTCAGGTCCATAAATCTTTCAAACGTCATTAATAAAATTAACCGTGTGAAAAAAGATAATTAAATCAATGGTATTTTCGCTTGTTTTTTCTCTCGCCTTTCCTCTCTATTGCAATATTCTTTAATCTTAGGGTGCGTTTCTTTGAGAATTAAAATTCAAGGTTGCATTTGTTAATCCGAAAACGGAATTTGCGTTTCTTTACTGAACGGATTAATCCAAGATCACGCGGATCATGTTACATCAAGGAAACTGAAGGATTCCTGCCAAAGGTGGATTCTGCGGTTCCTTTGATGTACCATGATCTAAGTGATCTTGGATTGATTTAAGAATCCAGTCTTGTCTTTTCCCAAAGAAATGCACCCTTAGTAGTAGTATAACTACCAGTGGTACGTTACATGCATGGAAATGTTTAATGACTGCTCATAACACAAACGAATTGATTCTTAAAGAGTATGTTTTTGTCCTCATAGCAGATTCAAATGGTGTCTGCATGACCTAGTTACTTTGTTGTTGCAGAATTCATACCTTACATCCTTCACTTGTCCAGGCTTGTCTCAGTTCAGACCAGTAGAGACAGCTCCTCATAGTCACCAACATAGTGTAGTTCACGTCTGTCCGTTTGTCGTACTGCGGCATTATAATCTCTGGTGTTGGGGGAGGGGTGGTAGGAGGATCTTTGACACCAATGCAGGAACGTTTTTGTCGACCATGTCTATCCTTGCAGTATTTCATCATACCACTGCGCTTATTTCGAGTGCTTCCTTCACCTTCGTCTGAAGCTATCCGAATGCCGATGAAATGAACTCCAACGTCTCCGGTGACATTGCTTGACAATGAAAATAAGTAAGGATTGTCGGTACAGTTGAGGTCACCAGTTCTATCGTCATAAGTTCGACAGGATGAAAAGTCCGGAATCCTTGTTCTAAAGGTATAGTTGCTTGGTGTTGGTCTAACTCCACTGCTCACAAATACATCAAAAAAAGAATTGTTTTGTGGTCTAATTTTTACAAGCGCGGCTTCAAATTCATTTTTAATTTCTATCTTGTGGTAGCGTAAGGGGTTGGAATCGTTGGAAGGCCGTTTTACAAATAAATGACCTTGGGTGTAATTTGCAGTATCTTCCTTTAGCTTTTTTTCTGGTATAAAGAGTTCAATGGGATGATTTAGGTCAGAGATGTTTAGCTGCGATCCATCCGCCTTCTTCAGTTCTAATTTAACAACGGATGACTTGATTGTTTTGGATCTTTTGGTCCACACGTAGGGGTTTACTTGTAAGGTCAGCATCTGGAGAAATGATAATAAAAAAAATAACTTGCTTTGATCGTCAAATGACTTAGAGAGTCGCTCTTATGAGGAAAACATCGGTGAGGGGCTTTGCGCCGGACTCAAGCCAACAATGTTTAAGCAATGAAGACCAGACTTCGCGACTTTTCCAAAAATTTATCTGGGATTAAACCATTTAGTATGTCATGTTACTGTTTAATAAACGTGATAATCCCATGACAACCTTATTTTGACAGGTTTTATTTTCCAATTTCAAAATTTCCTGTTTAATTTAAACATTTTTGGATAACCCCGATCTTTTCCGGAACCTTTATTAAAATTACGAAATCCAAAATGGCTTATCCAAGATAGTGACTGTAATCGAACATTACATGTGAAAGACCTCAAAATATTTGTTTTGGGAGCTGCTGTAAATCCGATTCGGTTAAAACAAGTCTCTCCTAGAGTAAGGAAGGCAAAGGCTTATTTCGATTATATTCATTTTAAGTGAACTTTTCAGGATAAAGTTGTGATCCAGAAAGGCGTTTCAGGCGAAGCTTGCTGCCTAAATTTGTACATAACATAGATTTTACTTTATACTAAAACTCGTCAAAATAGAAGAGAAGTGTTTCTTATGTGCTGAATCGGGGAGATACAAGTCGATAAGATTAAGAATTTCACCGGGGCAGTTCAAGAGAGCTTTCGTCTACTATTAGCTTACTACGAACGCGAGGCTATTAAGGTGGCTTGGAACAGTTTCATTGGAGCAGCAAATTAAAGGAAAGCTCTTTTGTGAAAGATGTTAATTAGATCTCAAACCATCAGATGCGCCACTTGTACAATACGAAACTCAATATATGGCGAAAATGAACAACCACTTGCTTATTAAGGGGAGATTGGGCACCAACAGTCTTGACGGTTTGTTTGTTTGTTTGTTTTTTAATCTACCCGTATGACGCTAATTCATAATTTCCAAATTACAAACTGGCTCTGTTTATTCATTCATAACATTTTCTTAGCTAACAGAAAATCTGCGTGACCTAACTAATTAAAACTGAAATATTAAAGCGATCAAAAACTCCTGGGCAGTAGAAGTACTGTTAAACAATTTAAACAACTTACTTGGGTATCAACAGATGGCAAGGTCGTTCCATTTCTTCCAAATAACACCTCTGCAGAAGGAAATGTGGCAGATCCTTCATTTTCATTGCCAGTAAACGTCTCACTCCCTATATCAGAAGGCGCTTGACGCTGAAGTGTCATTGTTATGGCGTCAGTTTTCAATGATGTCTTTTTCTGGCCAGTCATCTTCGTGGAAAGTAGTGTGGTACCAAGTGTGTCGGCCACCGATAAGATGTTCTCTGTTACTTTCTTTACCTGTTAAGACGGAAAGAAAAATAATAAAAAATCTATCGATCTCAGAGGAAAAGCAGCTTGTGTACATTAATTGTAGTGCGGAGGCACATCAAGCTGGGATAATTTAGATGAGTGTATGCAAAGTCATGTCCTACAGCTTCACAAAGGCTATTAATGATTTTCCTCAACGGAAGTTGATTACTATAATTGTACCAACAAAATGCTGAATCGTAATGTAAGGGTGCACTAAGGAATCGGAGTGAAAAGCACTTACATTGTTAAAATCGCTGTGGACGTCTCCCGTTTCTCTAGGCCATCGAATTCCTCTTCGTAGTCGGCCCAAATCTGTTCTTCCTTCAAGTTGAATACTTTGGAGGTACTGTTCGTCAGCTAATCCCGCCGAGGCATTCAACGTGTACGATATTCCACGTAAAATATCGCCGCCTACGTTTTGGATCAAATCTCTGTTGTAATGATTCCGAAGGAAGTTAGTTGTTTCTGTAAGTAAACTTGTGGCGTCCTCCTAAACGAATGAAGAATATAACAATATTAGAGATAGGGATAGTTGCAGGGCACTTATTCTTTGTTTCCTCTTTATGCTTTTTGTTTCAGAGTTATCATCCTATAATCAGTCAATTAAGCAATAAACAAGTCATCTATTTTTATTATAAATATATAATAAATGTTTGTACTGGCTGCCTTGAGAACATACGGCTACAATGGCTTCAGAAGGTAAATGAAAATTTATATTTTGTAGTTTTCTCAGCCGGAGTTAAGGAATACTTGTATCAAAGAAAGCCCCTTGTACAACAACCAACACCCAAACAGTATAATCAACAAATATGTAAGAGCAAGTATATATATATATATATATATATATATATATATATATATATATATATATATATATATATATATATAATATCTTAAAATTGAACCACGGAAAAAGATGTAAAGACATGAATGATCATGTCAGTTATGTACACTCCTGAGCAGTTGTGAAAATGGCGCCTGAAATCACACACAGATCAAAGTTTCTTATCCCGTTAAAGGCTGAATTCTTTTCAGGTTTTTACAACTGCTTAAGTTGTGTTTCATAACTGCGATGATAATTCATGTTATTTTCAAATGTACAGTAACTATCTGCTACTTGCCAGAGTGTTCACGGGCATCCTGGCCCTGCCTTCTGCTGCCATGATAACAATTGCAGCGAATTGCGTAACCTGGCTTTCATGTGTAATCTGCGCCCGAGCGATGGCCTGTAATGTGGAGTCCTTGGCCTAAGGCGATAAACATTGCAATAAAGTAATACCTGAGCCCCATATTTTATTTGTTAAAGACGATTTAACACTACTGATCTTGAATATAGTATAGTACTCACCTAGATCGGTTAAAAATTGTGGAAATGACTGTTTCAAAGATGTTGTTTTATACATAACAATAATAATCTAAAATATAAACAGGTGTTGTAAATGGTTCCTCGTATGAATAGGTAGTAACTATACTGACAGATCCCAAAAGACTGGTGTCTTTTGTCTCACGTCCTAGGAACATTTAAAAAAAAATTTCACCCTATTCAAAACAGGAGTGGGAGGCAAAAGGTGCACGCAAGTGCACACAAGTGCAACAGTACAATCGTCCTTACTATAGAATGGAATTGCTGATGGTGGACAAGTTCTAGACGTAAACATTTCGGTATTTTGGGAATACAAATAAACCAGCTCCTACCTTGTCGTCAACATCTGCACTCAACACGGCAATTGCATGAGAAGCCGCCTCACTAACTTTTCCTTCATTCAAATAGTTTGTAATGTCACTACTTAAAGTTGCAGGATGTAGTGAGGGATCATTCTGTGGCAATGGCTTCACCTAAAAGTTGTAAAGACACCTTCAATGGCTGCCACGTTATATGATGAATCCTTCAAGTGACCTTTACATGTCATCTTCACAAGACCTTTGTTTTAAAAGTCGTTACCTCAGTTTAATCCCAATAGATGTTTCCAGATCAGGGTTGAATTTACTTGAAGGTTTTTCCTTGTTTCTATACTCACTTTTCCACAAAAAGTTTCCATAATGACAATTTGAACTTTGAAACTCTTTTAGATCTTTGGAAATGTAGATTTCTACCTCATCTTGACTTTATACTGATAAAATTAAAAGACTACTTTCCCTGTAGTTCAGCTCTATGGAGCACCCACTAATTCGATATCTTGTCTGGAGCGATTTATTGCGAAACAAAGTCTTTCAAGAAATTTTATTCTAAAAGAAAACTTACCTTTACAGTTAAAATGTCCACCTGGCTTGCTCCTTTTTGGTCAAAAATGTTCACTCTTATAGTTATATTATAATCTTCTGACTTATTTCCTTGAGGAAGAGTTGCTGATATGTATGGACTGTGCCTACCACTGGCGCTTACCATACCAGTTGAAGTAGTGTAACTATGAAGAAGAAAAAGAAGATGATGAAGAACAAGAAGAAGAAGAAGAAGAACAACAACAACAACAACAACAACAACAACAACAGCAACAAAAACAGCAATAACAAAAAACAACTATACAATCACAGCAAGAACAATAATTTTTTAATAATTTGAACTCTACATTGAGCGGTCCGGGCTGGAGACCTGGCTGGGGTTATTTTGAGATGTTCTTGGGTAGGACATTAATTATAAACTCTTACAGTTCGTCTATCCAGCCGAGTGTCTAACTGCATGAGCACCGATGAATTCAATGCTGACATCTGACATCTTATCCAGGGTGGAGTAGAAATATTTCTAGTCGCTTAATGCTTCAACTGGGATAATTATTACAAGGATGGAATCGACACATTAACCCGGCGATGACTTTTATCCTTACCTGAAACTATATGTCAAGTATTTGTTCTCATTGTGCCATCCAGAACAGTCCACCGAAAAATTGGTTTTCAAAACAAACCCTTCCTTTGGTTTCACACTGCATCTTTTCTTGGGAACAGAGAGAGGTTTTACAGTTCGAAAGGGTAAGTCGTCTTCTAAAACAATTCCTCCTTCTATTATTATGGATGCCTTTATCTTGTATGTGGTATTCATCTCAAGGGAATACTTATTATCACCCAGCTTGCCGGTAAGGACTATATTTGGGTTGTCTAGGTCGGTGAGTATTCGCTCAGCTAAGTCCGAGATTTGCACCCAAGAGCTAGACAGCCTGGAGTTCTCTCTCTTAAACAGAGACCATTCGTGGCGAGCGATCGTTCCGCAAATATCTCCAGTACAGTTGGATTCTATGATCATTTGCTTCTTGGGAATGACTTCAGGGCCACAATTGTAAATGCAACTGCAAATTTTTGTTAAAATGTTAGTGGTTATCAAAATTTACCATGGTACTGGAAATCCAGTGTAGATATTACATAGAAAAATTACGGAATTATGCGGTAAACAATTGATCAAAGATTCTAATCTTTTGAAGATGTTCGGCATAACATGCACGCTTTTTAATACAAGAACAAGATTACTTTTTAACAAGTGCAAACGACCACGGTTCTTGGGTAGAGGCAGGGCAAGCGGCGGCTGATCATGACAGTGTCTTGGAGAAGTAAAATTTCTGCCTTCTCCACTCCATACGAAGAAATGGAACTGATGATAACAAACAACGACATAGAGAATATATATATCTGGATATGGAGTAACTAGACATGACGATGATTACCTGATAAAGAATGATGCCACCACTAACCGATGGGTGGCCCTGGAGCTTTCGACACCGTTTGAAACAACAAGCTCAAACACATACGTTTTTCCTCCCTCCATTTTGTCTACATCCACATTTATTACATTTTCACGACCACTGAGTCTTCCTGGACCGAAACCATAGCAACCACCTGACAGGTTTGCGTTACCATTTGGAGCATCAACCGGAAGCGAATCGTTTTCCAGGAATGTTTCGTAACTTCGTCTGCAAAACCAGGTGAAGGTTAGAGGACGTCCTTGTTTGGGATGTGGGTCATAGGATCGAGAGCCATTCAACGTAATATTCCCTTGTCCTATAGTTGCAAAAGACGGGCCTGAAATATTAGCGACAGGGGAACTCTGAAGAAGTAAGATGAAACCAAAGTCATATCCAATAATTTTCAACTGTGGCGAGGTTCTTAAAACGTAACTGACGTAATAGTAGCTGTCGAGACTTGTTCTTCTCCGCATCGACCAAACAGGTTTATCATTTTTAATTCCACCAGGAAGAAAGGAGTAGAAATTTCTACCCTTTAAGTTTGCTTTGGTGATATGCCAATATGAAAAGGTCTTCACTGACGAACTGCATCGTGAATGTTGTACTTTTGCTTTAAAGACCATCTTATCCGTTGTATAGTACACCCTGGCCTGGTCCAGAGTCTTGCTCAAGTTGAGGTTCACAGCTGCAGGAGGACATCTGCAGTCATCTGAAATTAATATCAGATGACAGGTTGGCTTTATATGTAGAAAGCTTACCATGGATGACAACTCATTTGCAAGGTTTTATACAATCTAGATAACGTTCGATTACAAAAAGAAGCGAAAGTAAACTTCGGCGGTTCGAAATCATTTGGACTCCATTATCAAGTAGAGAAAATAACGGTCGAGATGTTAATTCTATACTGTGAAAGGTGAAAGAATATCTTAAAGTGTAACACCGCCTAATTAGAAGTTCTTAGGTGTCAACAGTTAAACGTGCCGAATAAACTTAGATGAATACTTTCGTGCAAAGTATATTGAGTCCGTCTGTGTATTGAGTTTGGGTTTTCTTTCACAAATGAAACACATTTCGTGAGCTAAACAGTCCAATTTTCCTTGGGGCTATTTCAACAAGGAAAACCTGTTAGACATGTTTAGAACATGTTGACGATGAAGATGACGTCAGTGCTTTCCCATTGGCTGGCAGCCAAAAGTCTTTGTTCTTTCTCTATATAAGCGCGGTACCACCCAGACAGTTGAGCGGTCGGTGTAATAAAAATCTTAATACCCCTCGTATACCCACGTGGCCTGCATCTCATTAAACCAGTTCTGGATTCAAAGGTCATTGATTCAGTGGTTATCACTTCAAGTAAAACCAAGTGGTCTACCCATCTGTCAAATAGTACACACGTTAGTACAAGAGGCCTATGACTGACATATACGTAAGCTACAACAAGGACAAAATGAAATCTTATCACCTGTATCCAGCTCCTCCAAATAATTGCTGTGGAAGATTGACATTGACTTTATTCCTGTCTTTATTCTTGCCATCAGTTGACCTTTCACCGACGCACTGATGCAGAACAGCTTTATCTCTGCCATTGGTAAGGCTTTGTCCGAAGATATATCAATACTTTGTGCGCTTGAATTTAAAAAAAATAGAGGTTATATTCACCAATGGAAACTCTTAATGACTGAGAGACAACGTGCAAGAAACGTTAAAGTGTTTATAGGGTACCAACAACAACAACAACAACAACAACAATCTCTATTTGAGCTCTTTCGGATTTAAAGAGAAAATTAATTTATTTCATATACACATGTAGAGAAGGCACAGCCACTTAGATATATTAAAACCTAGTCGTGCTAAGTAGTCATGAGGATAACACTAAAACAAAAAGAAGAAAAATGGGGAAGAAATAGGCACACAATCAGAAAAAGAAAAAAAGAAAAAACTGGGTGAGAGTTGAGCACTGAATAACTAAAATTTCGTTACCAATAGTTGGAAATTTTAGATTCTTTTAGGAGATTTTTTAAGGAAGTGCGACTCTTGGGTCTCAGATTTTCCTCTCAAAGTTTAGCACCGTTAAAACGAATATTAAATTTACCGTAGCCGGTCCCAGCGTTTGGTAATTATAACATGACTTCCTACGAGCTAGTCTGGTTTCAGACTGATGAATTTTATTGATGCTCTTGATAAGAGGTACTAAAACTAATTAGGAGTCTATTAGAATAGAGAGGTTTTCAGTTGACGGTCGTAAAACCAAAACCAAAGCAATTAGAGCGGTTTTCAATTGAATGTCGAAAGTAATTAGGCAATTACTTTGGTTTTGGTTTTGGTTTTACTGCGGTTTTACTGAGTAGTCTAATTGGTTTGGTTTTGGTTTTACGACACTCAACTCAAAACCGCTCTACTTACCAATCACACTACTCAGCCAATCCCAAACCGTAGTAGAACCAAAACCAAAACCAAAGTAATTGCCTGATTGCATTCGACACTCAGTTGAAAGCTGCTCTATTAGTCATACATAAATAAAATAGTATCCAAACATTTTGTAACATTTTAACACTTTTTCAATCTATTCATCTGTTTATTGGACAGACATAGCTTCGTTGATAGACCAACCGCTGCACAAAAGGTTTCTCTTAAAAAATGTTAAAGATAAAAATGTCCTACCCGAATCGCTGAAACTCAGCCAAGAAAAATCCATGAAAGCCGTCAACAATGCTGTTAAACTGCAAAAAGCGTTACAGTTTTCACACGTTTATTTCAAAAATATACAAATATACAAATTAAGGCATTCTTGCAATTGAAAACTGAACTAAAGTTACTACGCTTCGTCATTAAGGGCTTAGTCTTTTCTATGTGCTATGCTGTGACCTTCACGACATTAAAGATAAGATGAATACTACTAGGAACTCGGTGTGCAGAATCAATATAGAGCCACTCTGAGATCGATGGGCCACCTGTCAATTCTGTTCATTTACCAACAATTCATGAAATGATTCTTCCACTGAACTGTCATTAGAATAGGGTGAAAAAACAATTTATGTCCTTTGCTGATTGCTTTTGATATTGACTTTTACGAAACAGATCTTGACTCATTTGTGTTTAATTATTATGGGATTACGTCAATTGTGCCTTCAAAATTTCTAAACGTTTCAGCATTTTTAGACACAAATATTCTTAAGCCACATCTATGCATGATGTTCACCGAGTTTGTGTTCTCGCTACAACTGCCGTAGCTCGTTTCTGAATTTCCTAGATTACATACAGTCATTTATTCCTACACTCCTTTCTTCCTTCCTTCCTATAATCCTTCCATCGTTCCTTCCTTCCATCCTTCCTTCCTTTCTTCCATCCTTCCAACCTTCCAACCTCCCAACCACCCAACCCCCCAACCTCCCAACCTTCCAACCTCCCATCCTCCCAACCTCGCAACCTCCTATCCTCCCAACCTCCTATCCTTTCATCCTTCAATCCTTCAATCCTTCAATCCTTCCATCCTTCCATCCTTCAATCCTTCCATCCTTCCATCCTTCCATCCTTCCATCCTTCCTTCCTTCCATCCCCCCATCCGTCCATCCTTCCTTCCTTCCATCCC